AATATAAAAACATTTTTATTTTTTGGGGGAAAAAATAATGTAAAAATAAGTTGCAAGAGGAAATGATATGTGAAAAAAGTTTATTTTATAATACTCAAGTTTATTTAAAAATAGCCAGCATTTTTGTAAAAGAAACAAGTTTGAGTTTGTAAAGCAAGTTTACTTTTGAAAATAAAGCAAAGTTTGTTTTGTAAAACTTGTTTTACAATTTGTAAAACAAGTTTATGTGAAAAAAGTTTATTTTGTAGAGCAAGTTTTACAATTTGTAAAAACAAGTTTTATTTGTTGTAAAAAAGGTTTATTTTGTGAAACTTGTTTCACAATTTATAAAACAAGTTTATTTTTAAATACAACAAAGTTTATTTTTTAGAACAAGTTTTATTTTAAATTTACCATTTAAAAATTAAATAAAAGTAGAAAGAAAAATAAGTTTGCAATCTTTATATTATTGAAAAATAAATTTCTATAAATTGTGAGGATTAAAGTTTAACATAAAAAAGATCAGATTTCAAAGCATCATAATTTTAGAAAAAAATAATTTTATTTTTATTTAAGAGATATATTAAATATTGTAGAGTTGCCATTCTCAAATTATTTTTAAAATAATTTGCAGGTTATTTGAAACCAATTTTTATTTTTACTTTTTGATATTTTCAAATAAAGATCAAAAAATTAGAAAAAATATTAAAATTATTTTTCAGTAAAATTATATTTAAAATATTATTTTTTAATGTATTAAAAAAATAAAACTTGTTTTACAATATGTTTTTACAAATTGTAAAATATTCCAACTTGGCCAGGCGGGATTAACATAATTAAGTAAAATTTAAGTTTATTTTTACAAATTCCGGAAACATTAACTAACCATTAAAAATAAACTTGTTTTACAAATTGTAAAATAACAAACTTGAATCTCAAGTTTATTTAAAACTTGTTTTACAATATTTATTACAAATTGTAAAAAACAAACTTGGCCAGGCGGAATTAATTTATGATAAAAAACTTCAAGTTTATTTATAAATTCAAGTTTATTTTTACAAATTCCGGAAACACAATCATTAAAAAATAAACTTGTTTTACAATTTGTAATTATATATTAGGCTAAAACTTGTTTTATACTATTCCTTTCTTTTGGGATAAATAAATTTTATTTTGTTAGTTGTTAATGTTAGCCGGAAGGAGTAGTCGTAATGGGAAGGGTTTGGGGCTCATTACAGTTTTATTTGTTTAAGAAAATTGGGGAGGAGAAGAAGAAGAAATTGGTTTAAAGAAGAAGAAAATATTTATTTTTTTTCTATTCTTTGTTTTTTTTATAAAATTCTTCCCCTTGGGGCCATTGAATTATTTAGAGGGAAAACAATGAAAATAGCTCCAGTCTATTTTTTGGTTAGTAAATCTTTTTTTTCTCGCCTTCCAAAAAATCGAAAAAGAAAAATAGGGAAAAAAAGAACAGAAAAGAATAATTAAGATTTAATAAAAGTCTTTTACTGACAGAAAAAAAATATATAAAAATTTATTTTTGTTTTCCGGTTTGAAGGAAAAAATTTTGTTGACATGCTATTGTTTTGTTAGTTTTGAATTTTATAAATTGAATGGGAAAATAAGCAGAAAATTGGGGGAGGAAAGCAATTTTTTAGAGTTTTTGTTGCATGACAGGAAGAAGGAGTTGAAATACAAGTTTTTTTTACAATTTTATAAAGTTGAAAATAAGTTGGATATAGATTGTAAAAAAAATTAGAGGGAATTGTAAAAATGTTGGGTAAATTGTAAAACAAGTTGGAATTTGTAAAAGGTTGTAAACTTGGAAAAATAAATAAACTTGAAAAAATACAAATTGTAAAAACTTAGGAAAATAAGCATTTTTTTACAAATTGTAAATTAGATTTGTAAAACAAGTTTTGTTTTTTTTTCTCCCAACTTAAAACTTTTCCAGAAATAAATAAACTTGGATTTGTAAAAATAACCAACTTGAAATTTCAAACTTTTTTTACAATTTGTAAAACAAGTTGGAAATAGTAAATGTTGTAAACTTGAAAATAAATAAACTTGGAAAAATACAAATTGTAAAACTTGAAAATAAACATTTTTTACAATTGTAATTTGAATTTGTAAAAAAAGTTTTGATAAAATTTATTTGTTTTTAAGTTGTAAATATCGAGCAACAACAAATTAAAGAAAATAAAAAGGAGGAAGAAGCAAAGCAAACATCAATTGAAGCACCTCTTACTACACTTCCTCCTCCTGTTGAACTTGAAGAAGCTTTGGGTTAATAATAAATATATTAAAATATTAAATTAGAAATTGAGGAAAAAATATGAGGGGAATTTTACGAAATTTAAAAAAATGCGAAACGAAACGAAATTTTTTCGAAACACGAAACTAGACCGTTAAAAAAATTTTTTCTATAGAAACAACCAAAAATTAATTAAAAAATAAACCAATAAAAAATAAATATAAAATCAAAAAAAAAATTTTTAGAAAAAATAAATAAAAACAACCACCAAATACCAACAACAAATTGGCACAATTTTCAATTAAATATTCAAAATTACAATTATCAACAACAATACAAAATTAATAATCGTTTAAAGCCTTATTGGGTAGCTGATAAATTAGAAAATATTTTTGGTATTTATGGTTCCAGTAAAAAAGAAAATCCAAGGCCGGCACCTCCTTCTGAGTATGGAGAAGTGAGGATTGTTGGTGGGGGTATTTGAAGATTAATTAATTAATTAAGCAATAAATTAAATTAATTTTTTTGTGATTTTATGTATTTTTCCGATGTAAAATTGATAAAAAACAAGGCAAAAAAAAATTTTTTTTTAATAAAAAAAATAAAGACAAAAAATAAGGTTAAAATCAATTAATTCTTGATTACCCCTCAAAAAAATTCCAATTTTCCCTTAGTCGGTTAAATAATTATTTTTCAAATTCAAAGATCAAATAAATATAGGCAAAAATTAATAATAATAGAAAACCAAAAGACCAACTTTCTTTGAAATTGCCTTCATTTCCGGTAAAAATAAAAATAATTTAATAATGCTATTAACAATTAATTGGTGGAAAATGTTGGTGAAAACAATTGGAGAAAGACATAAAAACTTGAATAAAATGTGAAAGATAGAAAAATACAAAAGGAAAAACACAAAACAAACAAAACCAGAAAAACAATGAAAAATACAAAATCAGAATTATTATTAAAAAGAAAACACAACGTTGTTAAAATCAGAATTATTTTTAAAACAAAAACACAAAGAAAATACAACTTTCCTAGACCAGAATTAGTAATCAGAATTATTTATTTTTAAAAGAAAACACACCCTTCTTAAAAATCAGAATTATTCTTAAACAAAAATACAATGAAAATACAAAGACCAGAATTATAATCAAAATTAGAATTATTAAAAAAAGAAAACACAAAGAAAATACAACTTTCTCAGAGACCAGAATTTTTATTAAAATCAGAATTATTTCTAAGAGAAAATACAACTTTCTTAAAAATCAGAATTTTTATTATTATTAAAATCAGAATTATTCTAAAAAAAGAAAAACACAAAGAAAACACAATTTTTCCTAACGAACAGAATTATTATTAAAACCAGAATTATTTTTAAAACAAAAACACAAAGAAAATACAACTTTGTTTTTGTTTTGTTTATTAAAAAGGAAAATTAAAATGCGCATTTCTAATAACAAACAAAAATAAATTTGGCTAATTTTAGTAGACATTTAAAGCAATTACTAAAATTGTGTGCCGTATAAAATAAAACATTTTTTAAGTATAAAAATATTTTTCTTTCTAATTTTTAGAGTCATTTCCTCCCAAAAATACAATTATTTAAATATCCTTTCCTAGTAAAAATTAAATAAATTTTTTTGTTTTATAAATTTTGTTTTAAAAAATAAAAATTGATATCATCCGTGAAAGAATGAATTATCTATTATCTTCAAGTTTTGTATTTTGGTTATCAATTGGTCTAATTCTGGGAGAGAATACAGCTTATGCTGCGGTAAGTTTAATTAATAAAAATAATGTTAAATTACAAACTTGAAAAGTACAAACTTAAATAAACTTGAAAAAATAAATAAACTTGAATTACAAACTTAAATAATAAAAATCATAATTTTATAAAAACAAACAGGCGGAATTTCTGATTTAGTAAATAATTACAAACTTGAAAAATACAATGTTGAAAAAAATAAACTTGAATTACAAACTTGAGAATTCTGAAATATAAATAAACTTAAAATTAAACAAATCAGAATTAAATAAATAAACTTGGAAAATAAATTAGAAATAAACTTGAAATAAATAAACTTGAATTAAATAAAATCAGAAACACACTTAAATAAACTTGAAGCAAACCAGAAACAAAATAGACAAACTTTAAGCAAAATCAAATAAAAACTTGAAACAAAAAATATTAACCCCTATCTAATAAAATAAAATTCATAGCCATTTGACCCCTACGAGTTTGAAATTCAATCAGCACCAATTATTTACCGACGGTCTCTTGTTAACAACTTGCCTATCCCAATATTGTCTCCTTCCCAAATTGTTGCCCGTCGCAGTGTTCATCCGTGTAGATGGAAGTTGTGTGGTGCTTATAGCAATTATAATACTTTGGGATAATTTTTAACAAAATATAAATACAATCAGAATTTTTTTTTCAGAATTTACTTAAAAAATATTATGGTTAATTTTTAAATAAAATACTTTTTTGATTAAAAAAAATTTTTTTTGAATGAAGAATGGGGAAGAGAATGGAGACTTTTTAGTGAAGGGAGAGACGGAATTTCTGATTTAAAATCAGAACTTTTACAAAACATTTTACATTTCTGATTAAAATGTGATTTTTATGGGACGCCTCGCCCCCAAAGCAAAAATTATACCACTTAGCCACATTTACCTCTAACTTAAATAAATTAGGTAAATAAAATCAGAAACACCTACATATGTAAATAATTGGGGATTTTTGGAGAAATTAATTTTAACTGATTTTTAGTGAAAAATAAAAATCAAAAAATTTTCCATAACCTAATAGGCAACTTAATCGAGTCACATATTCAATTAAACATACAATTTTATTACACCAAATATAAATAATATACAACACCATACAAATACAATACAACAAAAATTATGACACAAACAAATGAATATAATACTCGAAAAGGGTAAATATAGTTAGGGGGCTTACAAACAAGTTTATATATAGTTAGGGATAAGGGTGAATTTTAGAATTAGAGTATCACACACAACATTTATTCTTCTCTTATTATTCACACTTCAGTTCTTCCTCTTCCTTCCTTTCTGCCCGTTCAAGTCTCGTTTTTACTCGTATCGAAGCCCATTGAAGATTTGTCGTTGTAGGAAAGGATTTGAGTGCCACCAACAGTCGTCCCCCCTCCAGAAGCCGACATTCCGCTCTTTATTTGTGTACCACTCACAGCACTTTTCCCAGTCTTTGTCTTCGTTGCAGTCCCCTTAGCGCCAGTAGTTCCCACCGTCGTTCCAAAATAGTCAACTTCTACTGGTTGTTGTTCCTCTTCCTTCTTTTCTTCTTTTTTGCGGAATACCAAGAACCAGAGAAGACAGCCAATGATGCTGAGAACACTGAAAATTGAGAAGAAAAATTTTTTTGAAATTTTTTTTTCTTAAACTCACATCAAAAAGACGACGACAGTGATAATGACGACAACGACCACATTCGAACTTGAAGCTGGGGAAGGTTCTTCTTCCTCTTCTTCTTCTTCTTCTGGTGTTTCTGTTGTCCTTTTCGGCTTCCTTGTTTTTTTCATGTCTACTATCATTCTTGTTTCACGTCTACTACTATAGACTATTGGAGGTTCGGTCGGCTTTTCTGTAGGAACGAGCAATTTGAAGTGTTTCGTATTCTTAAAGGAATTGAAAAAATGAAGACTCAAAAACAAAAACAACTCACCAATTTAACGTACAAAAAGTCACAGTTTGGTCCATCCAGCATTTCATCCTTAAGGGTCTTTCGATCTTCCGTTCTACTCCGTGCCGCTTTCTGTGGTAGCAAGTAGAAGGTGAAGAGATATTTGAATTCCTTGTCTGTGTGGCTCTCATCGGTGATCTCCCACTGTTTGATGTCCCGAAGATATTTTTTGTTCGTTTTGTTGAAGCAGACTGGGTGGCCCTCCCAAAAGTCCAACCATATGTCGCCGATATCCGTCATCCAGGTCTTTGTTTCGTTTCCGATGTCGAGCCTGAGATTAAAGTCTGCAAACAACGTATCAATTTTGAAGAGCTTCTTGTCCTTTTTGCCGTCATGAGTTTTGCCGCCGTCCAAAGTGATGGTCCATACCACAGGCTCGTCAACTGAAATTAAGAAAAATATATTTTGGCATGGAAAATGGATGGTAATGAGTTCCCACCTAGCGTCAACATGGGCATCAAATATTCTCCGTCTCTGGCAAATCCCACCATAAAGTCAGCAACCTTCAAGCAGTAGGGGCCATTACGTTTCGAGCATTCAATTGCATCCCTGCAGTCACTTTCATTGCCTTTACGAGCTTTATCCTTGCCATCCTTGAGAGCTTCAAATTCACCTTCGCCAAGACTGTACGTGAACGGTAACCTGAACAGAAAAGAAAATAAATAAAAACTTGTTTAGCGTTAATTGCAGTTAACTCACATATTATGAGTGGCTAAACACTCAGAATTAGAGTATTTGATGCCAATATTCACATTCAGATGTGTGTCCTTATTGGCAACCAGATCCAAGACGCATCCTTCTTTAGCTGCTCCGTCCTTCTTGTACAAGATCTTTCTGGAAAAAACAAAATTTAGTTTGGTTAAGCTTCAAGTAAGCGTTAAACTCACATCCAGTCTGTGCCATCCCACTCCACATCTTTACACGCCTCTGACAGATTCTTCAATGGAGACAAGTCCGCCTTCTCACTGACCACCACCATGTTACTGCCCAGCTTTGAAATCTTCCCATTCCCGTCCAATTCATGCTTGCCGGCACCGACCTTTGCGCATTGAACCAAGCCTCCAAGTAGAAGAAGAGCAGCAGCAACCAAGTGTAGAGAAGACGAGAGCAGCGACGACGACGAAGGCAACCAAGTGCAGCGACAAAGCTTTGCCATCCTGAGCAAGTTTTGAAGTGAAGAGAAGAAAATGTTGTTTTAGCTGGTGTTGAAGAATGAGGTAAATGATTGTAAATCGGAATGCTTTTATAGTATGATTGGCCGTTATCGGGATCGGCGACAGGATTATCTTGCCTTTGGCTAATTTGAGTCCCTCCTAATTTTCGCTGAGACGTATACTGAGCTCTAGGATCCTGATGCTTTTTTCAACCCAATGGCCTTGGCCTTCTCAGATTCCAAGCCGTTTTTTTAAAAAATCGGCGGCTCCCAGCCGTCGATTTCAGCCTCTTCCACCTTCAGCCTCATGATAAGGAAGGATAATATAAGTTGAAGATTACATTCTAAAAAAGGGTTTCAGACAATACTTTAAAGCATATAGCTATTTAATTCCTAAGTCTATGCAGTAGACGGCGTGGTGTAATGGCACATCAGTCCGGTCTACTGAAGATGCTGGTTCGCTCCCAGCCGCCGATTAACCTTTTGCACTAGCTAAAGGAGAGAAATATGTAGATATAGTCCAGCTATACCCAAAACTACTATACCCAAAAATATCCAAAATATAAAAATCAACAACAAATTTTTTTATATAAAAAATGACCTCATTAGCCCGTCCAGCAGCTGCTTTGTGGCAATAGAAAAAGCGAGGAGAATATTAGTCATTTTACTGAAGATAAAAAATTCTTTAAAGAAGGAAAGGCATTTTTAAACGTTATTCTTTAAGTCAAAATGAGGGAAAAAAGGAAATCACAAAGAAAATCCACACACGGCTTCGAACCTTAACCCTTCCCTTCACAAACTCGTAATTATCCCACTACACCAAAACTAAACTTGACGATAATTTATAAATTCATCCCTTCGAGAACCTAGGAAGCAGAGATGGGTCGGAACAGTCAGAGGTGTCGGAAATCGGAAGAGCCGGAAATCGGAACTGGCTCAAAAGTCGGAACTCGGAAATCAAAATATTCCGACCCACTTCTGCTAGGAAGCAAAGACATTTTTAAGTCAGCAAGTTAACTAAAAAATTAAGACAATTTTATTACACCAAACATAATTAATATACAACACCATACAAATACAATACAACAAAAATTATGACACAAACAAATGAATATAATACTCGAAAAGGGTAAATATATTTAGGAGGCTTACAAACAAGTTTATATATAGTTAGGGATAAGGGTGAATTTTAGAATTAGAGTATCACACAACATTTATTCTTCTCTCATTATTCACACTTCAGTTCTTCCTCGTTGTCGACGCCGCTGAAGTTTTGCCGCTGTATTTGGACTTGATTTGGGTGCCACCAACAGTCTTAGTCGTCCCCCCTCCAACAGTCGTCGACATTCCGCTCTTTGCTTGTGTACCGCCCACAGTACTCATCCCAGTCTTTGTCTTCGTTGCAGTCCCTCCAGCAGTCCCTCCGGCAGTTTTCGACGTGCCAAAATAGTCTTCCAATGGTTGTTCTTCCTCCTCCGCTTTTTTACGGAATACCAAGAACCAGAGAAGGCCACCAATGATGCTGAGAACACTGAAAATTGAGAATAAAATTTATTTTTGAAAATTATTTTTCTTAAACTCACATCAAGAAGACGACGACAGTGATGATGACGACAACGACCGCATTCGAACCTGAAGCTGGGGAAGGCTCTTCTTTTGGTGCTGTTGTTGTCCTTTTTGGCGGCTTTGTCGTTTCCTCAGGTTCTGTTGTCGGAGGAGGTTCGGTCGGCTTTTCTCCAGGAACGAGCAATTTGAAGTTTTTGGTACTCTAAAAATGAAAAATTTAAGGTCAAGTTGAGCTTCAAAACATTAAAACTCACCAATTTGACGTACAATTCGCACTCTGGCCCATTCAGCGTTGTTTTCAAAAGCCTTCTAACGTTCTTTTCGTCCGTCCAACTGCTCCGTGCCGCTTTCTGTGGCAGCAAGTAGAAGGTGAAGAGATGTTTGAATTCCTTGTCTGTGTGGCTCTCATCGGTGATCTCCCACTGTTTGATGGCTCTGAGACGTTTTGGGTCCGTCTTCTTGAAGCAGAGTGGATCTTCTTGTTCGAAGTCCAACCTTTTGTCGCCGACATCCGTTTGCCACAGTTCCTTCTTGGTGTTGTCGATGGTGAGCTTGAAACTGTAGTCCACAAACCACTCAATTTTTTGGGAAGGCTTCCCATTTGTTCCGTCCAAAGTGCTGTACCATATCACGGGCTCGTCAACTGAAAATTTTGGGAAAAAATTTTTTTGGGTTAAAAAAATGAGGAAATGAGAGTTTATACCTAGCGTCAACATGGGCATCAATAAACTATAGGCTCTGGCAAATCCAACCATGAAGTCAGCGACCTTCAAGCAATAGGGAGCTTTACGATCATAGCATTGACCCTGATCCCTGCAGTCATTGTTTGTGCCTCGTCGATGTCCACTCTCGAAATCCTTGAGCTTCTCAAATTCACCCTCGGCAAGGCTGTACGTGAACGGCAACCTGAAGAAAAAATTTTAGAAGCGTATAATTAGAGCGTTTCCGATGAACTCACATGTTGTTTGGAGTGTACTCAAAATCGTCATGCTTCCCTCCCAGACACGCGTGATCAGAGTACTCGATGCCAATGTTCACAGAGAGCTTCGTGTCCTTCTTAGCGACCAGATCCAAGACGCATCCTTCTTTAGCCGCTCCGTTCTTCTTGTACAAGATCTTTCTGAAAAATGAAATCAAAATTAGTTCACTAAGCTTCACCAAACGTTTAATGAAAACTCACATCCAGTCTGTGCCAACCCATTCCACATCCTTACACGCCTCTGACAGATTCTTCAATGGAGACAAGTCCGCCTTCTCACTGACCACCACCATGTTGCTGCCCAGCTTTGAAATCTTGCCATTCCCGTCCAATTCATGCTTGCCGGCACCGACCTTTGCGCATTGAACCAAGCCTCCAAATAGAAGAGCAGCAGCAACCAGGTGAAGAGAACACGAGAGCAGCGACGACGACGAAGGCACCCAAGTGCAGCGACAAAGCTTTGCCATCCTGAGCGAGTTTTGAAGTGAAGAGAAGAAAATGTTGTTGTTTTGGTTCGAGTTGAAGAATGAGGTAAAGAAGTGAAAATTATAGAGAGCTTTTATAGTATGATTGACCGGTATCGGGATCGGAGACTTGACTTATCTTGACTTGGCTAATATGAATCTCTCCTATTTTTGCTGAGACTGATACCGAGACAAAATACAGACTTGAAGTACTAGTTCCGTAGTTCTAGTTCCAAACTAGTTCCAGATAATCGTTAGTTCCGTAGTTTCTGGAACTGAAACTAGAACTAATTAGTTCCGGAACTGGAACTTTGACATCACTGGTGATCAGTCATTTTAGTATCACACTTTTTTCGAATTCCTTATTTTTTGCTGAAACCGATACTGAGATAGAATACAGACAAAGACTTTCCCTATTAGCTCTCAAAGCCCGATGGCCTCATGTTTCAAAAAAAGAGAGAAGGCCGTTAATTGTACCACAGAAGAGTTAAGTGGTTATGATTAAATTAAATTTTAGAAAATTTAAAAAAATCTGTCACTTGCCTAATTTTATTAATCAAATAAAAAATAATTTTGTTCTTTAATTTTCACACAAATAATAATTTTTGTAAGAAAAATTTTAAATATTTTTTAAATGAGGAATGGGGGAGGGATGGAAATTAATTTTATATTAGAGATAAAACTTTAATTAATGAGAGACAGGTGCTTCTGATTTTTAAAATTAAAATCAGAATTTTTACAAATCACAAAACTAAAAAGGCGGAATTTCTGTTATTTATTTATAATCAGAATAATTAAAATCAGAACAACCTTTATCTAACAGGCGGAATTTCTGATTTAAAAAATAAAAAAAATTCTGATTTTTATTTAATTAAATCAGAAATTGTAATAAAAATACAATTTCTGATTTTTATTTAAAATCAGAATTTTTACAGAAAAAACAGACGGAATTTCTGATTTAAAAATAGAATAATTCTGATTTTTATTTAATTATAAAATTCTGATTAAGGTTTTAAATCTCTAATATATTAATAGACACAACCATATTTTAAAAATAAGTATTATTATAATAATTTTTAGAAGAAAGCCTAAACAAATGAAATTATCTCCTATTACCACACAAATTTTAATTTTTTTCCTCTCAACTTCAATTTTTGTAAAAAAATTTCTATAAATTCAGAATATTTGTGATTTATTTTTAGTCTTCTAAATTGCGGAAAGCTGTCTGAAAAAAAATTTTTTTTTTATTTTTTTAAATTAATAATCCACCTGCATACGCTCATAAAGATCATCAAAATCTTTTTTTATTTTTTCCTCACCATCAACTATAGGATCCTTTAAATTAAAATTTTTTTTAATTTTTTAAAATTTTCTAAAAATTAAAAAAAAGCACCTTAAATTTCATAGAAGACAATTCATAAATTAATTCATTCATATGATCACGAATAATTGCCCAAGTAATTTTATTGTCAGATTGTGCAGTAGATTCAACTGCATGACGGGCAAAGTCATAAAATGCAATCCTTTATTTAATTTGTATTTTGTTGGAAAATAAAATAGAAAAAATACAAAAAATCAGAAACAGATAAGTTTAATTTGTATTTTTGATTTAAATAATTCTGGTTTTTGTGTTTTCTTTAAATTATTTTTTACCCCTTGTTTTATTTCAACTTATTCTGATTTAAAACAAAAAAAGAGAAAATACAAAAAAAAACACAAAAATCAGAATTATAAAAATCAAAAATACAAAAATCAGAATTATTCGAAAATACAAATGTTCAAAACAGAAAGACACAAAAATCAGAAATAAATTAAAATCAGAATTTTTACAAAAGCAATAAGGCGAGAATTCTGATTGAAAAACACAAATCAGAAATTCAATCCTAACAATTAAAAAAATTCTGATTCTGATTTTAATTATTGAAAACACACACAACCAGAATTATAGGAAAACAAAACACAAAATAAAATCAGAACAAAACAAAAACACAAAAAATCAAAACAAACCAAAAACACAGACCAACACAACCAATTAAAATCAGAACAACAAAAACACAATTAAAATCAGAACAAAACAAAAACACACCAACAAACACAATTAAAATTCAAACAAAACTTACATATTTTTCATCATTCCAACAGTTTTGTAAAACGGACAAAAACGATCATAAGGTGCATAACCATTTTGTTGGAGAAAATCGTCTTTAATAATTTTTGCAACTTCAAGAGTAATTTTGTCAGATTCAGCTAACGAAGCTTTGCCTACAAGTTGAACAATTTCAGAGAGATCTTCTTCTTCCTAAAAATAATTAAAATTCTAATTTTTTAAAAGATAATTCTGAATTTTAAAAATTCCTATTTCTGAAGCTTTTTTAAATTATATTCTAATTTTTAAAATCACGTTTTCTAAAAATTCTGATTTTTATATTTTCTAGAAAGTCTGATTTTTGCATTTTTAAAAATTCTGATTTTAATTGTGATTTAAAAAATTCTGATTTTTGTATTTTTAAAGATTATGATTTTTGTATTTTTACAATTATTTCTGGTATGTGCATTTAATTCAAATTAAAAACACAAACAAAATTACCTGTAAAATTTCTTTGTATTTTGTACGAAGAGGGACAAATTCAGGGAAATTCTTTTCATAATAATCATCTAATGCTCTCATATAATTACTGGAAAAATAATTTATTTATTTAATTTCTCCCCTTATATTTTTTAATTAAATTTAATTAAGAATTTTTAAAAAGGCGTTAACTTGAAAAAAATTTTAAGTTAAAGATGATCAAAAATCAACTCGATAATTTTCCAAAATTATTATAAGGTACATATTTTGTGTTTTATTCGTATAAGAAACTTTGTTTTAGTATATTATGCTAAAACTAGAAACATTATATAGAAATAAATTTAATCGTGTAACAGTTAAAAAAATATTTTTTTAGAAGAAGAGAGAGGAAATAAATAATGTACATACAACCTATTTTAAGGAAAAGATCAGAAAAAAATGTTTTTTCCTTTATTGTAATAATTTTCTAAATTAATTACTATTTAAATCAAAAAAATTTTTCCGTCCTAAAATTAAATGATCACAAATTTTATATTTTATTTTTTTCATAAATTAAAAAAAACTTTTTTCCCTTTCCAAAATATTAAAAAAATTTTCTCAAAAATAACTTCCTCCAAATTTCCAAAATTACAAAAAATAAAAACAGAAAAAAAGTTTTTTAATCAGGAATCTCAAATAAAATTTTTCTTCCAAAATTAAAAATCAAAATTTTTTATTTTAAAAACAAACTCTCTCCTAAAAAATATTACGTCATTTACCCCTTCACAAATAGCCTCTATATAGGACTCTAAAAATTCTTATACAATATAAAATTATTTTTATATTTTTTTGTTGTCAATAGTAACGCATCTTTTAAAGAATGGCATTATATTCTTATATATTTATTGGCCAAAAAATTCTCTCACACATTTAAACACCTCTACCTATATTTATTTACAGCCCCAAAAGTTTTTTTCTTTCACCTTCTTACCCACTTTAAAAAAATTATTTATTTTATCTTTACCTAACTGTTGCACAAAAATATGAATTTGATCACCTTGGTAACCCCTTTATTTCATTTTAAAATTAATTAAAAAAAATTTTTTTAACTCCAAATAAATTAAATATATTGTGTGTGTCTTTTAAAATGATTAATGAAAATTTAAATGAATGAAAAAAAACTTTTAAAAAATTAAAATTCAAAAAAAAATTATTTAAATATTGCAAAGGGTCAGTTGCCTTGAAAAAAATTTTTAAATTAAGCCAGGTCACAATTAACTAATAACACAAATTTAATTGCAAAAAGGATCTTTAATTTATTAAAGAAGCTTAAAATTAAAAAACACATTTGAAACTAAAAAATTAAATTATTAAAAAAAAATAATTTTAGAAAATTATTTTTTAGAAAACTATAAATTTAAATATGTAGGTAAAAGACACTAGGAAATGATAACACTTATTATTTTTTTTCTCTTCCGTATTTTTAAAATTTTAATTATATGTGTAATCCAAATATTTGAAAAAAAGTGAATTACTAAGCTTTATATTTTCCCCTTTTATTTTCCCTCTTTATTTTTCATTTACATATTTATTTAAATAAGTCAACCGCTTAACTCTCTTTCCCTCTCTCCATTTTTTCTCGCGCACACAACAAAAATTATTTTATATTATAATTTGAATAAAACAAAAATGTCTTATAAATTCCCTTCGTTTTTAGAAAATAAAAAAAAGAACATTCAAGAAAAAGTAACAAAAAAAACCTCTAAGATACCTATAAGGCTAACGAGAACAACGCCTACTTAACTAACTCTACTCAATTCTCAGTGCTATATTAACCGTTCCTATGGCAAAAATGCCAATACCGCCTCCTCCAACACAAAGCCTCACACAATTGTCAAGAGCTACCACTAATTCTATTGTCAACAGATTATAATTATTATTATTAAAAAAGTTAACGAGAAAATATCTTGCTTCATTTTTAAATAAAAATTGCGACGAATAAAAACGATATTGAGTCAAGTGAAGAAGAAACGTTATCAACTTGTAGTAGTGAGGAAGAATTTGAAGTAAAAAAAGAAGCAAAGGAAGAGGAACAACAAAGAAGTACTTCACATAAAGGTGAAGAACATAAACTAGACGAGAAAAGGGCGGAAGAAAAAGAAGACAAAATTTACAGTCAATTAAGTGAGGAAGAGGAAAAGGAGGAAAGAGAAGAGGAAGAAACAAATTTTGAAGAAAAAACGGAAGCGTTTGTAAATCTTTTTGAAGATAAGGAAGAAAATACTATTAGTAATCCTTCCAATCAGTTAAGTGAAGAAAAGAAGGAAGAAAATAAAAAAGAAGAGTATTTCAATTCGATTGAGGTTGAAAACCAGCAGGATAGTTTATTTAAAGTAGAGGAAGAAGGCAGATTAAGTGAAGAGAAGATTAACAAGGAAGAAACCTCCAAGGAGCAACAAGAAGAGCAAGCCTTCCAAGAAGTCCCCAACAAGGAAGAGACTCAAGAAGACTCACAAAAAGAAGAAAAACTCTTCCAAGAAGCCCCTCCCAAAGAAGATTTAAAAGAAGAAGAAACCTCCTCCCAGGAATCCACAAAAAACAACAAAACAAATTTTTCATTCCCCTCAACTTCACCCTCACCTCCTTCAACATCCTCATCTCCATCTTCAACAAAAAAAGCATTATCCCAAAAAACATATCATAAATATTCTTCAGCCTCAACTTTAGGACAAGAAGAATTTTATTCCTCAGAATTATATTTTGATACAATAACAGAAAAGTGGAAACAACAATTATTTTTTGAAGAAGAAAACGAGAAAAGTTATTATTATCCTTTAGATTTTGAATTTGAAGGAAGACAAGGAGGAGCACAATCCCTACCAAGACAACAACAAGGAGAAGAAGAACCCCCTCCTTATTATAACGAGACTTTTGAAGAATTTATTAATAATACAGCTGAATATCCATTACAACAACAATATCAACAATCGTCTAATAGACACTTTGAAATACCTTTTGGAATTTTTGATTTTGATAGTGAAGAAGAAGAACAAGACTTTAATTGTATTAATACTGCAGAAAGAGGGTAAATAAAAATAAAAAATTTTTTATGAGAGAAAAAAATCCTGAAAAAAAATAGAAGAGTAAAGAAGCGAGTATTTTAGTAACAAGAATTAAGAGTTAAAGTAGGAAAAAATTAAAAAAAATTTCTAATATATATGAAATACTTAATAGAAGCCTTAAAAAGCTGCCAAAAAATTACAAAAAATTTGTTTTAAGAAAAAAAATTTTTTTAACATATCGAGAAGCCAACCCGAGGGTATAGAAGCATTAATAGAATAGAAATTTTCTTATAAAATTAAACAATTACAGACATTCCCAAAAAATCCAAATATTTTAAGAAAATTGTCTAGATAAATATTAATAACGAGAAAGATCGTGGGAAACCAAAAGCGAGAAAAAGTCGCTGGAAAATTTAATTAACAAAAAAGTAGTTCAAAATTAACAAAAAATTTCTCTTCTCAGTTAAGAGAAAAATTAGAAGCTTACCTAATAGAAAAATTTCATTTTTTAAGCCAAATAATGGGAAACAATTTTCCTCCACAAACATTAGAAACAATTGCAAGTGTTCAACAACAACAACGTCAACTTAACAATAATAGAGAGAATAATTCCAACACAAATAATTTTGAACATCGCGGAGTAAAAGGAATTTTAGGTGTAACAGCACGTTTAACTGGACTTGTTAGTTTGGCTATACAAACAATTGTTTTAATTTTGGGTTGTTTATTAATTGGAATATTATTTGTACATTGTGGAGGAACCAAATATTTTAATCATGAAGAAAAAAATTCTGATCAAAATCAAAGAGAAGAAAGAGGAGGACATATTGTTGGAGATGAACCCTTTTTATTTATAAAATCATTAAATGATACAGATGAAACAAATTTAAATGAAACAACTTTAGCAGAAGCATTAATATCAGAAGAAAATCAGAATTTAAACAAAACATTGGAAGAAACAAATCAGAATTTAAACAAAACATTGGAAGAAATAACAGAAAAACAAGTTGGAAATAAAGTTGGAAATGTTTGGTTAAATAATTTAACAAAACCAGAACAAATGTTTGACGAAAACAATGTTTTATTAAATGAAACAAACATTGAAACAAACATGAATGAAACTGTAGCAGACACAAAGGAGATATTAAATGATGATATAAACAATAAAGAAAATCAAGTAAAAATTAATTTAAAAAATTCTAAAAAATAAAAAAAAATTTTTCTTGAAAAGCTAGGCATTAGAAAACATGAAAAAATAAAAATAAAAAAAGATTCAATACAGAATAATACAAAAATATACAAAAAATAGCCTATTTTCGTCAAAAATAGGCTAAAAACGCCAAAAAATAATTTTAAAAAATATCAAAAAATTATTTTTCCCCAAAAATTTTCAGACATTCAATCTTGCCGAACTAGAAACGATAGGGAATGAAATAATTAATCCAAACAAAACACAAGAAGATGACTATACAGACTCTGAAACAGAAGCAACCACAAACCTATTAAATTCTATATCAACACAACAACCAGAAGAACAATCAGAAAATTTATCAAAAAATCAAACAAATAACTTTCAACACGAAGAAAATATAAACAAAAAACAAACATTTTTTGAACAAATAAAACCAATAAAAATACATTTTGGTAAACGAATTGAATTAGATTTGCTTACAATGGTTAGGGCATTATGTGGAATATATGGAATTGGATGTATTTTATGGTTAATTTCTTTAATTGGATTAACAATTTCGTTAAAATTGGAAATTGCCGATTTAGTTTATTTAAATACTTTTATGTTAGCTAATATTACACTACTTTTGTTAATTAATATTGTTGCTGTTGGAGTTATTATTGTTTTACAGGTAAATTCTGAAATAAATTCTGAAATATTTCTAAAGAATTCTGATTTGTGAAAAATACAAACAGAAAAATACAAATTCTGATATTGAAAAAAATCAAAATAATAAAAGATAACACAAAAAAAATTCTGAAACTCAAAATAAAAAAAAATTCTGGTAAAACACAAAAACAAATAAAAATCAGAATTATGAAAAAAACACAAAGAATTCTGAAACACAAAATAAAACAAATTCTGATATTTAAAACACAAATCAGAAATTCTGAATAAAAACACAAAAACAAATAAAAATCAGAATTAAAATAAACAAGAAAACCTATTTAATTTAAAAATTTTCAGACTGAATATCACTGGAAAATGTTAATTACAATTGGTGTTATTGAAGGAGGATTAATTTTGTGTTTTATTTTTAATGTTTTAGCAATTGTATTTATTGTGATTTGGTATCGTTATATTGATTATATGAATGGAGATGATAAATCGGTAAATTTTTAAAAATAAAATACAAAAAATCAGAAAGCAAAAATAAACAAAAATACAATTAATTAAAACCAGAAAATACAAAAAAATACAAAAATATAAAAACCAGAATTAAGAAGGAAAAATACAAAAAATACAAAAATCAGAATTGAGAAATACAAAAAACACATGAAAATACAAAAATCAGAATATAACGAAATAAAATAGGAAAACCAGAATTGAAAATACAAAATCAGAATTGAGAAATACAAAAAACACATGAAAATACAAAAATCAGAATAATAACGAAATAAAATACAAAAATCAGAATTGACAAAACACAAAATCACAAAAATCAGAATTAAAAAAAATCAGAATATAACAAAAATATTTTTAAAGTGTCTCTGTTTGTCTGCAATTACTGGGTGTATTAAAGGACGTAATAATAATCAAAGACAACAATCACAACAACAACAAAGACAACAACGTCAACACCCTCCCCAAGCTAATTATACAATTCCAGAAGCTACAAGACATCCCCAATTACCCTATATTGATGATTCCCCTCCAATACAACAATTTAGTAATTTTTGAAAGAGAAAAAGAGAAGAAAAAATGAATGATTTTTAAAAAAGATATGAAAAAAATGACAGAAAATTAAAAATATAAATACCCCAAAATATTAAAAAAAAAATCAAAAAAATATTAGCCACTCAAAAATATTTTTTAAAAAAATTTCTTTAAAAATTCACTAAAATTTAGTGACCTAAAATCAGTTTCTTAATGTATCCCTTGTGATCATTTATTTAATTAATATACTATTTAAATTATAAACCTAATCAACTTTTGTATTTTAAAAAATCATTTAAAACCACAAATTTATTCCGTTTTTCATTCCCTATTTTTCCAAAAATTTTTTCCTTTTCCCTATTATACTATTTATATATGATTTTGTTATTTTTAATTAAATATTCATGTAATTATTTTTTATTTTATAAATAAATTTTTTAAAATTAAAAAATTTAAATACCTGTAAGATATAAGCCAATTAATTGAAGGAAAATGTTTTCGTTGAGCCAATTTTTTGTCTAATCCCCAAAATACTTGAACAATTCCTAATGTTGCTGTAGTTACTGGATCAGCAAAATCACCTCCGGGAGGTGAAACACTAAAAAAGAAATTTTTTAAAATTATTTTTTAATTTTTAAAAATTGCTTATAGAATTCTTACAAAAAATTTTTTTTGTGAAACAAATTAGCTAATTTTGAAGCAAATTCCCCCCTTTTTAAACCAAAAAAATTTTTCCGATTAAAAAATAATAAACTCACGCCCCAACAATAGTAACAGATCCATCTCTATCAGGCGATCCACGACATTTAACTTTCCCAGCCCTTTCATAAAAACTAGCCAATCTAGCAGCTAAATAGGCAGGATAACCAGAATCTGCAGGCATTTCCCCCAAACGACCAGAAATTTCTCTCAAAGCTTCTGCCCAACGAGAAGTTGAATCTGCCATCATTGCAACATTTAAACCCATATCACGGAAATATTCAGCCAACGTAATTCCTATATTTTTTAATTAAAAAATTTTTTTTCAATTTTTAAGCTGAAAACGAAAAATGTTAACAAAAACAAGTTTGTTTTTGAATATGTACATTGTTCTAAAAAGTGTATATATTCAAAAATAGGGTTGGGGGCCCGATCAGGTCCGGACCGAAAGATCGAGTCGGGAATTGAATTTTGGCCCGAAAAAGAATTTTGGTCGGGCCGGTCCGAAAAAAGTGACTCGAACGTCGGAATCACGTCTCAAAACCCTAACCCTATTCAAAAACAAACATTTTCTGTTAACAAAAACTTGTTCATTTCAACAAAAACAAATTTTTTATTTATTTTTTTCAACCTGTATAAATACTAGCTTCTCTAGCAGCTACAGGCATATTAGAAGTATTAGCTACCAAAGCTGTTCTTTCCATAATTGAGGTTGTTTTTCCATCTACTTCCATTGTTAATTCGGGGAAATCCCGTAATACTTCAGACATTTCATTTCCGCGTTCTCCACAGCCAACATAAATAATTGCGTCAGAATTGCTGTATTTTGATAATGATTGGGAAATTACTGTTTTTCCACAACCAAAAGCTCCTTTAAAAAATTTAATTTGTTTCTAATTAAATTTAAGAGTACAGCCCAACTTACCGCAGAGCTATATTCGTTCAGAATGGTCGAATCCGTGACGCCCTGGTATGGCGAGGCGCATCGAACCATATCGAGGCGCATCGAACCATACCAAGTTGTCCCGGATTCGACAATTTTGAAGCAAGTTACAGCTTTGCGCCGTTATGGCCGCGCGCCGTTTTGGGCGTGTCCCTAAATTTTATTGAAAAAACCTACCAGGTATAGCGGTTGTTCCTCCTTGGACACAAGGAAATAGGGCATCCAAAACCCTTTGGCCACACAGAAGTGGATAATTAGCAGCCAATTTTTCGGCAACCGGGCGGGGCTGTCTGACAGGCCAAACTTGAAGCATAGAATATTTTTGAACATCTCCAGAAAATTCAATTTCGATGATTTTTTCCTTAAAATTAAGAAAAATTTGGGTGGGATCAAATGTCAATTTTGTGAATTTTTGTGATATTAGTCAGAAAAGCAAAAAAATTTCCTAAGAAAACCCTCAAGGAAAGGTGCCAATAGAAATTCAAAAAATAACAACTAACCGTAACATTATAGCTCCCTTTAGGTGCCAAATACTTCAATGTTCCACAAGCATTTGGAGGCACCATAATCGAGTGTTTAACCAGCGCACTCTCATAAACTATCCCCACAATATCACCACCAGTAACGTGATCCCCTGGACGTAGACTTTGTTTTGGAATAAATTCCCATTGTTTTGTGCGACTGAGGGCGTTTGTATTGATTCCTTAGAGAAAAGAATTTTTTTAATTTTTTAAAGAGAAAAAAAACCTTTGGGTATGTAAATAGATTGGGTCATCTGAAAAATCAATTGAAAAGTTTTTTATACAATTTGTTACTAAACCTGTGCAATATCGTGTAGAGGACGTTGTATTCCATCAAAAATAGAACCCATAATGCCTGGACCCAATTCTACTGAAAGTGGCTTTCCAGTACGTAAAACAGGATCTCCAATTGTTACAGCAGCTGAAAAAATATTTTTTAAAATTTCTGTACGCAAATGTTGTCCGCAAGTTTCTGTTCAGTGCTAAAACGTCCGTACCAAAAATCTCAACTCGTAACTCATCAAGGCATGAGTGCAAAATCAAAAATAGGATAGGGGTATGAGGTACGAGCACGCCAAAAACTGAAATTCCCAAGCACTGGTTCTGTCCGCAAGTTTTGTCCGCGAAAACATTTTCAGTCCGAAAAAGGTTTTTAAACATAAATTTCGAGGAAAAAAAATTTAAAAGATAAACAAACATGTTTCCTCGTATACTTGTATAGTTGCATAATCCCCTTCCAAACGAATAATTTCACCAACAAGTTCATTGTGTCCAACACGGACTAATTCGTACATGGCAGCTCCAGACATCTTCTCTGCCGTTACGACTTAACAAAAAATTTTTTAAATAAAAATTTAAAATTTAAGAAAAAACCAGGCCCAGAAACACCATAAACATAGCCATATTGGGCTTCTTTAACTTCACGAGTAGATGGAGGCATTCCACTTTTTGTTAAAGGTCGAAGAAATAAACGGGTTTTAGGTCTCTAAAATAATTTTAAAAATTAATTGAGAACATTTAAAAAATTATAAAATTGATAAAAAGACAAGAAAAAGGTAGGAAATAATTTATAAACCAATTAAAAATCAAGAAAATTCAATTTGACCCTGAAGGGGTTCGAACCTTCGCCCTAAAATAACGAAAAACATGATGTTCCCACTTAACCACAAAAATAACTGATAAGCTGCAAATTATTTCTAACTCGGTTTTACACAAGTAACTAGCAGTTAAATAGAAGAACAATGGAAATAATCATCGAGAAATAACAATAAAAATAAAATTTACCCCCAAAATTAGTAAAATAGTGACGAGAACAATGTTAGAGATTAAAAACCAAAGATATTAATTTTTGCAGAAATTCGTTTCGAAAAATTATATAAAATTTAATTTAATAGAAAAATACAGTATATAGACAAGAACAAGGGTTAGTTTTTGTTTAATAACTTTTGAATGGATGAATGGTTTTTTGAAAGTTTGGTATCATTTTGTAGGGAATTTATTCCTCTACAAAATAAATTAGAAAATAAATTTTTAAAATTTTTTAAAGCAAAGTTATGTCGAAAAACCTTCAAAAATGGCATTTTTCTTGAGTTTTTGGACCATAACTTCTTTCATTTCTTCTCGAATAAAATTTATATTTACACTTTTTGATAGCTAATTTAATTGTCTATTTAATAATATCAAAAATTTGATAAGCTTTTTAATTTGTCTTAAGCTAAAATTATTTGTCTTGGTCTATGTCTCTCATAATTTTAGAACCAATTTCTTCATTAAAAAAATTTTTTTTTAATTTTTAAAATTTTTTTTAAATAAATCAACTTACTTTTGTGCTTCCTTCTGACGATTCTCCTTTTTTCAATTGTTTTGAATTTGTTTTTGAAGAATGACTTGTAACTTTTGCTTCTTTTGCTTCTTTTTTCACACCTTTTTCTTCTGGCATAGAAAATTAATTTAACACAAAAATTATAATTTTGTAAAAATTTACTTTAAATTACACACTTTTACAATTTATTTATAAATTATTTTCCATTTAATTTTTTTACCCACTTTATGGCATCACCCATATATTTTTCCCGGCGTAGTGACAGAAGACCCACAGACAGAAGACCCAAGGACAGAAGAACCACAGACAAAAGACCCACAGACAAAAGACCCACAGACAAAAGACCCACAAGAAAAAATTTTTAACCAAAACTTAAGAAGAAATTTTCTGAAATTTTTGAAAAAGACTTCTATTTTTCTAGGCACTAGATTTCAAAAATTTATTCCAAAGTTAATCAATAATGTTTGATTAATGAAAAAGTAGATTGAAGAATCGGGTGATTAAATGGGATATTTAGGATTGGGATACTCCGATATCTCTCTTTAACAGAAAATCGGATATGTCAGGGATCTAAAGTGATGTAAACAGATTTAAAACTTTTAAGCTTTTTTAATTCTACTAATCCGCTTTTATCAAGCGATAATCCTCCATCTTACTCAGAAATAATTATCTAATCTCAGCTAATACCAATGACCCACGACATCCTTGCAGATTTCCGATATCCTTGACAACTTCTAATCCTTCTATATCCCTTCATGTGGAGGGATATAGAAGGATAAAAGGTGTATTAGTTAATCTTTTATCAATGGGTATTAATCTTAAATCAAGGAGTATTAAGTTTATCTTGAATACCTCTTGATACTAAATGTCCCTTTGATCTACTTTTTCTTTTCTTCGTCGCAGACAAAAATTTTGGGAATTTTGAAAGGGCAAGAAGCAACGTTTATACATTTTTAACAACCATGGTGAAAATTCTTTGAATTTTGGAAGGCCAATTAGCTATTTTTATATCATTTATTATATCTGAACCTGATCAGATTATGTTTTTTGACATGACCTGGACCTGATTAAAAATCCCGAAAATCCGGGGAATCAAGATCCACTTTCGTTAAACAAGCTCCCCTGTCATTGGGACAAGATTCCCATTGTTGGAACAACTTGACCCGTTTTTGCAACAACACCCCTCATTGTTAAAATAACATCCCCGATGTTGGAACAACTTCCCCGTTATTGGAACAACATCCTACATTGTTGGAACAACCTTCCCGATTATTGGAACGACCTTCGCTAATATCGAAACAACTTTTCCCGTTGTTGGATCACCCTTTTATTATGGAAAACTAATAAAATTAACAACATCCCTTGTGTCAAATTTTATGCACAATAAAACTGAAAAATATTTGTGGGTCTTTTGTCTGTGGGTATTCTGTCCTTGTGGGTCTTCTGTCTGTGGGTCTTTTGTCTGTGGGTCTTCTGTCCTTGGGTCTTCTGTCTGTGGGTCTTCTGCGTCGACACGATTTTTCCCTTTATTTTCCACCACGTTCACTATTCTTCCACAAAAAACAAATTTCCTTTTTTTATAATTTTTTTTTTAAATTTTTTGGTAGTTATGGAAACGCAACATTGTATTATTCTCAATAAAAAATAATTATTTTTTTATTTTTTATTAATTAAATACCTATTGAAAACCTTAGGGACGTCTTTTATTGCTAGCCAAGTTTATTTAATTTTTATTTGAAAAATTATTGTTTATAAATAAAAATTAACAAAAAAATTCCTTTTTAAATTTCCAGACATTTTTAAAATATTTAATATTTTATTTACTCACTTAATTTTATTTTTAAATGGATGCTGAAAATATTAGAGAAGAGTTGCTTCAAGTTAAAAAAGTAATTAATACTTGTTTTGATAAAATATAAAAACATTAATAATAAATTAGAACTTGTTTTTACAACAAGAAACAAGTTGTACAATAATTTAACAAATAAACTTATTTTTCGAAAATAAACTTGTTTGCAAAACATATAAAAATTAAAAATAAACATGTTTTGATAGTTAAACTTTTTTTAAATAAACTTGTTTTTACAACTTGTTTTTACAACAAGTTGAGAAACAAGTTTTACAAATATCAGTTTTAATTAAACATGTTTTGGAACTTATTGTAAAACATATTTTAAAACAAGTTTAATTTATATTATTTTACAACTTGTTTCTAAACTTGTTCTAAAAGAAGTTTTAAGTTTGTATCAGAATTAATAAAACTTGTTTTACATTAAAAAATAACCTTGTTCATATTATTCTAAATAATAATTAATTTAAATAATTTTTCCGGCACACTCCGCCATTCTACGCGAAAATAGCCAATATAGAACCCGGTTAAGAATAGCTGAGCGTGAACGAAATCGACGTGAAGAAGAACTTAAACGGCTTTTAACTCTCCCACAACCAACAAAATCTTTAAATAATAATAAATTGTCTTACTCAACATTATCTGAGAATCGGATAGAAATGATGGCCTTAAAAAGAAAAATTTTACTTTATGAGAGATTACTTAAAGAAAAAACAAGAGAGAACACGTATGTTATCTTTAAGTTCTCAGGTTTCTCAGGTTTTTAAGTCTAAACTTAAAAAAAACTTGTTTTTATGTTTTTAAGTTTGAACTTGAATATTCAAGTTTATTTTCAAGTTCGTTAAGTTTTCAAGTTTGAACTTAAAGTTTAATGTTTATTTTCAAGTTTATTTAGAAAATAAACTTGTTTTTAAGTTTGATCTTAAATTTCTAGGTTTATTTTCAAGTTTATTTAGAAAATAAACTTGTTTTTAAGTTTGATCTTAAATTTCTAGGTTTATTTTCAAGTTTATTTAGAAAATAAACTTGTTGTTAAGTTTGTAACTTTTTCCCAAGTTTGTACCAAGTTTTCAAGTTTCAACATTTTCAGAAAATTATTGGAAGACAAAAAAATTGTAGAAGCATCAGAAACACGCAAATTAACAGAAAAACTGGAAAATGAATGTCAAAGGCTACGAGTACATTTAGCACAATCTGTTCCGGAAACAGAATTTTTAAAAGAAAAGGATCAGTATTTAACAATAATAAATAGATTAATTGATGAAAATATGCATTTACGTCAAGTTGTTGGGAAGTTTGAACACAAGAGAAAAGGTTGGAATTTTTTCATTAAAAATAATTCTGATTTTGTAGATAAAATTCTGATTTTCAAGTTTATTTATTTTCATAATTCTGATTTTAGACAATAATTCTGATACTTAATAATTCTGCTTCAAGTTTTATTTCTTCATTCTGATTTTATTATTTTTTAGTTTTAGTTATCCTAATAATTCTGATTTCTGTTTTTAAGTTCTGATTCAAGTTTTATTTTGATAATTCTGATTTTATTAAAAATAAAATTCTGATTTTCAAGTTTATTTATTTTAATAATTCTGATTTTAGGTAATAATTCTGATCAAAGTTTTATTTTTAAATTAATTCTGATTTCAAGTTTATTTTAATAATTCTGATCTTAAAATTTATTTAAAATTAATTCTGATTTCTAAGTTTTATTTATCAGAAATTTTTCAAGTTTTATTAATCAGAATTAATCAGAATTTAATAATTCTGCTTCAAGCTTTATTTTTAATTAATTTTTAGAATCAGAAAAGTTGTTAACGGAATTAGGCGGTGGGGAAGCGTTGGTTAGACAATTTAGAACTATGAGTATAAACACTCGGTAAATTAATAAAAATAAATGCTAAAATATTTCTAAATTAATTAAAAATTATTAAATTTATTTTTAAAAATATTTTTGAAATTTTTTCAGATTTTTTTGAATAAAAAAATTTTTTTAAATTATTAAAATTAATTTTAATAAAATTAAAAAAAAATTCTTTAATCTAAAAATAATTTTAGAAAACAGGCAAACTTCTATAAAAAAGCTTTAAATAATTTAATGACAAAAGGCAAGCAATCGCTACAGAGCAGTCGCCGTCGCCCTACTTTAGCCTCCACAACTTCTTCAGTTTCTGGAAAATTAAAAAATCAAAATTTAAATTTAAATAAATCCCAATCTTTTTTAAATAATTTTAATTTAAGGTAACTAAATAAATTAATTAAAAAATTTTTCTTGAAATTTTAACAGAAAGGACATTTCTTCCCAACTTAATTTAAAAAATTCCAAACGTCGTGCTTCTTCTTTGGAAAATTCTAAAGCTTCCAAGTCTGACAATAATGAACCTAGAAACTTGAAAAATGTAGAAAATAAAAGTTTGGGTATTTTGTTGGACAGTGAAGGTGCCTAAGAAAAAATTTAAAAAAATTCAAAAAATTTTTTAATTTCAAAAAAATTTTTTTTAAGGTCACCCTTCCATCACTAACACCAATTTTAATGAAAAATCCCCTTCAAATCAGCCAACTCCCCAATCCAATTGTTCATTAATTACTTGTGTTAGACGCACACAACGATCAAATTCTGAAAACTCAAAAATAGGGTTTCCAAAAAAGGAAGAGTTTGAAGAACAAAATGAGGAGGAAGAAGAAGAAAATGAAAAAAAATCTGATGAGGATTTGGATTTTAAACATTTTGAAGATTCTGAAGAGGAAGGGGAAGTTGAAAAAGATGAGAAGGAAGAGGAGGAGGAAGAAGATGGGGAGGAAGAAGAGAACGACAATGAGGAGTCTATTCATCATGTATCTGAAGAGTCGGACGAAAAGGAGATTGAAGACATGGTTGGGGACGGGTATAAATTAAACAAAAAAGTGGGGGGGGGGAGGATTAAGAGAGAAGGGAGGGGGGGGGAGATTTTCGAAGTAAATTATGAAAATTAATTTTTGAAAATTTAAAAATAAAAAAATTTTAATTTAAAGGAAAACGAAGAGACCCATTTAAATGCCCTCTACAGACTTATATCCTCTCACATATTACGCCAACAAATGTGTAAAGTGAGAGAAGAACGTGATCCCTACAGTAAACAAATGGTCGTTGGAATATTACAACAAGAACAACAGAATTATTATTGGTGATAACTAAAAGTTTTTGATTTTACAAATTGTAATTTAGCTTTATACAATCCAAGTTTATTTTTAAAAAAGTTTTACAATTTGTGAAGTAAATAAATAAACTTTATTACAATTTGTGAATTTATTTGTTTATTTTAAATTACAAATTGTAAAACTTTCCTTTATTTAAATAAACTTGGATTGTAAAGTTTTACAATTTGTAATTTAAATATAAAAAGTTTATTTAAAAAAAAGTTTTATTTACAAATTGTAAAGTTTATTTAAGGTTATATAATTCAAGTTTAATTTTAAAAAAAGTTTTACAATTTGTAGTTTAACTTAAATAAAGTTTTACAATTCAAGTTTATTTAAATAAACTTTGTTTTTAAACTTCAATTTTAATATAAAAGTTTTACAAACCAAGTTTATTTAAATAAATTTGAACAAATAGGTTTTACAATTTGTAATTAAACAAGTTTTTACACTTCCTTATTTTTTACAAATTGTAGTTTATATTAAACAAAGAATTTTACAATTTGTACTTTAATAAAAAAGATTTTTTTAAAACTTTTATTTAATTATTTTATAATAAATTGCCCCCATTAACTAACTAATAAATGTTAAAAATACTAAAAATATTAAATGTCCATCACTGATAATTTTATTTTAATTTTACTGATAAATTGCTTATTCTCGAAAAAAATTGTTTTGCAAAATTTATTTAATTACCCTGTTAAACCACACATTTAAACAAAAATAAATGTGGTCATTCTATAATTAAATAATTAAAAATATTAGGAAATATTTAAAAAATTATGAAATTATTTTTAACAAAATTTACAATTTTATTTTTATTATTTATTAATGAATCCTCCTCTAGTGCAATACGTAATTTGCGTTCTCACTATGATGCTGGAACCGATACAATATTAGTTGATTGGGAGTGGGATGAGCTAAGTGGAGGATTGGGCAGGCAACAACTTGAAGGTGTAGAGATGGAATTCTGATTTTAATTTCTGATATTTTTTGATTTTATTCTGATTTTATTTCAATATTCTGATTAATAATTCTGATTTTTCTGTTAATTCTGGTTTTAAATTCTGATTTTCTGGTTAATTCTGATATAAAATTCTGATTTTTCTGATAAAATTCTGATTTTAAATTCTGGTTTTAATTTCTGATTTTTCTGGTATTTTTCTGATTTTATTCCGATTCTAAATTCTGATTAATTCCGATATTTAACTGATTTTTCTTAATAATTCTGATCCAGTTCTGAATTTAAATTCTGATATTTCCTAACCTTCTGATTTTTTAAAATTTAAATTCTGATTTTAATTCTGATAATTTCTACACCAGACTACGAAATATTTGTACGCTACAAAGTTTCAAGACAAGGCCAAAATGAAGATGAATGGAGACGAGTTGAAGCAGAAGAGGATGGACTTGGTGCTCGCATTCCTCTTGGAAGATTATCGTTGAGTGATGGGGATGAGGTGATGACTCAGGTATTTGTGTAATTTTCTGATTTCTAAAAATTCTGATTTTTATTCTGATTTTTTTTCTGGGGTTTTTTCTGATTTTATTTTAATTCTGATTTTTATTCTGATTTTTTAACCAAAATTTCTGATTTTTAAATTTATTTCTGATTTTAAAAAATATTTAAAAATTATACAAGGCTGATTCCCTTTCCAGCTTTTTATTGCGGTTCAGGTACTAGCAGAGCCACTAACTCCTCCAGAAACTGGGAGCAGCGCTTCGTTGAAGCAACATAGTGAACCTCTTGTTGTTTGGATTGGTAGGCGTCAGAGTAATTCTGATGGAAATTCTGACGGATATTCTGAAAATAATTTTGATGGGAATTCTGATGGGAATTCTGGTGGAAATTCTGATTTCTCTTCGAATTCTGAAAAAAATTCTGAAAATAATTCTGATCAAAATTCTGATTTTTCTACAAATTCCAATTTTGAACTTCCCAAAAATCCTCCACCTACAGCAGAAGAAATTCTCCCTCCCTACAATTTCACTGCAAATATTCTTGGACCTACACAAGTAAAATTAGAGTGGAAAACACCTCCAAGATCTTCAGATACAACAGAGCTTTATTACTTTTATATTATTAATGTTAGACAAATAAGTGCAAATGATCGTAGTGGAAGGAAGTTTGCTCCACTGCAGGTAGCCTTCAGTTTATTTGGCATAACTCAGGAAGTAATTGGCCGATTGAAATGATCTTGGTTTTGATGGATAGAGAATTAAATTTGCTGCAAAATAAAATTTATTGGAAAAAATATTTAAACAGAACCCTTCGAGATAATCATTAAAAACTTCAAATTTTATCAAAAAATGTTAGTTTTTTGACCATAACTTTTTAGAAGAATTTTCAAAAATTCTGATTTTTCGAAGTCTTGTAGAGAATTTAATTCTCTATCGAATGATTACAATCATATTTCAAACAGGCAATTGCTTCTTGAGTTATGAGCCGAGATATCACTCAACATCGACATCCCCAAAAACCAAAAAATATTCTTAAAAAATTAATTTTCTAGATTCGTGTGGACAAAACAAATTTCCTATTAGGCCATTTAATACCAGGAGAGAGGTATGAAATTACTCTCAGGAGTGCAACAAGTTCTGATCGTATTTCCTCTGCCGCAGCAATTGTTGAAATTGCCTTGCCGAAGGGTACCAACTTTAAAAAATAAACAAAATACACTCAAAATTAATTATTAAAGAGGATGAGGGTGCTTTAATGGACGTTGGGAATTTATTGGTAACTTCAAGATTTATGCATGATGGTCGAGGAGTTGTTAATCTTACATGGGAAGTGCCTCCACAATTAATAGGGAAAATAAAATGTAAGGGGAGGGATATTTCTTTTTAAAATCAAAAAAAAAATTAGAAGCTTTTAAATAAAACTTGTTTTAAATAAATTTAAGTTTAAGCTTAAGTTTTATTTAATAAACTTAAGTGAAAATATTAGAAAAACAAGCAAACAAGTTTATTTAATTTATTAAATCTTACAGCTTTTTAAACGCACAAATTATCTGATTGTTTAAAAAGCTACTATTTATATTTTTATTTACTAAAAAGTAAAAAAAATTTTCTTAGCTTATGAGATGCGTTATATAGAAGCTAGTAATGCCCAGAGCGGAATAGAACGGTGGGAACACCTCCATTTTCCCGGAGAAGCACCTCATGCTCAACTTTATAGCATGAAACCGTTGGTTATTTGAATAAAAAAAATTCAAAAAAAAATATTTAGAGACACGGAATATTTAATAAGAATTCGAACTTTATTAATTTCTGGTTTGCAAGTGGAAAGCGGGGAGTTTCGCATCCATACACCACGCATAAAAGAGCCTAACCCTTTGGCAAGGCTTGATGTTTTGTATTCGAGTGAGCAACCTACTGTGCGTTTACAATGGACGTTAGCCCCGTATATTTTTGATTAAACTTTAATTTAATTGAGTTTTGCGGAAATTGTAAAATGTAAACTTGAAATTGTAAAAACTTGGAAAAGAAAGAAAAATAAACTTGAAAATTAAATAAACTTGACAAGTTTTCAAGTTTTACAAAGGTTGGGGAAATAAATAAAATTCGAGGGGATAGAATTGTAGTTTTAAATAGAAATTGTAAAATAGGCTGGAACTTTTGAAAGGGAAGAAAAATAAACTTAAAATACAATTGTAAAATAAATAAACTTGAATTGCAAAGACTTGTAAGGAGAAACAAACTTGAAATTAGTAACCGGACTGGGAGTCGTACGAGAATCGTACTAAATATTTCTAAAAATCTCGATCTCGATAATCGTTGATTTCGTTCAAGATCTCGTCTCAATCCGGTCTCTACTTAAAATACAATTGTAAAATAAAATAAACCTGAAAAAAATAAAATTAATTAATAATTATATATTTATTTACAAAATAGACATATTCACTCATCAGAAATTAATGGATACGATTTGAGAATAACCGATCGTTATGATTTACCCGAAAATGAGGTAGAATCAAACTGCTATAAATTAAAATTAATTAAAATATTCGCTAGTGGCGCCATCACCGAGTTAGTGGCTATTCACCACAATTTGCTTTGGATAACCTTCGACCTTACACAACCTATTTTGTTCGTGTAGACATTCGTAAAAATAATGGGGATGTTTTAAAAGGAAATACAATTTATCGTTTTACAACTTTGGGTAAGTTTTAAATGGGATTGTAAAATAAACTTGGAATTGTAAAAGGGAAAAATAAACTTAAAATTAAGTAGGAAATAAATAAACTTGGATCTTAAAAAATAAATTTGAATTACAATTGTAGAATAAATAAACTTGGAATTAATTAAAAATAAACTTGAATTACAATTATAAAATAAATAAACTTGGAATTGTAAAAATTGAGAAAAATAAACTTGAATTACAATTGTAAAATAAATAAACTTGAATTTAATTTAAAAATAAAACAGACTTAATATTACAATTGTAAATATATTAACTTTTAATTTTTAGCCAATTTACCAGTCCTTCCAAACGAAAACTTTGTAGATAAAGGCAATGAAGTACAGCCTTTAGCATTTGAACAAATTGACCGTGGACGAGTTAAAATAATTTGGGAATTTCCCAGCACTGTTGTAAATGCTGCTAAAGGCTATTTTAAGCTTTTTTAATTTTTAAAAAATTATTTTTAGGTGTTACTATTTATTTTAGGTATTTTTAAATTTTATTTTTTTAATTTTCACTTTACTAGTAATAATCCTAACGAGCCTATGGAAAGGTGGCAACGAGTTTTAGTTGAAAATAAAGAGTCTGTGAGTTAAAAATAATTTTAAAAAATTATTTTATAATCAAAATCAGCGTTCTACAATATTGGCAGGCCTTCAAGAAAATATTTTGTATAATATCCAAATAGTCCCGAACAGTAGAGAAGATGGGAGACCAATGTGGGAACATTCCAAAAGAATGCAAATCAGGGCAACTTCAGCTTTGAAAAATAAACTTGAAAATGAAAGGAAAGAAAATAGTGAGGAAAAAGAAGAGGAGGATGATATTTAATAATTTGTAAAATTAAATAAACTTGAAAAATACAATTGTAAAAAAATAAACTTGGAATAAAACTTAAAAAATAAACTTGAAATTGTAAAACGTTTTAAATAAATAAACTTGAATTGTAAAATAAAATAAACTTGAAAAATACAATTGTAAATATAAAACTTGAAATATATTTTTAAAAAGAAAATAAACTTGAAATACAATTGTAAAATAAAATAAACTTGAATTTGTAAAAACTTGAAATAAATAAACTTGAATTGTAAAGCGAAAAATAGACTTGAAATATTTGTAAAATAAATAAACTTTAATTGTAAAAAATAAAAAATAAACTTGAAAATAAACTTGAATTTGTAAAAAATAAATAAACTTAAAATACAATTGTAAAATATAAATAAACTTGAAATATGATATTAAAAATAAATACAATCTCCTATGCCTTTGTTAAAATGAAAACAATGAAATAAACATTGTGTTCAATTAGATGAATAATAAAGGGAAAGTTAGGTAATTGTAATATTTTTGTTTATAAAAGATAAATAACAAAAATTATTTTATTTGTTTGTGATTTTTTGAATATTCCAAACATTTTAAATATTCCCTCGTTTCAATTTTAATTTTAAAAATATTCCCTAATTTAATTGTAAACACATAGTTTATCAATTTAATTTATCAATAATATAATTGTTTATGCTAAAAATTTGTTTATTATTGACCTCAAAATTAACTAAAATCAGCAAGAACAATTTTACTGATATGGCATTTTAAGTGCTTATATGTAGCGAATAAAAGAGGAGTTTCCCCGTGAAGCATATGACAAGGGAAAATAATAAAATTGATAAAATAAAATAATTTTTAGTAAATATTTATGGTCAAAAACTAAAAAGAAAATTAAATTTTAAATTAAATAAATATTTTTAAAATTAAATATGGGACTTATTGAATTACCCGCAGAAATAATTGTTGAGATTTACCAAAATTTAAATGACTGGGAAGATGTTTTAGCAAACCAACATGTTTGTAAATTTATTAAAAATGTGCTATGTGAAAATGGTTTGTTGTAATTCAAGTTTAATTTTTAAAGTTGTAAACTTGCATGTTTTTAGCTTCAAAACTTGCTCGTCCACCTATTAAAATGTTTATTGAAAATAAAACAGGCGGAATAAGTTTTAATAGTTCAAGTTGTAATTCAAGTTTTAATATTGATGGGTTAAAAATCTCTTTTCAACAATACAACAATTATTCCAACTTTTTACAAATTGTAAAACAAGTTTTAATTTAATTTACAAATTGTAAAACAAGTTTAATTTATTTTGCAAATTGTAAAACAAGTTTAATTTAATTTACAAATTGTAAAACAAGTTTATTTTAATTTACAAATTGTAAAACAAGTTTTAATTTATTTTACAAATTGTAATCTAAGTTTTTTCTTAACTAAAACTTGCTCAAAATAAATAAACTTAGAAATGTAAAAATAACCAACTTTAAATTCCCAACATTTTTTACAATTTGTAAAACAAGTTTTACAAATTCAAGTTTATTTTCAAGTTTATTTTCAAGTTTATTTTATAATTTGCAGAATAACTTTACAAATTGTATTTATTCTCCTTTTGACCGTTTACAAATATTGTCTCTGAACATTAACGGTCCTCTAACTGAAAATCAACTCTATTCCATTGCTGATCATTTAAAAATTGGAAAACAACGGAAAATAAAATCTATATGCTTAGAAAATGTAAAAATTTAATAAAAAATATTTTTAAAAAATTTTTCTAGATTTATTTTGAAACTTCCCCATCTACAAATTATTTATTTTCTCAATTATTCCAACAACAAAAATTTCAAAAAATAAAAATAAAAAATTGTTTTTATTCAAATAAAATATTAAATAAATTTTTTGACGATTTTAGTCAATTAAAAATTAATTTGGACAAATTCAATTTTAAAAATAATAAATTTATTGAATTTTCTGTTTTTTCACTACAAAAGTTTGCTTGGGATTTGCGTTACAAAATGAAGAGGAATTTACAACCTTTTGTTTGGGAAGGCGTATTACCCGTGAATTTACAACTTTACAATACCTTTGTGGAAACTTTGTGCCTTTTTATTGAGGTTTAAAAAAATTATTTAAAAAAATTTTTTTTAATGTCAAAATGTCAAAAATTTCGAAATGTCAAAAAATTTCGAAAAAATATTTTTCAACAGAATTGGCTCTATAACAATGAAACTACGCCTAATTTCCATATTAAAATTAAAAATTGTTCGGACCAATTTGCCCTTGATTTTACCAATTGTTGCGCACAGAGACGACTTTTATATGCTTCCGACTTCAGATTTTACTCAAAAACTCAACATTTAGCTTATATTCAGGGAAAATTCAATTTTGTTTGTTTTATGTTTTTACGCTTGTTTTTAATGTTTTTATTAGGAAAAACGTGTTTTTGAACTTTTTCCGGAAAGAAGTTTACAACAACTTTATCAGGTTTCAGTATGCCGAACATTTCCTTCTGCAATATCTTTTGCTCGTTTTTATCGCGATGTTTTTTGAAAAATAAACTTTAAATTATTAAAACTTGTTTTATTAAAACTTGAGCATTTTAAAACTTGGGAAAACAAGTTTATTTTAATAAAACTTGGAAAAACAAGTTTATTTTAATAAAACTTGGAAAAACAAGTTTATTTTAATAAAACTTGGAAAAACAAGTTTATTTTAATAAAACTTGGAAAAACAAGTTTATTTTAAATAAAACTTGGAAAAACAAGTTTATTTTAATAAACTTGGAAAAACAAGTTTATTTTAATAAAACTTGGAAAAACAAGTTTATTTTAAATAAAACTTGTTTTAAATAAACTTGTTTATAAACTTAACTTTATTTATTAAAACTTAAGTGAACATCTTAAAAACTTAAGCAAACAAGTTTATTTAATTTATTAAAACTTACAGCTTTTTTAACCCACAAATTATCTGATTGTTAAAAAAGCTACTATTTGTATTTTTATTTAAAACAAATTTAAAAAATAATAAATTGTAAAATGCAAATATGAGAGAGTTTAAAACAAATATAAACTTGTGTAAATAATTTTATTATTTTATTCTAATAAATTAATTTTTTAATTTCACTGCTTGCGAATTTCCCCTTCAACTTGCTTTAGAGAACCACCATGTTTTTCTTTAGCTAATTGATCAATAAATTTCTGAAAATTAAAAATTTAATTTTTAAATTAAATTAAAGTTTTCTTTACCTGAACAACTTGTCCATGTGACCATGCTGTTGGATGGAATCGATAGCGTGGGCGTCTTTAAAAATTAATTTTTAAATATTTTTAATAAAAAAAATTAGCGTTTTTTACCCTTCAGCGTCGATTAAGAATTTCTAAAATAATTAAATTAATTTTAATTTATTGAAAAGATAAAACAGAATTGTTTACCTCAAAATTCCAAGTAACATCATTAACCTTAAAAATAATTTTTAAAAAATTATTTTTAAAATTAAAAAAAGCAGCACCTTGATTGGGTTATACATAAGTTCTTCACGTTTTCCAATTTGTGTGACTGTTTGAGGGCACGAATCCTTCAAAGAATTAAAATTAGTTTTACGGATATTGGAAGGATTAAGGTGAATCCAGCTGGCTAGCATTCTATTAAAGAGGGGTCTATTAAAAGAGGTGAAGCATCGCTGTATCGTAGCCCCTAGCATGAAAGCGCCTAGCAATAACTGCCAAAAAAGGTCACTGAATTTTAGAGCCTCACCAGAAGTTACGATTCCGGTTCCGAAATCCGGAACTCAAATTGGGTCATAATTTCGGTTCCGGTGAAGCACAACTGGATTGATGACCTTAAGGGGGGCCTAAGCTTAACCCTCCCCCTCTTTCTAAACAAAAATTTATTTGTTTTTACTTTAAGAAATTCATATAGAGGGTGTTGATTAGCTCCATTAACTTCCAATTTTCCATAAATATGCAAATTTTTGTGAGGTTTCCAACCATTTCCTGGGCGGACGTATTTAATACCTTTAAATTTTAAATAATTTTTAAAAAATTTTATTTTTCCACCATTCATTATTTCATGGTTTTCAGCAGGTTCTTGAAGGTAGAACTGATTGCAAGGAAATGCCAAGATTGTGAATTGTCCTCCATTAGCCAAATTTTTTTCGATTAAAGGGTTGAAGTCGATATATTGCTGGGTATAGGCTGGGGAATTGAGAAAAAAATTTTTTCATTTTTAAATAAGGAAAAAATTTTTTTTCAAAAAATTGGCGCGGGCCGCGCTGATTCCCTGTGGTAACATTTTTTCGTAGTCTAGGAGACTACCGCTGAGCTATATTAGCCCGCACAACGTTTGCTTATAAATTCATCTATAAACTATATTTCTTTCTTTGTAGCAACTTAAAGTAACAGAGCTGGGCTCTGCCTTATTTTAAAACGTAAAAAATTAAGGGTGAAATAAATCAAAACAATTATAATAATCGGTGGATGAACACGAAAGGGGAAGGGTCAAAATCCTTCTATTTTTTCCAGAAAAAATTTTTTTCTGATTGCCCGGTATTAAAAAGTTTTCTAGAAAAAATTTTTTTTTCTAAATTCTCCAATAAAATTTATACCACAGAATGTAGCGACATTAACAACAAGAAGAGGTTGGCCTTTGTAGGCACTTAAATCTTTAAATTCTCCTTCCAATGTCTCTACCTAAAAATTAATTGAAAAATAATTTTTAAAAATTATTTTTCCACTTCAAAATCATAAATTGACAAATTTTGATAGTCAGGAATACATTTACTCCAACGTGTAGTTTCATCAATTAATTTAGGGCCAGGTTGATATTTTTCCTTTTTTGTGGGTGAAATTTGCTTATTTGCACTTATAGCATAACAAGTTGTAATTATAGCAATACATGTTAAATATGTGAGCATTTTTGTTGTTGAAAAAGTTTTACAAATTCTGAAAAAATAAAATAATTGTAAAAGAAGTTTATTTATTGTAAAATTGTAAATAAAGTTTATTTATTGTAAAAAAGTTTTATAATTGTAAAATTGGTTTACAATTGTAAAACAAGTTTATTTATTATAAAATAAGTTTATTAATTGTAAAAAAAGTTTTAATTGTAAAATAGGTTTATTATTGTAAAAACAAGTTTATTAATTGTCAATAAAGTTTATTTATTGTAAATAGGTTTACAATTGTTAATAAAGGTTTATTTATTTTATTAATAGGTTTATTTATTGAGTGATAGGTTTATTAAACTTAAATTGTAAAAATATTATATAATTGTAAAAAAGGTTGTAAAAACGCTTTAAAACTTTTTACAACTTCCCCAAATTTTATTTTTAAGGTTTATTTTTAATAAAACTTTTATTCAACTAAAAATAAAAATAACTAAAAACTAAAAATATAAAAAAAATTTTATACAAAAATAGTCTTGCGTCAACACAGAGAACACAAAAATTTTGTTTTTATTTTTTGATTAAAATTTCTTTTCGAGAAAATTTTTACACATTAAAAGAATGAATTAAAAATAAAAGTAAAAAATAGTAAACAATAAAAAATATTGGAGACTGAAAATAAAAACAAGAAAAAAATTTTATCTTAAAATTTAAAGATTAAAGTTTGATATTTAGAAAATATTAGGGATTTTAAGAAAAATAGTAAGTGATATTTTTATCTGGAAACTTAAAAAATATTTTTATTATAGAGAATATAGTAAATTACAATTGTAATAAATTTTCTAATAAATTTAAAACTTAAAATAAAGTCAAAATAACAAATAAATAAACTTATTTTACAATTGTAAATTAAATAAACTTGTTTTCGCAATTATCACCTTTTTTTACAATTCCAACTTAAATAAACCTATTTTACAATTCTAACGTTAATGTTTTAGTGAGAATTGTAAAACAAGTTTATTTTTGTCATTTTAAACTTATTTTACAATTATAACTAAAATAAACTTGTTCTTACAATCCCAACTTAAATAAACCTGTTTTACAATTCTGAATAAAATAAACTTTTTACAACTCAAACTTAAATAAAACTTTTTTATCCATTAAAAATACAAAAGAAAAACACTTGTTAGTTAAAAACAAATTGTAAAAAGAAAAATAAACTTTTTTTTTCACGCATTTTAGGTCCTTTTACTATATTACTAAAAATAAACTTATTGCGCATCCTAAACAAATAAATACAAAAAAATTATTTTTTTTTTTGTATTTTTTTCTCAATTAAAAATAGAATTTAATAATAAATTTTATTTAAAAAAATATTTTATTTATTTTTTAATTCTAGTGTGAGCGATACTTCAAGTTTTCTTTTTATTTTTATATCCCTTTTACAAGTGTTTTTTCTTAATTCGAGTGATTCTCAAAATTATTTTCTTTTCAATAAATTATTTAAAAAAAGAATAAAAAATGGATTTTAATATTCTATTTTGGAGGATTTATTCAGGGAGAGAATTGTAAATTATTAAAGAAGGGGCACATTCCCTGTGAATTTTTTTAATTTTCTGATGCAGAAGGGCGTCTAAAATAAATTTAAATAAAAATAATTTATTTTTATTGTATTTTTTTCTTATTTTATACTTGTTGAATTTAAATTGCCTCTTTTCAATTTTTGACTCCTGATCAAACAAATTTTATTTATTTATTTCCTTTTTTGGCCTTGGAATTAAAAAATATTTGCAACTTTAATTGGAAAATATCAATTATAAAAAGGGGGAAATGATCAATCAAAGATTAAAAATAAAATGTTAAAATACACAAATATTAAAATAATTTAATAATTAAATTAAATAAAAATAGGGCTAGATTTAATTTTATGTTTAAAGAAATCGTGTTTGGCGAAAATTATAACTTTAGGAAAAATTGACAGATTAATCTAATTTTGGTATCATTCGATAGAGAATTAAATTTACTACAAAATGCAAAAAATATCATAAATTTAGATAAATGTACAAAAAAGTTATGAGCAGAAAACTAACATTTTTGTGAAGAAAATGCCCATTTTTCAAGTTTTTCTATCACAACTTTTTCTATTTATTAAATAAAATTAAAATTTAATTTCCATTAAATGTAAAATTTAATTACGAACAAAATGATACTAAAAATGATTAAATTTGTTAAATTATTTAAATAGTTACTAACACCAACTCATCGTTTTCCGTTAAAGAAAAAGTTAAATTAGGTAAACATTTTTAAATGAACAATGGACAAGTTTAATTAAATAAAGTTTGTTTAAAACAAAGTTGGTTTAATAAAACTTTGTTAACAAAATAAAACTTTGTTTAAAACAAGTTTGAACAAGTTTATTTAAAACAAGTTTACTTAATTAAATAAAGTTTGTTTGAAATAAAGTTTGTTTGAAACAAAGTTTGTTTAATAAAAAGTTTTAATTAATAAAACTTTGTTTTAAGTTAAATAAACTTTGTTTTAAATAAACTTGTTTGTTATAAAAAAAGTTTCCAAACAAGTTTATTTAATATTAAATAAAATAAACTTTGTTTTAAATTTTAATAAACAGGTTTATTAAAACAAAGTTGTAAACAATTTGTTTTTGTTTAATTTATTTAAAGTTTGTTTAAAACAAAGTTTAATATTTTCATAAACTTGTATTGTTTCATTAAAACAAATTATAAACAATGGAGAAAATATATTCTTATAACAAATTTGACAAAAAATACTTTTTTAAACAACCCTAGAAGGAAAATAAATTTTTTAAAGAAATGACGATCAGCCGAGAATGTGTGTTTGTGATTGATAGAAGATGGCGGCATTTCAAGTTTTGTGGGAGGAACAAAATGAAAAAGGGGAGACGAGAACGCATACAGCAACTACGAGAATTCGATTGAGAACTGCGAGAATTAAATAAATTTATTTTAAAAAAATAGTATGTGTATAAATTAATTAAAAAGAGAAATTAGTATTGAACAGTCTTTACAATTAATTTTTTACAATTCTTGACGTTTTGTAAAAAGGAGCTTTTTAAACGCACAGAAAATCCTACTGGTTAGAAACGCTGTAAAAAATGAGTTAAAAGGGAGACAACTTTGTTTTTACTTTATAAATACTAGTGTTGGCCGGTATCGGGATTTAGAGAAAAACCCGGGATCGGGATTTTGGGTTGGTGATCCCGATCCCGATCCCGGATCCCGACACGGGATCGGGATTGGCCGAAATCGGGATCGGGATTTGGACTGGAGATCCCGATCCCGGTCCCGATCCCGAATCGGGACCGGGATTGAAAACTCGGGATCGGGATTTACTAAAAAAAATTTTTTTTAACTTTTAAATTTTTATTTTCTTCACAAACGACTCAATATAATTCTAAAATTTCCACTGCGGTGCTAAAATATTGAGTTAAAGTCTCATACAGTGCTTCGAAGCTCGTACCAAAATTCGTACTCGTACCTCGTACTCGTACTCGTACCTGGTACGAAGTACGAGTACGAGTACGAGCAAAAAATTGGGGCAGGTACGAAGTACGAGTACGAGGCCAAAAAAAGTGAAAAGTACGAGGTACGAGGCCTAAGTACGAGCTCGTACTTCTCGTACTTGGTGTTAATAGGAAAATTAAAGAAATATATTTAATTCCTTTCATTCTCCATTATATGAGCGAGTGGCCGAGTGGTGAAGGCGCTTGGCTTCACCAAATTCTTTGATGATTTAATATTGTGTTCGATTCTTATTCACTGGACAATTAATTTTGATATTTTTTCTATTAACTTGTCCAACTCTTTTTCGACTTGTCCAACTCTAGTATTTTTATCGTTAGGCTACTCCCCAAATGCCCACTCCCGAATTGTCCGCTCACTCCCCATTATCCACTCCCTAACTGTCCACTCCCAAAGTGTCCACTCCCCAAATCTCAGGGAGCCGAATAAATACGGTATTTTACTTTGAACTTAAAATATTTTACTTTGAACACTAAAAAGTGAATTTTTTGCCTACGGCCTTCCGAAATTTTCAAAATTTTCGCCTGCGGCGCAGAAATATGCAAGAAATCTGGCTGCATGGCCCTAAAAATTTCTGAAAATTTTCGGCTGCGGAGCAAAAATGGAAGAAATCTGTCTTAAGAACATCCAAAATTCTCAAAATTTTTGCCTGCGGCGCAGAAAGGGAATTAAGATTAAGAGGGATATCATTTATTCTCAAGTACGAGTAAGTACGAGGTACGAGTACGAGGTACGAGGCCTAAAATAGGGGTGGTACGAGGTACGAGTACGAGTACGAGCAAAAAAATAAGGGTGGTACGAGGTACGAGTACGAGTACGAGGCCAAAAAAAGAGGTGGTACGAAGTACGAGTACGAGTACGAGCAAATTTGAAATTTCGAAGCACTGGTCTCATAGACGCATGATTTACTTTCCGGTTCAGGGTATTAAGGGGGGATAAGGTAATGGGGGGGAGGATAAATGGGATTGGGCTTTTGATTTTCAAAAAATTTGCACCTTTTGAAAAGTTTGGCACCTTGGCCTTCCAAATTTTGAAAAATTTTGAAGGCCAAGGTTTTTATTGCCGCAGGCAATTTTATTGCCTTATTTATTGCCTTATTGCCGCATTATTGCCTTATTGCCGCAGGCAATAATTTTTAATCTTGGAAGGCCAAGGGCATGTAAGTCTAAACGTTCAAGTCTACATGATTAAATGCGTTACGTTCAAATGTTACGTTCAACGTTCAGCGTTACGTTCAACTGAAATTGAGTGATTAAGCCAGGGTTACGATCGACAAAATGCCCATCAAAAGTACAAAAATCTTGATTTAAAAGTACATAGGGGCTAAATTTCCAAATTTAAAGTACACTCAAAATTAAATTAGAAAATATTTATTCATGCTCAAATCTTTCATATTTCTCTCCTAAATGAATCTTTTTTAATAATTTTTTGTTTCCACCAAGCATTTTGTGCATTTCAATGCACTTTTTGTGGAGCCGAAGGCGCCAAAAAATCTATTTTTTTGCGCCGCAGGCGAAAATTTTGAGAAATTTGGTGGTCCTTAAGCCAGATTTCTTCCATTTTTTGCGCCGCAGGCGAAAATTTTGAGAAATTTGGGGGTCCTTAAGCCAGATTTCTTCCATTTTTTGCGCCGCAGGCGAAAATTTTGAGAAATTTGGGGGTCCTTAAGCCAGATTTCTTCCATTTTTTGCGCCGCAGGCGAAAATTTTGAGAAATTTGGGGGTCCTTAAGCCAGATTTCTTCCATTTTTTGCGCCGCAGGCGAAAATTTTGAGAAATTTGGGGGTCCTTAAGCCAGATTTCTTCCATTTTTTTCAAAATGTTGATTTTAAAGTACATACTTTCAATAAAGTACAAATTCAATTTCGTAAGTACGGAGGTCGATTTTAAAGTACTGTACTTTCAAATAAAGTACGAATCGTAACCCTGGATTAAGCGATATATTCATGTCCCTCGTAAACCCTCGGTTCTCTTCAAATCCAATTTAATCACTGTAAATCCACCGATATCCTTCTATGCTCCAAATCCACCTATACTCCCCTCAACCCCTCTTGTTCACTCGATATCGCACCAAATCACTCAATATTTCGTCGAAGTTTTATAGACAGCTTTGTTTAAATTTGCTCCTTTTCTGCGCCGCAGGCGAAAATTTTGAGAATTTTGGATGTCAAGATGCCAAATTTCTTCCATTTTCTGCGCCGCAGGCGAAAATTTTTTTCACTTTCACGCCTCCACTCTTCTGTTAACTTTATTTCACAGACTTCTAGTCAATTTATAAAGTCGGGATTTGCTTCGGGATCTGATGCACATCCCGATCCCGATCCCGGATCCCGGCTCGGGATTGAAATTGGCCGGGATCGGGATCGGGATATTTATTTCGGGACCGGGATCAGAAAAATCGGGATCGGGATTTGAAAAACCCGGGATAATCCCGCCCGATCCCGACCGGGATCCCGATCCCGGCCAACTCTAATAAATACATATGTAGTACAATCTTTTTACAATTACAAATAAGCTTTGTAAACTCATAGTTAAACTACTGTTTGGAGAGCTGTAAACAAGAGTAAAGGAGGAAACCAGGAAACGAATACTTAACCTTGTTTTTATGTATAATTTCAACTTTTTTTACAATTACCAGCTTTTTAACCCTATTGAAAATCCTGTTGGTTTACAGAGCTAAAAGAGGAAAAGGGGAAAAACTAATAACAATAAATATGTACAACTTTGTTTTTACAATTACAATTAACAGCTTTTTAAACCTATAGAAAATCCTGTTGTTTTGAAGAGCTGAAGAGAAAAAAGGAAAATTTAGTTAGAATAACTCAGTTGTTATTAACTAATTTTCAAAGGCACAGTTGTATGAAAAAAAACGTAGAATCTTTTCACATTTTATATACCAACCTTCTCCTCAAGTTAATAATACTTAAAAATTGTTTGTTCAAAAACACAAACCATCTCTTATTTTAATCAAAAGATTTATGTTTCTAATAAATTTTTTATTATTGCCATCTTTTTATTGCGCGATTAACAAACGTAAATAAATTTTTGTTTAAACACGAGAACTACAATAACAAATAATTAATTTATCGCTCTGTCGGATAAAAGACAACAAGATTTTTTTTATATATTTTAATAAAAAATATAAACTATTAAGAATTGTTTGTTTGTACTTTATTATTAAACAAATGTGTTAAATATTGTTATTCTTGAGTGATAATTTAATTAAATTTTTTTGTCATTTTAATATTAATTTAATAGACAAGGAAGAAAATTAATATTTTTAATAACAGAAATTTTAGAAGCATACAACTTCTTAAATAAAAAAAATTTTTAATTTACTTAGGCCAAAAATCAAGTGAATCTTTAAATAAAAATTTGTGCTTCTCTCAATCTTCCAAATGAGTTCAATTTTCAACTGTTAGTCTCATCTTTATCATCAAGAAAATCCAATTTATGAGCAATAATATTTAGAACATCGTCTGCTAAAAAACAAAACTAAGATTAGTTTGTAAACAAAAATATGTATTTAAAATTTATTAGAAAAATCTCCCTCTAGTTTGCCAACATTTTTTAATTTTATTTAAAAATTAATAATTTTCTAAGTGAAATATTTAAGTCTCAAATGAGTTTTTCGTTCTCTATTTTCGGCAAAAACAAATCAATATAAGTAAGCATCTCTCGTTTCTCTATTTCCAGTTGCAAATGAAACAACCTGTCAGAGATTTTATGCATTCCGTATTTTTACCTACAAGTTGATGTTTTGAAAAAATTTAATATGACGAGATAGAGTCTCATTATTCAAAGTGGCCCAAAATTAGTATAAGGGACTCAACCATCAGCCTCTTATATACATACTTTTTGTGATGACGTGCCCTTTCATTGAACAAATATAAATCATAGTTTGCTAAGCTCTGTTTAGATTAAGCGAATAATGAAGTATCCATCCTTGTAACAACCAGTAAGATAAACAATAGAATCTGTCCGTTCATTTCGAATCATGATGCCTTTCATAGTTTTCCTTAAATTAAAAATAAATAATATTTTAGCAGATTTGTCCCTAATATATTTATTGGCCCCAACATATGTCCCTAATATACTACAACAATAAATATGGCATTGGAACAACACTCTCAAATCTTAACCCCAACTAATATTAAAAAACGTAAAACTATACCCCCCGAATTGATTGTTGATATATTCAAAACCATCGGAACAGATAAATATTTATTCACAATCTACGAAACGAAGTACGGTTTTATTAAAGTACTATCAGAAGATTTGTGGAACAGATATGCTAAAAAACTGTTGTCATGTTCATCGATAATATATTTAGCTGCAAAAAATATTTTCCGACAAGTCAAGGTTGATCAATAAAAGAATAATTAACATTAAATAGAATTTCTAAAAATAAATTACAGTGTAGAACAATGAAAAATATTCGGAAACTGAGATTTTCCAAATCAGCGTATATAACGATATCTGATATGGGATATCGAGGTATTTACATATATCAAGTATTTGGAGAGCTTAAGTTAGATTTGAAGTACTAACGAAGAAAATTAAGGGATAATCTACTACTTTACTGGTTCCTAAAAAATCCCACAAAGTTATGATTTTTTAAATTTCCTCGATGTTTGGCAAACACTGATTTGGAAATTCGATGTAGAAATTTCGCGGTGGCGCTGAAACAGCTTGAATCGGCAAGAATAAAGCCCGTTTCAGTATTAATGTTTCAGAATTGGCTAATTCAGTATTGCAGTTTTAGGCTATAACTTTTTTGTTTCATATCACAGAAATTTTCATATACTAATCAAAAATTCTCGGGACGCTTTATACAGATCTGACCTGAGTATTCTACAAAAATACAGGCAGGAATCAGTTTTCCGGCTGTAACTTTTTTTAGAATGTTCTGGCCAGATCATACAACTATAAAGATTTTGTCTCGACTAAAAATCTTTCGAATGCTGTGACAATTATTGAAATTAGACGAAAATCGAGAAAGTAGGGCCCTAAATATTCTGAATCTGCCAATTCTAAACTGGCTAATATAATTTTACCATTTTGACATTATCCCCTACACACGTTTCAAAACATATAATTTCAAATTGCAAACTTATGCAACAAGAAAAATAAAACATTCATTTATTGATTTAACGGTTATCTGTAACTCTAACGGAATAAAATTTAAGTCATTTTTGTTCTAAAACAATTTTTTCAGAAAAAGGGAAAATTTACTTTTTATTTGTCAAAAATGGATGCTGAAAATAATCCAAACCCAGAGGAGTGGCCTGTTTTGACTGATCCTTTAATGGAGGCGTTAAAGAAAGCTAGTGTCTTTCAAGAGAACGAAGCGAATGTTGGTAATCCAGAAATGATTGACTACTGGGTTGTGGTGTTCAAATCTGCTATGGATAGGATTGAAATGTATAATAATGAGAAAGGATTATGGACAAATAATTATGAGGTTTTTTAAATTTTTGGGCGAGGAGGATGCCTTTCCATGGTAATTAAGTTGTATGTATTCGGTCAAATGACAGGTGTTGATGAGATTAGTCACTGGGGTTTCGATCCCAAATATATTTTTTGAAGATTGTAATTAAGACTTCGGAATTTTGGAAAACTAAATGGTCTCCGATTAGTGCAGGCCTGAGTTCAATAGGGAAATTTTCTCGTGTGGACTCATACGGGTTGAAACACAGACTACGGAAAACTCAAAATTTGCGGGGGATTAAGCTGATTGTTTGGTAGTGAAAGTGAGCTCTTTCGGAGGAGCTAAACGAGTTGAGTCGAGTGACAACAGCATTTTCCAATGATACTTGACAAACTTACGAGCACCTGAATTTTCGCTGGATTGTTACGGATGTTCGGCCTGGGTTTTCAATTTTCATGGGCCCGTATCTTGGCCCATATTCAACTCCGCATAAAAATTTTTTACAATTCGACTCAACTCAACGAGCTCTTTCGAATGACATATGACCCATTTGTGACCCGTCTATATTCTGACATCTTTTCTTCATATATTATTATTATTTAGAAGGAAATTCGAGAGCGGGATGCACAAATTCGAAGACTCTCTGCTTCTCAGACGTCTAATGTTTGTTTAATTTATGTTAATTCTTAGGGGAAAGGCTTGAATTTCTTCAAGCTTGGGGTTTTGTGGAAACTTTATGATTTTTCTGTTATGTATATATTTTTAAGAAGCTAACTTTAAAAGGGGTTTATTTCTTTTAAATCTAACTTTTCAATGGTTTAATCCATATATAAATTCTCTATTGTTTCATACACAATTAACTTTTATTTAGATTGGTTTGGGTTTATTGACTTCGGCTTCAGCTCTATTTAATCAAGGCATTGCAAAATTAATTGAGGCAAGGAATGCTTTTGGTGGCGGTGGTACACCTGTTATTGGTTCACCAACAAGTGCTTCCAAAAATCTTTGTACATCAATGAGTTCTTCTAAAATGATTGGTACTCCAAAGTCTCCAGTTCGTTTTTAATTTTTATTGTTTAATCTTGGGGTTGATATTGGTTGTAAAAAGGGGTTTCTTTGGTATTTTTAACATTTTTGTTAATTAGGGGAAGTGTTCCTATTTGCCATAAGTGTATTAGTAATTATTTTATTTAAGAGATCGACTACATCTACTCCTTCGTCGTCTAAACGTAAGCAAGTTCCTCCGGGACTGTGTCCAGTATGTGAACTGAGAAATAAGGGTTTGTTTTTTTATTGATTATCTTTTGTGTTTATGTCATGTCCACACAGTGGATGTGACTTGAGAAAAAACCCCAAGCTTTGGAAAGTTTTAAATTATTTTATTTTTTAGAAGAGTCTGCCTATCGGATTTTTACTTGTAGCTTGTGTAAGGTAAATTTCCAAATATTTAAAATTTTTGTGGATAATACAAATAGATTTTATTTTACAGAACTTTTTCAAACGTGTCATCGGCTGTAAATTTCAGCCGACCGCTGGTTGTGGTAAAAATTGTTCTAAAGAGGATTTGTTGAAGGTTTGTTTAAGTCAAAATTAATAAATAAATTAGTTATTTTTAGTGTGAACATTGCTGGTACATGAAATGTCTCAATGCGGGGATGAAGTCGCTCCAACAGTCGACGCACAAACGCAAGCTCTCTATGGTATTTTTTTTAGTTAAATTAAAGTCCCCCCTCCCCTTTTCCTTAATATGTATAATATGTATACCCAGAAAGTATTTGACGATTAATTTATAAAAATGTTTTGGGAAGGTAGAAAAACGTGCTGATTTTTGAAAGATTAAACTCTTTCGGAATAGAATGACAATAAAATCTTTAAAAAAAATTTTTTTGACAAAAATTTATTTAGGATGAGTCGGAAAAGTTGCCAAAGGAGATCAAACTGGCCGAGTCGGAACGTAAATCTTCTGATGACGAGGCAGTTGGCGGAACATCTCCGCAGCAGTAAATTGTTAAGGGCTTATTTATGGAAGAATCTTATTTATTTGGTTATGAATTGAGTGTTGTTTTGTTGGTTTTTTATTGAAAGCCTTATTTTTTTTTTTGACTTTGATTTTTAATTCAAAATCTGCCTCTAAATCTATTTAATTTTGACTTTATTTGAAACTGAATACATATATTTTTTTAAATTACCTAAATACATATACATACCTCCTTTTATAAAAAATACACACACAAACTTGGTTGATGCCTAAAAAAATTTCTAATTTTTAATACATTAAAAAAATATGTATTCTTTTTTTCAATATTTTTGCTTTTAAAAAATAATTTATAAAAAATATTTTGACCAATTTAAAAAAAGATGTTCGATTTTTTTTTGAAATTTCTTCAAAAAATTTTACGTTTCCAAAAAACTTAATTTCCTGAAATTTCAAAAAATTTCTCAAATCTTTTTTTTATGTTTTCTCTCAATTAATTTATTTGCATTTGAATTTCAATAAATATTTTACTTCAATCAACTTTTTCTTCTCGATTTTTTATACAAATTAACTACAAAAATACCTAAAATAATAATATTCCATTACTCTCCAGTGAAATCCTAATTTTACAAGCAGTAAACTTTCTTAAGTAAAAACAGCTTTTTAAACGCTTAGACAATCCGGTTGGTTTAGAGAGCTGCAGTAAAAAATGGGAAACACTAAGGTTCCTTCTCAATTATAGTTATTGAATGGTAGTTTGCCTATAACTCCCCCAATGAAATCCTAATTTTTACTGAATGATGTTAACGAAATATTGTTATTGCTTTTAACGTTTTTAAGGATTTTTAAATGTTTAAATTCCATATCTCCAGTAGAGACCAGCGTGGGACGGGGTTTTCCGGGATCACGAAATCCCGGAAAATTATTCTCAGGATTCTTTCGGGATTTATCCCTTGGGATCCCGTCCCGGCATTAATTAGGGAAAAAATCCCGACTCGGGATCCCGGAAGTGCGATTTTGCAGTTCTCTAGTATCCAGTCTATGCACGTATTCATTTTTCCAATTTAAACTAAAAAAGCTACAGAATTTGTATTTATTCTCACAACTACTTATCAAATAAATTTTCATTAAATGTAAAGTTTATTATAAACAAGATCATACTAAAAATGATTAAAAAAATTATTTAAATAGTCATGGGCCAAAAACTAACACCAACTCCTCGTTTTCCTTTAAAGAAAAAGTTAAACTAACTTTTTTTTAAAATAAACAATGGGCAAGTTTAATTAAATAATTTTTGTTTAAAACAAAGTTGGTTTAATAGAACTTTGTTTAAAACAGGTTTGAAAGAATTTATTAAAACAAGTTTATTTAATTTAAAACAAGTTTGTTTGAAACAAAGTTTGTTTAATAAAAGGTTTGTTTTATGAAATTTTTGAATTAATAAAACTTTGTTTTAAGTTAAATAAACTTTGTTTTAAACATTTTAATAAACAGGTTTATTTAAACAAAGTTGTAAACAATTGGTTTTTGTTTAATTTATTTAAAGTTTGTTTAAAACAAATTTTAATATTTTTATAAACTTGCATTGTTTCAATAAATATTAAACAAATTATAAATAATGGAAAATTTGTTTAATAAAAAAACAAATTTAAACAATTCTTCTAACAAATTTGACAAAAATATTTTTTAAACAACCCTAGAAGGAAAATAAATTTTTTTAAAGAAATGACGATCAGCCGAGAATGTGTGTTTGTGATTGATAGAAGATGGCGGCATTTCAAGTTTTGTGGGAGGAACAAAATGAAAAAGGGGAGACGAGAACGCATACAACAACTACGAGAATTCGATTGAGAACTGCGAGAATTAAATAAATTTATTTAAAAAAATGGTATGTGTATAAATTAATTAAAAAGAGAAATTAGTATTGAACAGTTTTTACAATTAATTTTTTTACAATTCTTGACGTTTTGTAAAAAGGAGCTTTTTAAACGCATAGAAAATCCTACTGGTTTGAAAAGCTGTAAAAAATAGAGTTAAACGGGAGACCCCAAAAACAAACGATATGTAAATACAACTTTGTTTTTATTAATAAAACCTCTTTACAATTACAAATAAGCTTTTTAAACGCCCAGATAATCCTACTGCTTTAGAGAGCTGTAAACAAGAGTGAAAAAGGAGACCAGGAAAAAACGTAACTTTGTTTTTACAATTAAAAGCTTTTTAAGCTTATAGAAAATCCTGTTGGTTTGAAGAGCTGCTGGAGAAAAAAAGAAAAACTTAGTTACATAAAATAACTCAGTAGGTATTAAATAATTTTCAAAGGCTCGGTTGTATGAAAAAAAGTAGAATCTTTTCATATTTTATATACCAACCTCCTCAAGTTAATAATACTTAAGAACACAAACCATCTTATTTTAATAAAAAGATTTATGTTTCTAATAAATTTTTTATCTTTTTATTGCGCGGTTAAGAAACGTAAATATATAATTTTGTTTAAACACGAGAACTACAATAACAAATAATTAATTTATCGCTCTGTCGGATAAAAGACAACAAGATTTTTTTTATATTTTTAATAAAAAATATAAACTATTAAAATTGTTTGTTTGTACTTTATTATTAAACAAATGTGTTAAATATTGTTATTCTTGAGTGATAATTTAATTAAATTCCATTTGACATTTTAATATTAATTTAACAGACAAGGAAGAAAATTAATATTTTTTAATAACAGAAATTTTTAAATCATACAACTCCTTTATAAAAAAACCTTTTTTAATTTAATTAGACTAAAAAATCAAGTGAATCTTTAAATAAAAATCCGTGCTTCTCTCAATCTTCAAAATGAGTTCAATTATCAGTTTTCAGAATCTCCTATTTATCATCAAAAAAATCCAATTCATGAGCAATAGTATTTAGAGCATCGTCTGATAAAAACAGAACTAAGATTAGTTTATAAACAAAAATAAATATTTAAAAATTTATTAGAAAAATGTGAAAAAATCTCCCTATAGTTTGCCAACATTTTTAATTTTAAAAATTAATAATTTCCAAAGTGAAATATTTAAGTCTCAAATGAGTTTATTCGATTCTCTATCTTCGGCAAAAACAAATCAATATAAGTAAGCATTTCTCGTTCCTCTATTTCCAGCCGCAAATGAAACGACCAGTCAGAGATTTTATGCATTCCGTATTTCTACCTACAAGTTGATGTTTTGAAAAAATTTAATAAGAAAAGGATAGAGTCTCATCATTAAAAGTGGCCAAAAATTAATATAAGGGACTCAACCATCAGCCTCTTATATACATACTTTTTGTGGTGACGTGCCCTTTCATTGAACAAATATAAATCATAGTTTGCTAAGCTCTGTTTAGATTAATCGAATAATGAAGTATCCATCCTTGTAACAACCAGTAAGATACAACAATAGAATCAGTCCGTTCATTTCGAATCATGATGCCTTTCATAGTTTTCCTTAAATTAAAAATAAATAATATTTTAGCAGATTTGTCCCTAATATATTTATTGGCCCCAACATATGTCCCTAATATACTACAACAATAAATATGGCATTGGAACAACACTCTCAAATCTTAACCCCAACTAATATTAAAAAACGTAAAACTATACCCCCCGAATTGATTGTTGATATATTCAAAACCATCGGAACAGATAAATATTTATTCACAATCTACGAAACGAAGTACGGTTTTATTAAAGTACTATCAGAAGATTTGTGGAACAGATATGCTAAAAAACTGTTGTCATGTTCATCGATAATATATTTAGCTGCAAAAAATATTTTCCGACAAGTCAAGGTTGATCAATAAAAGAATAATTAACATTAAATAGAATTTCTAAAAATAAATTACAGTGTAGAACAATGAAAAATATTCGGAAACTGAGATTTTCCAAATCAGCGTATATAACGATATCTGATATGGGATATCGAGGTATTTACATATATCAAGTATTTGGAGAGCTTAAGTTAGATTTGAAGTACTAACGAAGAAAATTAAGGGATAATCTACTACTTTACTGGTTCCTAAAAAATCCCACAAAGTTATGATTTTTTAAATTTCCTCGATGTTTGGCAAACACTGATTTGGAAATTCGATGTAGAAATTTCGCGGTGGCGCTGAAACAGCTTGAATCGGCAAGAATAAAGCCCGTTTCAGTATTAATGTTTCAGAATTGGCTAATTCAGTATTGCAGTTTTAGGCTATAACTTTTTTGTTTCATATCACAGAAATTTTCATATACTAATCAAAAATTCTCGGGACGCTTTATACAGATCTGACCTGAGTATTCTACAAAAATACAGGCAGGAATCAGTTTTCCGGCTGTAACTTTTTTTAGAATGTTCTGGCCAGATCATACAACTATAAAGATTTTGTCTCGACTAAAAATCTTTCGAATGCTGTGACAATTATTGAAATTAGACGAAAATCGAGAAAGTAGGGCCCTAAATATTCTGAATCTGCCAATTCTAAACTGGCTAATATAATTTTACCATTTTGACATTATCCCCTACACACGTTTCAAAACATATAATTTCAAATTGCAAACTTATGCAACAAAGAAAGTAAAACATTCATTTATTGATTTAACGATTATCTGTAACTCTAACGGAATAAAATTTAAGTCATTTTTGTTCTAAAACAATTTTTTCAGAAAAAAGGAAAATTTACTTATTATTTATCAAAAATGGATGCTGAAAATAATCCAAACCCAGAGGAGTGGCCTGTTTTGACTGATCCTTTAATGGAGGCGTTAAAGAAAGCTAGTGTCTTTCAAGAGAACGAAGCGAATGTTGGTAATCCAGAAATGATTGACTACTGGGTTGTGGTGTTCAAATCTGCTATGGCTAAGATGGAACGCAATGAGAAAAATCATAATAATGAGAAAGGATTGTTGACAAATAATTACGAGGTTTTTTAAATTTTTGGGCTAGGGGGATGCCTTTCCATGGTAATTAAGTTGTATGTATTCGGTCAAATGACACAGGTGTAGATGAGATTAGTCACTGGGGTTTCGATCCAAAATATATTTTTTGAAGATTGTAATTAAGACTTCGGAATTTTGGAAAACTAAATGGTCTCCGATTAGTGCAGACCTGAGTTGAATAGGGAAAAATTTTTTTCGTGTGGACTCGTATAAGGGCCGAAACACACTACGGAAAACTCAAAATTTGCGGGGGATTAAGCTGATTGTTTGGTAGTGAAAGTGAGCTCTTTCGGAGGAGCTAAACGAGTTGAGTCGAGTGACAACAGCATTTTCCAATGATACTTGACAAACTTACGAGCACCTGAATTTTCGCTGGATTGTTACGGATGTTCGGCCTGGGTTTTCAATTTTCATGGGCCCGTATCTTGGCCCATATTCAACTCCGCATAAAAATTTTTTACAATTCGACTCAACTCAACGAGCTCTTTCGAATGACATATGACCCATTTGTGACCCGTCTATATTCTGACATCTTTTCTTCATATATTATTATTATTTAGAAGGAAATTCGAGAGCGGGATGCACAAATTCGAAGACTCTCTGCTTCTCAGACGTCTAATGTTTGTTTAATTTATGTTAATTCTTAGGGGAAAGGCTTGAATTTCTTCAAGCTTGGGGTTTTGTGGAAACTTTATGATTTTTCTGTTATGTATATATTTTTAAGAAGCTAACTTTAAAAGGGGTTTATTTCTTTTAAATCTAACTTTTCAATGGTTTAATCCATATATAAATTCTCTATTGTTTCATACACAATTAACTTTTATTTAGATTGGTTTGGGTTTATTGACTTCGGCTTCAGCTCTATTTAATCAAGGCATTGCAAAATTAATTGAGGCAAGGAATGCTTTTGGTGGCGGTGGTACACCTGTTATTGGTTCACCAACAAGTGCTTCCAAAAATCTTTGTACATCAATGAGTTCTTCTAAAATGATTGGTACTCCAAAGTCTCCAGTTCGTTTTTAATTTTTATTGTTTAATCTTGGGGTTGATATTGGTTGTAAAAAGGGGTTTCTTTGGTATTTTTAACATTTTTGTTAATTAGGGGAAGTGTTCCTATTTGCCATAAGTGTATTAGTAATTATTTTATTTAAGAGATCGACTACATCTACTCCTTCGTCGTCTAAACGTAAGCAAGTTCCTCCGGGACTGTGTCCAGTATGTGAACTGAGAAATAAGGGTTTGTTTTTTTATTGATTATCTTTTGTGTTTATGTCATGTCCACACAGTGGATGTGACTTGAGAAAAAACCCCAAGCTTTGGAAAGTTTTAAATTATTTTATTTTTTAGAAGAGTCTGCCTATCGGATTTTTACTTGTAGCTTGTGTAAGGTAAATTTCCAAATATTTAAAATTTTTGTGGATAATACAAATAGATTTTATTTTACAGAACTTTTTCAAACGTGTCATCGGCTGTAAATTTCAGCCGACCGCTGGTTGTGGTAAAAATTGTTCTAAAGAGGATTTGTTGAAGGTTTGTTTAGGTCAAAATTAATAAATAAATTAGTTATTTTTAGTGTGAACATTGCTGGTACATGAAATGTCTCAATGCGGGGATGAAGTCGCTCCAACAGTCGACGCACAAACGCAAGCTCTCTATGGTATTTTTTTTAGTTAAATTAAAGTCCCCCCTCCCCTTTTCCTTAATATGTATAATATGTATACCCAGAAAGTATTTGACGATTAATTTATAAAAATGTTTTGGGAAGGTAGAAAAACGTGCTGATTTTTGAAAGATTAAACTCTTTCGGAATAGAATGACAATAAAATCTTTAAAAAAAATTTTTTTGACAAAAATTTATTTAGGATGAGTCGGAAAAGTTGCCAAAGGAGATCAAACTGGCCGAGTCGGAACGTAAATCTTCTGATGACGAGGCAGTTGGCGGAACATCTCCGCAGCAGTAAATTGTTAAGGGCTTATTTATGGAAGAATCTTATTTATTTGGTTATGAATTGAGTGTTGTTTTGTTGGTTTTTGATTGAAAGTCTTATTTTTTTTGACTTTGATATTTTTAATTCAAAATCTGCCTCTAAATCTATTTAATTTTGACTTTTATTTGAAACTGAATACATATATTTTTAAATTACCTAAATACATATATACCCTCCTTTTATAAAAAAAAATACACACACAAACTTGGTTGATGCCTAAAAAAATCCTAATTTTAATACATTAAAAAAATATGTATTCTTTTTTTCAATTTTTTTTGCTTTTAAAAAATAATTTACAAAAAAATATTTTGACCAATTTAAATTCCTTAATTTTCTGAAATTTCAAAAAATTTCTCAAATCTTTTTTTTATGTTTTCTCTCAATTAATTTATTTGCATTTGAATTTCAATGAATCGATGTTTTTTTTGTTGTTCTAAATTCGATTCGAATTAATTTTACTGCCTCTGCTATTTGACAATCTTTCTTTTTTTTTTTAATGAATACATATATTTTTTTTTAATCTCTTTAACCAAAAAATACATACTAGAAGCTTTAAAAATCAATTTATAAAAAAATATGTATTCTTTCAAAATTTATTGATTTTTTAATAAAAATAATTTGTAAAAAAATATTTTGACTATATAGTTTCAAAAAAAAATTTTTTTTTTGAAATCTTTTCACAAAATCTCAGATTTTAAAAATTTTCTAAAGTTTCAAAAAAAAATTTTTTTTTTGAAATCTTTTTTTTTTCAATTAATTTATTTTCTTTGAATTTCAATGAATATCTTTAAATAAAAGGAATTTTCCCTCTCATTTAACTTTACGATCTAATTTATCGTATACATTGAACTTGTGTTAATCTGAACGCTTGAGTTTTATTCGGTTAGCCGACTTTTGCGGACAGACATTTGCGGATTCGCACTTGGCGGACCGACATTCCTATAAAAAACTTTTTGTAAAAACAGCTTTTTAAACGCATAGGCAATCCTGTTGATTTGGAGAGCTGTAAAAAAAAGTAGAAAATAAGGATGGGTGTGTGTACCAAGAATGGATCTTCTTCAGCCTTCCGCTTTTTTTTCTTCCACTCACCCGGTCAGGGCCCGGATTTTTAGGTTGTAGTCAGTGGGGGCTTTTGTTAGCTCCGGCACTTAAAATAATTATGTATACATACAACTCCTCTGTTCTTTATAGAAACATTATTGTTTCTTTTAATGTTCATATAATTTAAGATGACAGGTTTTTTGATTAAGGATTTTTTAAAGTTTAGGGCTTAAAAAATTTGACAAGTCTTCATTTTTCCGATTTAAACTGGGGAAAGACTACAAAATGTTTTCTTTTCCTCCTTTTTTCTCCGACAAAATTCGGGGCTGTGCCATTTATTAAACAACACATTAATATTTATTAGTATGATTTTAATAGAATAAGGAAGAAAATTGATATTTTTACCAGTTTTCTTTAAAAAATTATATGCCCCTTTATTGTAAAAATTTTTTAAACTTAAAAAAATTAACAGAAAAACACATTTTTGAGCACAAAAATAAATAGAAAATAATGCATAAATTATATAAAAATAAGAAAAACTTTGAATTTTGTTTTTAAGTATTTTTTTCTCAATCTTTTTTTATGTAAAAAGCTCTCCTTTTTTAAGTCTTTTCTTAAAAAATTGTCCCATTTTTTAAAGAATTTTGGGTGGAGGAGGTGGCGGGGGAAGCAAAGAAGCAAAAGAAGAATCTTCTTCCTTTTCTTCATTTATATCCATATTATTATTAGCAGTCATAATACAAATTTTAGAGGGAGATGGTTGTGGTGGTGATAAAAATGTTGGTGGAGGCGGTGGAGGTAAAAGAAGAAAAGAAGTGGGAGGAGGAGGATTTTGTTGTTGTTGTAGAGGTCTGGAAAAAATGTTTTTTTATAATTTTTAGAGAATATTTTTTAGAGGAGGAAATATTTTAAAAAAAATTATTAATTCAATTTTTAAGTTTTATATATGTTTCGGCAAAATTCTCTCAATTTTTTTTTCATTCAAAAAAATCAAAATTTTCTTTTATTAAGGCTCATTCATGCCTGTAAACTAGGATTTTTCCATGCGGTCGGCCAAGGGGGAAATTTTTTCTGCGCGGAAATTCACCCTCCCCCTGGCTACGGGCCTGGGCTCATGTGAGAAAAAATTTTTTTTTGAGAATTTAAACCGAAAAGCAGAACCAAAAAATACTTTTCCTACCTTTTTTGTTGTTGTTGTCCATTTGAATAAACATTTAAAGGAGGTGGTGAAGGAAAGAAAATACTACTTGAAGGCGTTGTTGTTGCTGTTGTCGTTGTTTGTGGCGGCATTATTAATATTTGTTTATTATTATTTACCACAAAATTATTTTTATTATTATTAAAAAGTTTTGGAATTGTTGAATTATTAAAAAATTGAAGTTTATTATTATTATTAAAATATTGTTGATGACATGTTGGTGTTGATGTAAATTGTTGTTGATGTTGTTGAAATGAAGGTGGTAAACGTCTTTTTCGATTATTAACAAAATTGAGAGGAGTAGAAGAATTATACTTTAAAAAGAAAATTTTTTTAATTTTTAAAAAATACATGTTCCCTTCACCCTATACGTAGTGCGAAGGGAACACGATTTTTTCGAAAAACTACAAAAAAAAGAGCATGTCACTTCCACACTATACAAACTGCGAAGGGAACATATATTTATTTTTCGAAAAAGAAAAAAAATTTTTATATGTTCCCTTCACACTACACATAATGCGAAGGGAACAGTAAAAAAATTTTTTTTTAATTTTAGAAAGATGCGAGAAAATTTTTTCCTCCTTTTCCTAAGAATCAGAATTTCAATTTATTTAGTAAAATTCACCTTATTTAAGCTTGTTATATAATTTTCAATTTGATTTCCGCCTCCACCTCCACAACTTGATTTATTTTCAAAAATATTTTTATTATTATTTTCGTTAATATATCCATTTGATTTAAATAAATTTGAATTTTCAATTAAAGCATTTTCTGCAGCCTAAAATTAAAAAATTTCTTAATTTATTCATAAATTTAAAATTCACCTTCATTTGTGCAAGATGCATACTCGCACCAGTACCAACCGCTAAACGTTTATTTCTGAAAAAATAAGAGAAAATACATAAAATAATTCTGATTTTAAAAAAATACAAAATAATTCTGATTTTTATAACGAAAAACACAATTTGTAATATAATCAGAAAAAATAAGAAATTTATTTTTAAAATCAGAATTTAAAAAAATAAATCAGAATTTTTGAAAATCAGAATTTTATAATTCTGATTTAAAATATTTCTGATTTTTTAAAATAAAATTCTGATTTTTTGCTTGCATCAGAATTGTATTTTTCATTAAAAAATACCAGAATTCTGCTTTTAATAAATCAGAATTTCGGATTTATTTTTAAAAATCAGAATTTTCAAAAATTCTGATTTATAAAAATAATTCTGATTCTTTAAAATACAAAATTCTGATTTTTAAAAAATATTCTGAATTAATCAGAATTTATATTCTCTCATCCCTCACCTAAAATAAACAGCTACTCTATATATTCTTGTATTTGTAGGTCCTTCAATTCCAATAGTTTTGTATTCTGGAATATCAGGTTCTGACGAAGCAAAATTTCTAAGGGTTAAACAGGACTGTTGCAATTGGGATTTTGGGTCATTCCAACGTTGGCTTAGAATAAAATACTTGAAAAAAAAATTTTTTTTAATTTTTGTGATAACAAGGAAAACCTTTAATCTTGGAAAAAAGCAAACACGACAAAAATGACGACAATATAATAAACCTCTATCTACATAAAGAGCACCTAAAAATGCTTCTACCTGAAATAAATTTTGAATTAAAATTAAATTTTAAAAATAAAAAATTTTTTTAGGGAGGAAGTCATGTTCTTTACACACTACACATAGTCCGAAGGGAACATTAATTTTTTTAAAGGAAAAAAAAATTTTTTTTCCAGCGAGGAAGGCACATGTTCCTTACGCACTACACATGGTGCGAAGGGAACATTAATTTTTAAAAAAAAAATTTTTTTTCCAGCGAGGAAGGCACATGTTCCTTACGCACTACACATGGTGCGAAGGGAACATTAATTTTTAAAAAAAAATTTTTTTTCCAGCGAGGAAGGCACATGCTCCTTACGCACTACACATGGTGCGAAGGGAACATTAATTTAAAAAAAAAATTTTTTTTCCAGCGAGGAAGGCACATGTTCCCTTCGCACTACACATAGTGTGAAGGGAACATTAAGACTTGAGAAAAAAAAATTTTGTGAGGAAGGCCCTCACGCACTACACATAGTGTGAAAGGAACATCTCGATTTTTAAGAAAAAATTTTTGCCCTTACCAAATCAGCCTTGTCTTTAGTCCGAAGATTTGGTTGAGGGCATTTTCTTAATAAAGCCTTAGAAAAAAATTTATTTAAAAAAATTTTTTAATTAACAAAAAAAACCTGTGGAATAACCAAATATTTAACCATTGCTAAATCATCACAAACAACAGCTTGAGTAGTTGCTTGAACTAAACAAGTTCGTAAAAGTGATAAATGACCTTCTTGATGGTATGGAAATTGTTTGTAAAGGTATTCACTTGTTAACAACTTTTAAAGAAAAAAAAGAAAAATTTTTTAATAAATATTAAAAAAACCTGTAAAATAGTATCACCCAAAAATTCTAAACGTTGATTATGTCCACTAAAAAAAATTTATTCATCAATTTTTAGAAAGAAAATTGTTAGTATTTATTTGTATAGTTGAGTCAACCCTCTCGTGGGTCTTTCGTACATCTTAAAAAAGGGGTAGATTGCAAGGATGAACCAGTTTGAGAGAAAAAGGGGACGGATCAGTTCTCGGATCGCGGTTTTCACAAGTTTCTTTGAATCGGGTTTCGGGTGAGTATCGTCGTTAAGTAGCCTCTTCCCTTCCCTATTTAACCAACGGCTAACCAAAAATTAAAAAAAGTATCTCTAATTGAGGTGAGTGTCTTCCCTTTTTTAGTGTATCCAAAAATGAGAGGCTATTTTTTTGACTGTATAAAGTACATGCTAAAGCCCAACCATTTTAAAAATAAAAAAATAATTAAAATATTTTACAGTGTCAAAAAATTGTAAGGAACATTTCTTCTAGTAAAAGCTTTAGCAAGTAATCTAATATGTTTAAATGTTATTCCAATACAACGTTCAAATTCAACAAGTAATTTAAGACAAGGCACTGAAGAAATTAAATGTCTATCACCATAAGGAGTGTCTTTCTAAATTATAAAAATTGAAAAAAGAAAATTTTTTCAAAGAAAAGAATACTTTTAAAGGATGTTCAGGTAAATTTGTCCAAATTTGAAGTAAATTTGTTTCATTAACAAATAATGCATTTGCAAAGATTCTAAAAATAATAGGGAAAATTAATTTTATAAAAAGATTTAAAAAAAATTTTCCCAATTAGAACGATGTGAGTTTCTAGACCAGGGAGGGGATCCACGTTTTAAAAGTGGAATAAAGACAAAAAGCGGAGAGATTCCATCCCTGATTCAATAGTCCATACTTATCCAGTTCTTAATTCTTCCTGTACCCAGTCAAAATCAAGTCATTTTTCAGAGTTATTTTGATTCTTCTTGACTAAAGGTCTGGAATCCGATAAAATTCGAGAACTGAAATTCGGCATCTCCCAAGTCTCACTGCCCCATTTACTCCTCAAGTTTTTCTTCTTAAGACTCAAATTTTTATAAAATTCTCTATTTTTTCAAAGAAAAACCCTTACTTATCACATTGTTCAAGCCCAGAATCAAGAAAAACTGCAGCCATTAAAGCCTCAAAAGTATTAGCCATTGCATGACGTAAATCGGCAGAATGACACAAATCTGGACCGTGTGCATAAACCATAAAATGTTGTAAACCTAAACGATCACCAAGAGTTGCTAAATGACGGTTTTGAACCTTTAAGAGAAAATTTTTTTAATTTGAAAATAAAAAAATTACTAAAGCAGATCGAAATGTAGCTAAACCACCTTCATCCAATTCAGTAAATAAGAAAAATAAATGTATAGTTGTTAAAAATTCAACAACAGCATCTCCAAGAAATTCTAATCTATAAAGGGGAAAAAAGATAAAATAATAAATTAACCTCTTAAAAAAACATAAACCTTTGAAAAAAATTTTCGATTAAGGGGGAGAGTGGTAGTCAGGGGGAGAGCCACAAGGCAATAGGTCGCATTTTTGTTAAAAATCTTCGAATCCAAGAAACGCCTTGCATAATATATTTCGATAACCGAGTAAAGTTGATTCGAGTCAAACCTCTAATTTCCGAGATTTGACAATTCTTTAACCAAGCCCTAATAAATGGTAAAGCTTGGGGACTAGATAGAATTATATACCCATAAAATTTAATTTCGCAAAACCCTTTCCAAAAAAATAAATAAAATTATTTAAAAACACAAACCTTTCATTATGTTTAATAATAGATTCATTAATACGATTAACAATTCTTCCACCATCACCTCCATTAATTTCTTTCATTTTATTATTCTCATTTTTATTACTTGAAGAACGTTGCATAGACATAATTTCCATTAAAACATTAATTCCTCTTCTTCTACCAGTTTTTTGAATTAATTGTTGTTTAGTTAATAATTCTAAAGAATTTTCTGTTGTTGAATTTTTTAATGGAGAAGAAGAAGAATTTAAATTTTGTGGAGAAGGAATTATTGAAGATTTTGAAGCTGTTGTTGTTTTTGTAGTTAATCCAATTCTTAAACCACAATTATTCAAAACATTTTTTGCATGATCTGAATTTGTCCCATAATTTGCACGAAATGAAGGGTGAATTAATGCAAGTTCCAAAAGTGAACGATTCTGTGAAAAAAAATTTTTTTTAATAAAATTTCAATCTTTAATATTCTTCTGGTTTTTCCCAAAATTTTGATCATTCTGATTTTTTAACGTCCTTTACAATTATTCTTTTTTTTAATTTTTTGTTGGACTCACAAAATGTATTTTCTAGAGAGCGAGATTTTCAAAAAACCTTGACCTTGATTTCGGTTGGGTACCTTGACCAGATTCTTGGCCTTGAGTCAAGGAAAAATCAAGGTCTGGATCCAGATCCAGCCCGCTCTCTAGTATTTCTCCAAAATTCAGTGATTTTGTATTTCTATGAAATTCTGACTTTTATATTTTGTTGCAATTCTGATTTTTATATATTTTTTTTAAATTATTCTGAATTTTTCAAAAATTTATTTTTTCCGTTCTCTATGCCTTTTATCTATATTTCCTTTTTTTAAATTTAATAAAATTAATTTCAAACTTTAAATGTATAAGCCAATCGTTCCTCCAAAAAATTTAAAGAACAGTGAAAACGAACATGTTGACAGGCCAAAACAAGTAAAATTGAATGTAAAACCTTTAGAAAATTAAAAAAAAATTTTTTTAAATCAAGAATACCATGTCAGAACAAATTCCAGTTGAATAAAAATCCCTTGAAAATAAAAAAAAATTTAGAAAAAAAAATATTTTTTACCTTGAGCTAATATGGACAATTGTATTTCTTTTGGATTTACTTAAAAAAATTTTAATTAAATTCTCAAAAAATTTTTTTAAATTTCTTTACCATTCCCTTTTCAAAGCATTTAAATGTGCTTCACTTTTTCTTAATAACCATTTTTCTTCAAAAGTAATTGAAGGTTTTGAAGACAAATGTTTACGTAATTGTAAATGTTTGTATAAAGCATCTTGCATTCTAAATTGAAAAAAAAAATTTTTTATAAAAAAAATTTTCGCGCTAAAAGTTTCTCGCTCCGAATCGTATTTTTCAGTTAAAAAAGGGACATAAAACCCCAAGAAAAATTGAAATCGAAATTTCTAAAAATGGAGGAGACAACAGTAAAACGAAAAGTCAATCCGTTAAGTCAAGCCTTCTTTTTTTTTTAATTTTAAAATAAATAAAAATTAATTTACTGTGGTCTAGCCAAAAAAGCATATGCATTAGGTTTTATACCAAAATGAGTAATTATTGGGTAAAATTCTTTATTGTCTGCTGATTTTTCTAACAAATCCAAACGTATTGCCAAAGGTTTCTTTAAAGGAAAAAATTTTTCATTTAGAAAAAATTGAAAAGAAACCTTTTTAGGATTTATACAAATTTCTCCCTTCTTTTGACAAGCAAAATCAACTAATGCCAAAGGGTTAATGTGAAAATATTGAGCTAATCTGTCATCTACCAAAGGTTTAAAATTTGTAATAAAATGAGAAAGAATTGAAGAAAGTGGTAAAAGCTCTTTTCCGTTATCTACAATTTAAAAAAAAATTAAAAATTTTCAAAATTAAATGTCTTAAAAATAAATAGAATTTTGAGAAACAAAAATAATAATAAAAAATTTAGAATTAAAAGCAAAAAATGGAAGAAAATAAAAATGAATAAATTAAAATAATAGTGAGGTGAAAATGCCATGTTTGTCCCAAGCAAGCATTACTCCTGTAATTTCCTGGTGCTTTGTTCACTCACTACATAGTATAATTAATATAGAGGTAAAAATGGTTATGTTAGCCCCGAGCAGGCATTGCTCGCTTCTGCAACTTCCTGGAAGCTATTGGTAGGCGCTTTATTCACTCACTACATAATATACAAGTACTATACTGACTCTGTTAAGAGGCCTCCTCTCCCCTCATTTTTATATAATTTTACCTAACGCCTAGTTCTTTCCTATTTTTAACTAATTTATTTTTTTTATTCTAATAAACCTGGTAAAGATCTAGCAAATCTTGGCAAACAATGATAAAATGGACAAGATGAATTAATTTCCTCTTTTGGAATATTTAATTGTCTATTTAAATCGTAAAGTTCCAAAATTTGTTCAAAAAGAAAAGAATGAAATAATTCGAGATCTGCAACTGTAAAACTCTACAAAAATTAAAAAAAATTTTTTCAAGCTTAAAGATAAAAAAGAAAAACCTCCGGAGCATTTTCATGTAAAAATCTCACTTGAAAATGTTGTGTCCATTGATTTATTGGACGTTGAGGGAAACGTTCAGGTAAAGGTTTGTGAAAGAAAACAGAAAAACCTTGTGAAGATAAAATTGAAAAAAATCAAAAGAAAACCATCAAATTTGTAGCAATGACCATCAATTTGAATTTGTGTTGGATGACGTGAAAGTGATGCAGGATTGGGCTTTAAATTAAAAATTTTTTTAATTTACAAGGGACCTTCTAAAACCCTAACAATGGAACAGTATTCATTTTGTACATTTTCGGTATCATTTAACGGCGTAGCTAGGGGGTCGATTTCAAGAGGGTCCACACCTCCTCCATTCCTTTTCCCTTCTCAAATTTCCCCCTTTTCCCTATCTCGTACTGGTGGAGGGCTTTAGCTCCAGAAGCCACATCCCTGGCTACGCCCTCGGTATCATTAAATAATAGGCCCAGACGTGTTATTGACTATAATTTATATTTAATGACACTTAAAGAGCACAAAATTAATACACAAAGTTAAAAAGGCCCATAATTAAAATTTAAAAAAAACCTCAACATGAAGAACATAATGATGTAAACGTTCAATGTTACTTTAAAAAAAATTTTATTCAAATACAAAAATTAAAAAAAAACCTCGAATTCCAATCACAACGAAGAAAAGCTTTTTCCCCAGCAAATTTTCCATGTCTAACTCCAGTTTGTTTTGCAGCCCAAGAACATTTGCATTGGGGGCCGTCATTAAGTTGGCCTGGTTCGTTGAATCCAATATCGGGGTGTAAAGCAGCTGGGTGTGAACGTTTACGTAAAATCTATTGGGGAAAAAATTTTTTTAGAAAATTTCTTGGGGTTTAAAAAAATTTTTCAAAATTTTAGAAAAATATTTGGAGGTTAAAAATATTTGAAATTTTTTGAAAAAATTCCAGAAATTTTTTTTTTGTTAAATTTTCAAAAAAGATCCTCATAAATTTCTTTTCTAAACCTCTTCACGCGCAAAAGATTTTATTTGTTGACGTTTTCGTCTTCGTCGCCCAAATCGTTTTTTTAAAGGGGATGAATTGTTGGAATCCCCACCACCACCAGAATTATTTCGACAATTTTTAGAAGTGTTATGTGCTAAAATGAAATTTTATTTCAACGTCTTTTGTCAAAACTTACAAGAAATTGAAGAACTAGAAGAATTATCAGAATTTTCTCCTCCATTGTCAGAATCACTGTCACTTCCAGCTACATGTTTTGCTAGAAAATTTTTAAAATTTCTAAAATAATTTTAATATGGTCGGACAACGCCTAGATGTAGTCACGCATTTGAATTTACATTTTTACTATGATTGAACTTTGGGTATTGGGAAATTTTATAAACGATATCGCTTATTGGGTGAGCGTTATCACTTAGCAATCTGTATAAGCAATAACTCCTATTTGTGTATTACGCCCATCACGAGGGAACACTTGTTAACTGTTGTGTAACTTCGATATTTTTTAGTCGACTAGACGTGCTAGTTCGAAACGATACCCGGTTTGTTGAAAAATGAATTAAGGCAGTCGAGTTACCAGGCAAACTTTCGATTTTTTAAATCGTTTAAGGAAAAGAGGGAACAATTTTTCAATCCCAAAAGGGGAACACCAAGTTAAGTAAGTATGATTGTAAAAAAACTAACAGCAATTATTGTTAGCAGCATCACAATTATGAGAAGAACAATTATTTAAATTTGTTGGAGGAGGAGGATCACTTTTTGGCTGTGTTGCCATACCTTCTTTAATTGGTTGAATAATACAAGTTTCAAATTGGCGTTGAAGAGAAAGTAAAGCTGGAGTTGCTGTTTGACCACCTCCACGAGCCTCAATTTTTTATAAAAATTTTTTTTCAATCAAAAAAAATTTTTAAAGATAAATTTCAACGTAAAAATGAAAATTTTCTTCAATTTTTAGAAAGTTTAAAAAACAAAAAATTAAGGGTTGCAATGGATGAAAGCAAACCAAATCACCGAGAGTACGTTTTTAAAAATAAATTTTAAACTCTCCGTACAAAAAGGTCACTCACATCCATATGGCCAACCTTTAGAATTATTTTTAAGGTGAAAAACTCTATTAAATATTTATTGCAGTAGTCTACCGCAAAGCTTATAACTAAGGCGTGGACTCCAAAGTTTCCCGCCAACTTTCTCTAATTACCTCATAGATTTGGTGTTTCTGCCTGAATGAGTGATGAGTTAAAATGAAAAAAAGACAGGGGTCAGTTATGGTCAACTAGAGGGGTTTTCGCGCCTAGAAATCCTCGCCTTACTTATAATTAGACAAACTCAAATTATGGAGTGATTCGACGATTTCGTCAAGTCATATCAGAATGCCGCATAAACAACTTCCTAGTAGCAGACTGACCTACTTCTAGACCTCCACAATTTAAAGAAAAAGAAACAAAAAATAACTTACCCGATTGTAATATTTACCAGGGGCGATAGACTGTGTCCAAAAAGGTGAAGTACTTATTCCATTTAAACTTTCATCTTCCATTAATTGCTCATTTTCTCCTTCCTCATCATCATGCAATTCTTGTTCATCCCAAATTTGTGAAGTTGTAAAAGTTGGTTTTTGAGGGGATTCTTCATTTGATTTCGTACTCTAAAAGAATTTTCATGAAATTTGAATTAGAAAATATCGCTTTTTCTACGGTTCCAATATTAAAAAATCAAAAATTTTCGTCAGATTCTTTCTTACGGACCCCGCCACATTTTTACTAGTTTTTAAAACCGGAGATCCTCATATTAAAAAAATCAAAAATATTTTGAACCCATTAAGGCAGGGGAATTTTCAAAATACTCTTTAAAAAACCTTATCCTCCACTTCCTTTGAAAATGAATCAAGTTCTCTCCCACCATCACCAACAATTTGACTTCTCCCCTCATCTCCATATTCTCCTTCCTCATCTGACGAGATCTTTAAAAAAAATTTTTTTAAATTTAATTCAGACAAATTAAAAAACCTTTTCCATTAAATATTTGTCGTCCTCCATCAATGTCAATTTTCAAAAAACATAAAAAAAAATATTTTTAAAAAATTCAAAAAACCTTTCAAAAAAATATTAAATGTACACAGATACATTAATTAAAAATATTCAAAATTTTAGACAAATTTTTTATCCACACAAATATTTTTAACTTTAGAAGAAAAAACAAAAAATAGTTACAATTCAAATCAAAAAATAATAATAAAAGGAATTAAATAAATTCTTTTTTTCCTGTTCTTCCCCCATCATTTTCCATTGGAGAAAAAAAAATAAATTTTTTTAAAATTCGATTTCAACCAAATGTTCATTCAAGTTTGACGCGTGGATGCTAAAAACCCAAAAAAAATTAAAATTGGAAAAAACTTCAAAAAAACCTTCATTCCATTCATATAAGCTTCCAATTCCCTATCTAATTCTGCTGCAGTTTTTACTTGAGTTGTAGTGTTACGACCAACACGACGCGGTTTAGAAACACCACCGCCAGTAGCTCGACCGATTGGGGAGCGAGATCTAAATGAAAATGATTTTATCGTAAGACGAGGATCAGGGATGCCATGGGTTAGAAGAAACATGACTTTGACATTTCCTATCGCAAACCGATCCGAAAAATTTTTTTCAAAGATTTTTTCTCAATCCGTGACATCGCTAATAAAGAAAGGGTGATTCTGAAGCTAATTCCCCCCTTTTTGCTTATTTTTCCTTCCCTAAGATTGTACGCAATGGTCAGATTACGTAATGGTCAAAGAAATGGTACTACTGAAGAAAAGGGTGCTTTTTCTGCGGACTTATTTTGCGGACTTTTCCTTTCCTTTACATATTTTACTTGTAGCAACTAACTGTCAACGGCCCTCCCCCCATTATTTTTCTTACCTAAGATTGTACACAATGGTCAGATTTTCTTCTTTCTCTTTTCCTCTATTTGCCGTGTGGCATATTCAAACAAAAGACATTGATACAGAGAAGATTAATTTTATTTTTTTCATTTCTGTTTAAATGTTTTGCTTATAGCAACTAACAGTCAACGGATTATTTTTTATGCCGGTCTGAAAAATGTCGTTCACAAATAATTTAAACATTATAAACGAAAAAAATGTTACAATCAATAAAAAATTTTACTTTAACTAAATTGTATGATAAAATTAAATTACCCAATGATGAATTTCAACAATGGATCACTGATCTCGGAATGCTTCATAGAAAAAGAACATGTGATTGTGGAAAAGAAATGCGTAAAGAGAAGCGTGGACAAAATGGAAGATGGATATGTGAGAAATCAGTATGCAGAAAAACAAAGGGTGCTTTAGTTGGAACATTTTTCGAAAATTCAAAACTTTCTTTGACACAAATCATACAGGTACAATTTAATTTCACAAATAACAAATAATCAAAAATATTTGTGCGAATAAAAATTAATCCTTTGACAGTTAGTTTGCTACAAGCTAAAACATTATCTTTTAAAAAAAAGGGAAAAAGAAGGAAAGGAAAAGTCCGCAAAATAAGTCCGCAGAAAAAGCACCCTTTTCTTCAGTAGTACCAAAGAAATAAGGAATCTGAAAACCACCCCTGACACCTAGCGACCAAGGAACAATTAAAGACAGGATCCAGATCCAACCCGATTCCACTCAAAATATTTTCCCAATATTCTATTAATCACCCACAAAACCCAACCACATATAAATCTTTAAAAAAATTTTCAAACCTAGAATATGTACGGGACGATTGTCCACTATCAGAACGAATACGGCGACCTCCTCCACCACCAGCACCACCTCCCCCTCCTCGACGTCCACCACCACCCCCAGCAGCATTTCCACGTCGACGCCCTCCTCTCAAATTGTCTCGCCTTTGTTGATTTTGAAATTGAGGTGTAGCAGCAGCTTGTTCATTAACTATTGCAAAACGAATCTTTTGACCTGAAAAATTAAAAAAAATTTATTTTAAATTTAAAAAAAACCGTCAATGGCAATATTTGCATATTCTCGTAAAATAGCCTTTGCTGAGCGTCCATCTACAAACAAATCAGCCGTGCCCATGTGCTGACCAAATTCGTCATAATGTACTCCAACACCAAGGAGATTAAATTCTTGGAATAGTTCCTTAAAATATAAAGAGAATTTTGAATGAAATCAAGGGTATTTTGCCCAAAGAGAGAAAGAATCATTTGCTATAAACAATAGAGATCAGCTTGAATCTGAATCTAGACAAGGATTTCTCCTAAATCCGGAGTCAAGATCAAAGCATTTTTCATTGTTCTCGATTTATCCCTTACTAAAGGTCAAGAGGCCATGGTCCGCAATGACCTCTTGACATGGAAGAAAAAAATCCAGAGTCAAAATCGTGTTCCTTGTCTAACATTGACAAGCATGATAGAGGTTCCCAATAAAATAAGGGCTTTTTAAATTCCTGATTGCAGTTCTATCCCATACCTATTCCAAAAATAAATAAAAAAAGAGCAACCTGAAGATCTCCAGTAAGAACAGTATCAGGCAAATTTGAAATATTTATCCAAACAACATCTTCCCCCGAAGTATTATTAGTCCTTCGACCCCCACCACCTCCAAATTGCCGTCTAGGTCCAGTATTGCCGAATCCACTATTTCCAAACCCAGAATTTCCAAATCCGGAGTTGCCAAAACTCCCAGAATTACTTCCAAAGCTCTGGTTTCCAAATCCACTATTTCCAAAGCCAGCATTGCCAAAACCTCCCCCACCTCCACTATTACGACGTCGCTGATTTCGTCGACCTCCTCCTCTTCCTAAAGGTAACGGCTCATCAATTCGAGGTGCTGCGCGTTTGCCAACACGACGTTTGGAAATTATATCGTCCTGCAAATTAATTAAGATCTTATACATATTAAAAACACTCCAAACATACTAAAGCCGCGTTTATGTCCACAATGCTGTCAGATATCATAAGTCAATGTAAACAGGCAAAAATACAAATTTTATATTACTGTCACTTAAAAAAATAAAGAATTTAATTAAAAAACACAACAATAAGCTTTTACAAATCCCAACTTAAAGCCTGAGGCGGTTAAAAATTAAAGCCTCCAATGTTGGCATTTTGTCAGTTTGGTATTTTGAAAAGTTAACATTTTGAAGTTTCGCTTTAAAATTGGCGCGGATTTGAGTTTAAAATTTTTTTAAAAAATTTTGGCTTGGGGTTTTGCTATTTTTACGGGTTTTTTAAATTTTTTAAAGCTTAATTTAGAGAAAATTTAATAAAGTAATGGCCGACGATATTAATGAAGATATTGATCAAGACGAGGAGATGGATTATAGTGACGACCAGGTTTTTTCTAAAAATCAAAAAAATAATTTTCTCAAAATTTTTAAGGATGACAGGGAAATGCTAAATCGACTTAAACTTGATCTTGTAAAAAAAGTTGTTCAATGTGTCATGTCCTGGTTTTTTCATTTTTTATTTTTTTTAAATAATTTTCTACCAAAATTTCTAGTTGTACTAAACGTGGTTATTGCAGAGATGGGGACATTGCCGATGTGTTTACCGATAGAAAAGAGCGGAGATTGAAGGATAAAGTTTTGAAAATAGTTAAAGAGGAATTTATGAATGTTTTTGGAATGAAGGTTTAATTTTTGGAATATAAATTTTTTGCTGATTAAATTTGCGGATTTTGATTAATTAGAGGAGAATTGACGTTAAAGGCTATTTACTCCCTCAACTATATAAAATATTTTTAAGGATATGTTAACGTTGATTGTGGTGTAGTGGTAGTGTCTCTGACTTCAATTTTCTCCAATGGAGGTTCGATCCCTCATATTGCCTTTCTTATTTCTCCTTTAACTTACTTAATTTGTCCATACATTTAAAAAATTTCATTTTAAAAATCTTTTTATTTTTTAATTCAGTTAAAACGCGATGATGATAGTAAACGTTATTATCTCTTTAATGGACTTGGAAGCAATCTTGCAATGGACGTTTCTCAAGTTTTCTTTTTAAATTTTTTCATTGAAAAATTTTAGTGGTACGATAAAAGGTGTGGACCTCTTTCCAAGTCTTTGGCTTCAGAAGTGCGCAGTCTAAACAGTAATAGTACAAATAATGCTTCTGATGATGAGGATCAAGAGAACGAAAAATTAGTGGTATATTTTAAATTAATTTTAGTTGAAGTTTAAGGCCTATGAGCTTTCTTAACCCTTGTCACTGACCCAGATATTTCTATTTTTTTAGGATTTTCTAGACTGATGCCTAGTTTGTCCGCATACATGAGCCAAATCAGTTTATAATTATTAAAATTCTTTTTTATAGGAAAATAGAGACTTTAAACGCTGGCTACTTACCTCAACTTTAATGTTTATTTTTATGTCAAAACGGCATCAAAGCAAAGGCAATGCGAACGAAAAAGGAATTGATTTTTTGTTGATTAAAGAATTTTTGGTAATTTTTTGAAAATTTTTCTTACTTTTTAGGTTCTTTTTCTTTATTCTCCAAAAATGTCCGCAAGTTTAATCCGCAAGTCATGCTATTTATTTTAAGCAAAAAAGTAACTAAACTTTCATTGTTTTCATGTTTCTTTAAAGTTTCTCCGCTTACTTACAATCATTTTTGAAAAAATAAAAAGTATGACTTTGCTGATAAAATTTGCGGACATTTTTGGGAGAATAAACAAAAAGAACCCTAAAATAAAAATTATTTTTCAGAATAAAATGTTTGATAAATTTAACACTGAACACTTGACAGACAAACAATATATGAATATTTTAGGCCCGGCAAAATCAGCAGAATTTATTTCACAGGTTTTTTAAATTAAAAATTATTTAAAAAAATTTTTAAGGGTTGGCTTAAATGTAATATACAATTTGATCAAGCATCAGGAGTGGATGACATTTTTTATCATTGGGGACCACGTGCAGAAACTGTTGTCAGTAAAAAGGTTGGAAAATTTTTATTTTTTGGTTATTTTTTTTTTAATTTTCTGACTGACATTTTGTCATACCGTATTTTTCCCAATAGAAGCGCACGTCCCATTTGAAGCGCACGTCCCAATAGAAGCGCAGTCTACGAGGAGGTTGAAAAATACAAGCGCAGGTCCCAATAGAAGCGCACGTCCTATTATAAGCGCACCCTATATATACTTATTTGAGCAATTACCCTGTTACATAGTTACTATTTTAAACAAAGATTATTCATTTACATTTAGATTAAGAATTTACACTTATAAAAAATGGATTCTAATTCCGGTTCGAAATTGAGTTTTAGGTAACCGGTGTTATATTAATGTAACCGGTGTTATACTTGAAAATGCAAATCTTATTCTATCGATAAATTTTTCCAATCTTCCCTTTGTACTACTTTCACGTAAACGACCTGATCCCTCTCTTGTCGAAAGATTTAAGGTTTTTGAGTTATAATTGGGGAAAAATTTATTCGACCTTGCCTAGGAGATGGAGTGGAAAAAGCTGGATGGATGATGCCGTCACAATCAAATATTTGAGAGCAATTATAGGGCAATCATTGTTTTCACAACGCTTACTTATTTGGGTCCACCAGCTGAAATTTTATTTGGTATGGATAGTTGAATCATGAGATGTGATTTCAAAAGAAAATGTTGCAAAAACTTTTGGGTTTGTGGAATCTATAGAGATGTAATGTTTGGTTTAAATTTCTATAATGTTATAAAAATTAATTCGCATATGAGTTGAAAAATACAAGCGCACGTCCCATTTGAAGCGCACGTCCCAATAGAAGCGCAGTCTACGAGGAGGTTGAAAAATAGAAGCGCATGCGCTTCTATTGGGAAAAATACGGTATTTTGCCTTCCGTTCGACATTTTGTCCAAAAATTTTCTGATTTTTTAAATAAAAACCAGACTTTATTAGAAAATGCTTTTCCCAAGAATTAATTTAAAACACACTAGGAAATACTCGAAGAATTCGTAAGGATTTATGGTGGAACAATTAATGATTGGCCTAATCATGCAAAAGCCGCTGGCGTTAGAATTGAAAAGAATTAAATTTTGTATATTTTACTTTTTTTTGTTTAAAGTGTTTTTGTTTAACCCAGAAAATTAGTCACGATTATCTTCAAAAAATTTTTAATTTTAGTAGACTAGGCGACCGGTTTTATTAAGCTGTTATCCTCTATTTTTAGGTTACTTTTTTCGGTTCTGAACTTTCCAGCTAAATAACGACTTTATTTTTGGGGATTAAAAAATTGCGCTCGTTTTAAAATTTTTTCAATTATAAAACCAGTCACCAAAAACTCTGTTTACTACTTTTAATAAGCGGGATAAAATGTCATTTGTACAGAAAAATTTTTTATTTGCTTACAATAAATTAAAATAGTTAGGGAGACATATTGAGACGGACATATCGAGATTTTGGTAACAAAAAATTGTACTATCCAAGACCCAGTGGCCGAAGGTCCAGAAGACAATAAAGTAGCTGTTCGTACATTAAAATAAAATCCGGATTTTTTTTCGACCCTAAACCCAATACGAAAAAAATTTTGAAAACCTGCCCAGACTTTTTTCAACCCTAGATAACCCTCGATATGTCTGGCTTCCTTAGAAAATACTGAGATTTGTTTTCCCTCAAAAATATTTTTTAAAGTCATTTTAAATATTTAAAGAAGCCTTCCTCATCTTGTAAATTTGTTCCTCACGAATAGGTTCTTTAATTTCCTTCAGCATAGAATCAAGACTATCAATTCTACCCTTTAAATTTTCACTCTTTTCACGTTCCTGACGACATTCTAGAAAGAAAAAAAATTTATTTTTATCCGTTAATATAGTCAGAGCTCATTTTACATACATACCAGGATGGGACGTGTTACCCGAAACCCGGACTTTTTTTCGATCCCTTCTTACTAGGACTGGATCCGCCTTCCGCTTTTTAAAATTCAAAATTCTCCTGCCCTGATACATACTTTTCCCAATTTCTGTATGTAAAGTTGTGATTCGACTGTATTATGTAAAATTAAAAGTTTTTGTGACGAGTTATTATCCGTACTTCTAGTTTTAGGTTAATCCACTTTTTGGAATTCTATGCTTTCGGTTTTGATTTTTGGAAAGATTTTAGAAAATTACTTTAATTTTCAGAAAAAAATCAAAAAAATTTTTTTTTGCAGAAAACTTTTCGAAAACTCTCCAGAAACCCGGTCTCGTTTGATTAAACTTTATAAAATTTATTTATTTACCTTCTTCATTTTTCTTGACTTTATGTTTATATTCACCAACAAGTTTACGTTTAACTGAAAAATTTCTTTTTTTTTCAAAAATATAAAAAATTAAAAACCTTCATCGTTTGAAATATTTTGCAATTTATCACGGTGTGCCTGAATCGTCTTATTAATCTATAAAAAATAAAATTTTCAGTAGTTTTTAGATATCCCATCCGTTCCTTGTTTATCAGTTTTAAAAACGTAAACAAGGAAAAGGAGGGAGAAAGTGGGTATCCAGCAGAGGTCGGAACAGTCAGAGGTGTCGGAAATTGGAAGAGCCGGAAATCGGAACTAGCTCACCAGTCGGAACTCGGAAATCAAAAATTTTTTCGGAACTCGGAAATCAAAAATTTTTTCGGAACTCGGAAATCAAAAATTTTTTCGGAACTCGGAAGGAAAAAAGTCTGAAATCAGAATTCCGACCCATCTCCAGTATCCAGAAAGCTTCAAATTTTTTAAAATTAAAAAACAAACCTTTTTCTCAACTTCGCGATCATCAAAACCAATAGCTTCAAAATCTTCAATTTGTTTATTTATTAAAATTGTAATTTGCTCCCTTCGAGTCGTCAAGGCTCCATTGATATCAAATTTAGGTTTTGTAGTAGAAAATATGGAAAGACGAGAGAGAGCGAGAATTTGATCCATTTTGAAAAATTTTTTTCTAAAAATTTTTTAAAAAATATTCCTAAAAATTAATTAAAATTTTTTGAAAAAAAAATTAAAAAAATATTTTTAATTGAAAATAACAAGAAAAAAAATTTTAATTTTTAAATAAAAAAATTTTTTTAATTTATAGTAAATATAAAGCATTAATTCTTTTAAATAGATCAAAAATATAGGCGAAAATAAGAATAATTATTCTAGAGAGTTAATGAGACTAGAGAGAAAAATCATTACAAAACAGGAAAAGAAAAAAATATCTTTGGTATATTTTTCCGGAAAATACATTTAAAATGAATAGATTCCGGAAAATATAAAAATATATTTACCTATATGAAATTCCGGAAATACAAATAAATAGATTCCGGAAAATACTTTTCGGAAATACTCTTCCGGAAAATACAAAAATATATTAATAGAAAATTCCGGAAATACAATAGATTCCGGAAAATACAAACAATAAAAGAAATAGAAATTCCGGATAGACAAATAATATGTAGATTCCGGAAAATATAAATAGAAAACATTAAAGTTTCCGGAAATAAAAACACACATTTCTTCCGGAAAATATATTAAATAATTTAACAAAAATTCCGGAAAATACATTTTATTTTTTATTTATATTTTTCATTTCTTCCGGAAAATACAACCATTACCAAAAGAAATAGAAATTCCGGAAAATATAAAAAATTTAAATATAGGTATATGTATTTCCGGAAAAAGAATTATAGTTAATTATAGTATTATTTGGTTATACACACATATAAATGGAATGGCACATAGAATATATTGTTTAATAATTATATATGGCTAGATATTTTTTAGGAGAAATTATATATTCTTTTTTATTTTAATTTTTTAATTTTTATTTAGAAGAGGTAGTCTTATTATTACAATTATCATTATCCAAGCAAACAATATGGTAGAGAGGGGCCTAAAAATAAAAAAAATTTTTTTTTATTTTTTTCTAAAATTTTTTAACAAAAGGAGAGAAACGCCCAAGAGTAGGCGCAGAGCCATAACTAGTTGGAAAATTTCTGAACCTTAGCAAATTTGGTACCAATCTCCTTGGCTCGATGAGAGGAATCGTCTACTAAGTTTTGAAAAATTCAGAAATCTTGAAGCAAGTTATGACTTTGCGCCTACATGGGCCGTATCCAAAAGATCCCTCTTAAAAATTAAAAAGACTACTAAAAAAATTTTCCTTCTCCCAGACTAACCTTATTTCCATCACTTCCATTAATTCCTCCTCCTCCATTATGTTCATGTCCGACTCCATTAATTTTATTTTTTTCTTCATTCTTCATTTTCTCCCAAGCTTTAAATGCAGAGATTTCCTTCTTTTCTTTTTTCTTGTTTCGCTGTTCAAATTCCAAACTTAAAAAAAAAATTTTTTTTAATTTATTTTAGAAAAAAACCTGTTTTTAATAATTCTTTCAATAATTAAATTTGTAGTCATTTCATTACCAGAATCTACTTCCATAAATATTCCCATACGTTTTGGAAAACTTTAAAAAATTTTTTTAAAATATTTTTAAAAAATTATATACTCATATCGATCAATTCCATCAATATTGGCATGAGAAGATTTTATTTTCCCACGAATGACCAAATCGATTTTGAAACGTTTTATTAGCTCCTCATTCACACACAAAGGAGCGCCAATAATAACTTCAGAAACTGGCTGGAGAAAAATTTTTTTCTTAGAAAATTTTGAAAAATCGGCTCTAGTCCAATTTATGAGTCCAATCCTGTTTATGAGTCCAAAAATTTTCATTGACTCAGAAAATTTATCAGAGCAAAAAATTTTCAAAAAACCTTGTAAGCCAAAACACTCAAAACCCTTTCATGTAAAGTCATTATTGGATAATTCCTTCCCTTGTAAACATTCACATCTTGATCCGTATATAGACCAACAATAAGATAATCTCCGTGAAGTCTGGCTTGTTCCAAAAAACATAAATGGCCAATATGGAAGAGATCGAAAGATCCACAGACGTAAACCTTTAATAAAAAATTGATAAAAAATTATTTAAAATCGGGGCGAGACACTGAGAGCCAAATCCTAATAAGCCGATCCTTGATTGGAGCCTGGGCCGACAAGTGTTATAAATACTATATTTGCTTTGTACCCTCAAAAATACGCTTTATGATCGACCCGATTTTCTCCACCTCCCCTTGGCCACGAGCTTCGTTTAGGACATTTACATCAACGACTGGGACCGCAGCAACTAGGACCCCACAGAATTCAACTAAAAAATGAAAAATAACGAACAATTTTATCTCCGGGTGCCGGTTGATGACCCTCCGCAAACTGCATAATTGTTTGAGTAGAAGGAAGAAAACGGGAAATACATGTCCATGGAGACCGAGCTTCTTGATCTGTGCTGAGTTTTCTAGCGTGATCGCGTTCTGCTTCATCTAGGTCATTTTCGTGGTTTATATGGTGGGTCTTTGTCAAAAGAAGCATACGACCGACAAGGTCCTTAAAATTAAAAGTAAATATGAAAAATCCACAAAAATCGAAAAAATCCGCAAAAAATTCAAAAAAATCCGCAAGTCTCCCAAAAATCCGCAAAAATATTATTCAATAAAAATTTACTGTTGTCGAAATCCCAGCGGTCCTAGAACATTCCTTATATCTCCCAGCAGCCTTAACCTCAGCATAAGTATCTTTCCCATCCGCAGTAAGCGTTATATCATCTCCATGAACACAAAAATCACAATTGTAGCGGTCCAAAGTAGCGACTGTTGTGACATAAGGAGCGCCTTCCACAACCTTTTTAAATTAAAAATTTAAAGAAATTTATTTAAAAAAACCTCATCAACCCATTTAATGCCTTTCACCATTTTATAACGTTCTTGTTCTGTAAAAACAGGAGGGCCTTTGTGTAACGAAATTTCTTCATCTGTGTGGACCTTAAAAATAAATTTGAGAGAAATTGATCAAAAAGTAAAAATTTGTGTAAAAATTATCAAAAAAAATTTTTAAAGAAAATCTAGACTAGTTTAAGGTGGATAAATTAAATAAATATAGTTTACAACAACTTTAAATATGCTGGGACCCAAAAGGCATCGAACCCGCACCCCTACATTGGGGGAAGTCTAGGACACTAACCACTTCACTAAATAAAATATTTTCTATTTAATGGAGAAAAATAAATTTAAGAGAAATTGACCAAAATGTAAAAAATATAAAATTTATTTTCAATGGAGAATAACCAAATTTCAAAAAAAAATAGAAAAAAAAATTAATTAAAAATGGGTAGACTCTAGTAGGTATCGAACCCGCACCCTCAAATCAGGGACTCAAAGACACTAACCACTACACCACACTGACATCTTTTTACCCCAAATTTAAAAAAAATAATGTTAAATAAATTCCCCACCCCAACAACCAAACAAGTAGCCATCTGCTTTGCCTGTCTTAATTGATTAGCATGTCCAAAATGGACCATATCATAACTAAAAAAGAAAATTAATTTTAAAAAATATTTAAAAAATTTACCATCCATCACACCAAGCCCTAATTTCTTTTTTAGTCTCTACACCTTGCTGCGCTGGAGAAATAAAAAGAGAAGAAAGATTGTTAGCCTTTCCTTCCATTATTGAGATTTTTTTGTTAAACAAAGCCTTTATTTAATATTTTGACTTTATTTTAGGTATTAGATTAAATAAAATTAGAGAGAAATTAAAAGTTGACAAAATGAAAGAAAATTGACAAAATGCCAAAAATGGGCAATTTAATTATTTTTAAAAATTATTTTTGGAAAATTATGAGGGAGACGGGATAAAATTAATTTTTAATTAAATTTAGGAGTATTTCTGAAATTATTTTTATAAATAAAATAATTTTTTGATTATGGAGTGATAAGGAAAAAATATTTTTAAAGGGGAGAAATATTTTGTAAGGGGGAAAAGTCGTCTTTTTTTAATCATAAGATGATAAAATTAAATAATTATTAATTTTATTGTTTGTCAATCATCAATATTAAATTGTCTATTAAAAAGAAATATTTAATATTATTATAATTAATTTTGTAAAAAATTAATTATTGATATACCTATAAATGATAACAAATTTGTGCTTTTAAAAGAAATTCTGATAATTATTTATTGTAAAAGCAAAAACTAGTATCAGAATTTACAAATTAAAAACTAAACAAACAAGTTTATTTAAAACAAGTTTTAAATAAATCAGAATTAAAATGTGTTTTGGTTTCTAAAATGTGTTTTGCTCAAGTTTATTAATTACATAAGTTGTTGTACATATTTATATTCTGAACATGTTTTTTTGAACAAGTTTGTATTTTCTTGTATGTTTCTATTTAATTCTGGTTTTGTATTTTTGTTTTTCTGTTTGTGTTTTTCTTTTTCTGATTGTGTTTTTGTTTTTATGATTGTGTTTTTGTGTTTTCTATTGTTTTTATTTAATTCTAGTTTTGTGTTTTTGTTTTTGTTGTTTGTGTTTTTTCTGATTGTGTTTTTGTTGTTTTTCTGATATTTTGTGTTTTCTATTGTTTTTATTTAATTCTAGTTTTGTGTTTTTGTTTTTGTTGTTTTTGTATTTTCTTTCTTGTTTTACTTGTTTATTTTTATGTTTTGATGTTTTTTTGATATTCTGATTTTCTATTGTTTATATTTAATTCTGGTTTTGTTTTATAACAAAAAAGAATATTATTATATATTTGCCTAAATTTGTTCAACTTTTTTCTCCTTTATTTTGCGCTCTTCAGAAATCACCTCTTTCTTTAATTTTTTCCTTCTCGGCCAAGTATTGATGTGAAAACAAATATTTGAAAAAACCTTTTTATGTTATACAAACATTCTTATAAATATTTAAAGGTGTGAGAGAACCTTCTTTCCTAAAGGTCTTGACCGAGGTCAGGTTGAAAAAAAGGAAAAATTATTGGACACAAATAAATATTTATTTTAAATAATTAAATAAAAAATTTTTTCCTTTGTTATGTGATCAACAGAAACACAGAAACAACAAAAACAAAAATCAGAATTTGTAAAAGGAAGCCAAAAACTTTTTTTTCCTTTTTTCTAAGTTATATCCAAAAATCTGAGTTTTATATTTTTCACATTTTTAAAAAATATTTTTTAAAAAAATTTTATTTTTTTGGCCAAAAATAGACCATTGTCCATCACTTTTAACTCCCTCCCTTTTGTTTTCTTAAAATGCCGATTTTTTGTTTTTAAATCCTTTGGGGAAAACTTGAAGATTTTTGTTGCTTTTAAATTGAAGAGCATTATTTTATATGTACATCTTGTTTAAATTTGGACTTATAAATATTACAATTATAAACTTGAAGTATTTAAATCCACTAAAAAAGAGCCATATTTAAGCTGTTTAATGCCTATTAATAATAAAAAGAATTGAAGCAGAAATTACAAATCAGAATTCGAAACAAACAAGTTTATTAAATCAGAATTATTCAAACCTTATTAAAACTTGTTTTAAATAAATTCTGATTTGAATAAGTTTGTTGTAAACAAAATCAGAATTTACAAACCAGAATTTAAAACAAACATGTTTATTTAAAACAAGTTTAAAACAAGTTTTAAACAAACCAGAATTTGTTTAAAACAAGGTTTACTTACCAGAAATTAAACTTTGAATTAAATTCAGAATCAGAATTTAAAATTCAGAATTTACAAATCAGAATTTAAAACAAACAAGTTTATTTAAAACAAGTTTAAAACAAGTTTTAAACAAACCAGAATTTGTACATCAGAATTTACAACTTTAAATTAAATAATTAAAATCAGAATTTTACAATTGTAATTATTAAATACTACAATTTGTAATTATCTTTTAATTATTAAAATTTAATTTATTTTTTATTTATTCTTGTATTTAATTTAAATATTATTTTTTCAAAAATGAACGCCAATTTTTTTTCATTATTTATTTTCACACCTCTATTTGTATATAAATAAACCACCAAACAAAAAATATTCCCAAAAATTCTTCCATTTAAAAATAAATATATTTATTTTCTTACCTCAACCACCACTCAACCAACAACAATAACAAAACCAACACCTTGTATGGGTGCGTGGAAAGGAACAAACAAGGAAGAATAAAAAAAAGATTTTTGGATATTTTTTTGGATCGTTGCTCTTCCAACAAATTTACATTTTTTCCTCACTCCTTTCCCATCGCTTACCATTTAAAAAATTAAAAATAAAGGATTTTTACCCTTTTCTGTAAATGTCCTTTTTAGGAAGCGCGTAATTTTTTTTGTAAATTTTGTGACCAGTCAAATTATGCAATTATTTTTTTTACAATTTTAAAAATTCTGATTTTTATAAATTCTGTTTCTTACAAATTCTGATGACTTGTTTAAAACTTGTCTTAAATATTCTGAAATTAATTCAAGTTTAAATTCTGAAAATTAAAACTTTTTTTACAATTTTACAAATTCTGATTTTTAAAAAATTCTGGTTTTTACAAATTCTGACTACTAGTTTAAAACTTGTTTAAATTCTGAATTTATTCCAAGTTTAAATTCTGAAAATTAAAACTTTTTTACAATTTTACAAATTCTGATTTTATTAAATTAAACTTGTTTGTAAAATAATAATTCTGATTTTTAATTCTGTTTACTACTTTAATTAATTTCAGAATTAATTTCAGAATTTATTTTAAACGAATTCTGATTTTTATTAAATTAATTCTGATTTTTTTCTTTTATTTATTCCTCAACAAACAATGACTGCCATTTCGCTTGACTGCGCCCAAATAAAAAAAATAAAATAAAAAAGAGCGCCGTCTTTTTTCCTCATCCCCCCGCGCACTGATCGGCCCTAATCTCTTCTTTTTTTAAATGCGGGCCGTCCATTTTTAAATGCCTATGAAACCAAATACAAACATTGGACAATTTTGGACAGTTATGGCTTTTAGTGGTTGCTTTTCCCGTTCAAAAAATATTTTATTTAAATAAATATCATCACTCCCCCTCCATTTAGCCATCTAAAAATGGGAAGAGCGACATTTTTATACGGAAGAGATTTTCATTTTTGCATTAATGCTAATATGGCTTACTCATCTCTTTAACTGTGACCAAGACAAATTTTAATGGTGATTTTTATTTTATTTTTTGTTTCTTCATTATTAATGGATTGGCAAACAAATTTTTTGGGGAATTTTTATTAATATTTTTCTTATTGTTTTTTTTCTTATTTTACTTCGCTGTGTTTTTGTTGCTTGATTTTATTTAATTAGTCAAACAAGTTTCGTATTTATTCTGATTTTTGTGTTTCTCTATAATTCTGGTTTTAAAGTTCAAAGTTTTATTCATTCTTTTTCCCAAGTTTCTGTGTTTTAGTTTTATTTTGATTTTTAAGCTTATTTTTCTGTATTTCAAGTTTCTCCGGTGTGTTTTATTCAAGTTCTATATTTATTCTGATTTCTGTGTTTTTGTTTTATTCTAATTTTCAAGTTTATTTGTATTTTTGTTTTTGTGTTTCTTCTGTTTTGTATTTTATAATTCTGATTTTCAAGTTTATTTTTTTTGTGTTTTTCCAAGTTTTGTATTTATTCTGATTTTTATTCCTCATATTTCTGTATTTTCATGTTTCTCTTTGTGTTTTTATGTTCTTCACAAATGTTTTAACCTTTTTTGCCTTCAAACTTTTTTCTTCCAAATAAAACACATAAATCGCCAATTTGCACCTTTTATTTTATGCTCATTTTTATTTTTATTTTATATCCTCCCTTAATTCACGTCTATTTAAAATTGCCCTTTTAAAAATAAAAAATATCTTTTTTGACCATTTTCTTTACTTAGAAACATAATTTTCTTCCCCCTTTTCCCCTTTTAAATTCCCTCATAAATTTTATTAATTTTATTATTTATTTTTAGGGCAATTAATATGTCGTAAATTATTTTAATAAACATTTTTTTACAATTTATTTAATAAGAAAAATAATTATTTTTAATTTTAATAATTTTTAATTTTGCTAATGTAAATAAAAATAAATATTAATTTTCTTCCTTTTTCCCTCCTTGTTATCAATCCATTTACATATATTTATTCATTTTTACCTCGAGAATTGCAAAAATTATGCAAGGGTTTGCCCTTATATTCAATACTAAATAATTAGTAAATAGATTAGCACTATTATTTATAGTTAGGTAGGTCTTTTAATTTTTCTTATCTTTTTATTTTATTTTTACCCCAATAGATTATTTAATGTATTTAAATTCTGATTTAAATTATTATTTATGTAATTCTGAAATTTATTAAATTCTGAAATACACTAAATTCTGATTTATTAAAAACTTTTTTGTATGCTTTGTATTTATTCTGTTTTACAAGTTTTATTTATTCTGTTTGTGTTTTTTCAAGTTTATTTGTGTTTCTGTTTTTCAAGTTTCTCTGTTTGTATTTTATAATTCTGATTTTACAAGTTTTGTATTTCTGTATTTTAAGTTTCTCCTGTGTGTTTTATTCAAGTTTTACATTTATTCTGACTTTCATGTTTTATATTTCTTCTGTTTTGTGTTTCTCTATAATTCTGATTTTCAAGTTTATTTGTATTTCTGTTTTTGTGTTTTACTTTTCAAGTTTGTATTTTTTTCAAGTTTTGTATTTATTCTGGTTTTTAAGTTTATTGTTTCTAAATCAGAATAAGTTTCTTTTTTCAAGTTTAATTTATTTTATAAGGAAAAAAGTTTCAAAACTTGCTAATAAAAACACACACAACTTTATGATCTTTCCACCCTTTTATTACAGGTGAAATCCGACCCCGAAAAAAAATATAAATTGTTTTTTGTAGGTTAAAACTTTAAATCCTCTTTTCTCATGAGGGAAATAGTAGGTGGAAAGGGATACTTTAAATAAAATGATGTATTTATTTTATTTACCCCCAACGGCCATCCTCAAAATAAATATTGCCTTAAGCATGTACTATAAAGCTTGGGAAAGATTTTTTGGTCTTAATAAAACTTGAAACTTGAAGCATGTTTTTACAAAAAAAATAAACTTTTTTTACATTTTGTATTTACAAACTCTGATTTCTCTTTTGTAAAATTCTGATTTTCAAGTTTATTTTATTTAAGGAGCATTTTTACAAATTCTGATTTAAATTCTAAGTTTATTTTGTAATTGTAAATTGACTTTTACAAATTCTGATTTTAAGATTAATTTTATGCTGAATGTTTTTAAAAAATTCTGATTTTAATTCCATGTTTATTTCAGAATTGTAAAATGTTTCTTTGAAATTCTGATGTAATTTTTTACAAATTATGATTTTCTACAATTACCACAATGTTTCATAACTTTTATTTTAAAATACTTTTTTATTTATTTAATTACCTCCATTAAATAATTAATTATTATTTTTCTATTAAAATATTAAAAACCCAACAATTGGCCACCCATTGATTTTAAGTGACCAAATGATTTTTTGCTTTATACCAGAAGGTGTTAAACTCTCACACTCAGATATATTTCAAATAGCTAAACAATTGGCTATTATTACACAAAATAAATAAAGATAAATTTTAAAATAAAGTTGCTTCAGAAATTTAATTAAAACAATGTTTGTTTGTTGAAAATTCTGATTTCCAAGTTTATTTATTCTGAATTATAAAATGTTTTTATTAAATTCTGATTTCAAGTTTTTATAAAATTCTGATTTTTTACAAATTCTGATTACAAATTTAATTCTGATTAATTTATTTATAATTCTGGTTCTGATTCCAAGTTTATTTTCAAGTTTAATTTAGGCGTATTTACATGTTTTTAAAAAATTCTGATTTTATTTTATAGTAAATTCTGATTTAATTTCAAGTTTATTTTTCTACAATTGTAAAATGTTTTTACAAATTCTGATTTCAAGTTTTTACAAATTCTGATTTCCCAGTTTTATTTTTAAGCTTATTTTTATAATTCTGATTTCCAGGTTTATTTTTTCCAGGTTTAATTTAAATGAAACACATTTCATCGAAAATACAATTGACTGTTTTAAATAGACCAACAATTCCAACAACTAATTCCCCTTCAAAAAAATTAAAAATACCCAAAATAAATTTAATTAAATATTTAATTAATTTAATATTTTTAATTTTATTAATTCCATCTTCTCAACAAAATTTTATTAATTTTGAAAAAAATAATAAATTTTCTTTAAATTCGCGTTGGAGGAGATCTATTGAGATAGAAGGGACAGAAGATGTTTTAAATTTATCAGAACAAAAAATAAATAATTTTGAGGAGAATGTACAGCAAAAACGTGTTGCTGTTGGAAGTAGAAAGTGAATTGGCGAAAAATATTTTTTTATAAAATTTATTTTTTATTCTAGTAGACGCCCAGAGATATTCCAAGCGCCCACTGACGTAATTTCTTTTAAATAAATTAATAAAAAATTTTTTAATTAAATAAAAAATTTTATTTTATTTTTAGAGGATTTCCGTTGTTCGATCTCAATTCAGATTGAAATTATCCCGTTATAGCAACCCTGCCCGCCGGATGCAAAATTTGACTACTTGCGCATGTCCTCAACAAGATGTAATTTATAAAAAAAAATTATTTTTTAATTTAAAAATTAATTTTTATTTAAATAAAAATATTAAAATTAATTTTTAAATTTTTAGAAAATTAAAAAAAATTTTTTAGCCCTCAAATTGTGGTAGAGATATTGGTGGTAATCGCTCTCCTTGTTACTTTTCTTTTGTTATTGTAGCTAGTAGTTCAGAGTAAGTTGTAAACTTTAATTCAGTTTATTTTAATAAATAAACTTTTTTAACAATTTGTAATTTAAATAAACTTTTTTTACAATTTGTAATTTAAATAAACTTTATTTTACAATTTGTAAATTAAATAAACTTTTTTTTTACAATTTGTAATTTAAATAAACTTTTTTTTACAATTTGTAAAACTTTTTCTTTTACAATTTGTAATTTAAATAAACTTTTTTTTACAATTTGTAATTTAAATAAACTTTTTTTGCAATTTGTAATTTAAATAAACTTTTTTTACAATTTGTAATTTAAATAAACTTTTTTTACAATTTCCAGTCAAACAGTCAATTTCCGTTCTACACCGTTTGTAGTAATTGGTGATACAGGTAAACAAGCTTATTTTTTAAATATTTACAATTTGTAAAAAAGTTTTACAATTCAAGTTTATTTTATAGGTGTTATTGAAGCAGGTTTAGAACCAGAATGGGGATCAGAATTGCAACTTGATTTTTCTACAAAACCTGTAAAAGTTTATTAAATCAGAATTTTTTCAGAATTTTTTTTCAGATTTTTTTTTTCAGAACTTTTCAGAATTAAAAAAATTCTGATTTTTTAACTTTCCAAGCTTTTTTAATCCCTCTAATTTTCACAGCGTTTTGTTGACATTTATGCTTACAATCTTGGCCCCGTTTTTAGTTTACTAGACGGAAGAATTATAAGCTGGTCAGAGACTTTATGGCCTGTAGATGCTTGGTCTTTGGATTTAACAAATGTATTGCCTCATAGTTTTTACGAAGCTGGGCCTTTTTATGAACAAAGGGAATTGTTTGGAAGATATGACACAAACAGCGCGTTAAATTTGGAATTTTCTGTTAAATGTATTGGCGATGCAATGGGGCCAGAATGTGATTTAAATTGTAAAAGGAAAGAAGGGGATAATGAAATGAAAACAAATCAAATTGAAAAGCCTAATGATTTGTATAGAAATGTTGGTCAGCCTGGATGGACGGTAAAAATTAATATAAAATTGAAAATCAGAATTTTAAAATCAGAATTAAAATAACAGAAAAATAAAATAAAACTTGAAAACCAGAATTTAGTTACATACAAAGTTTATTAAATTTAAAAACTTGAAATCAGAATTATAAAATAAAATCAGAATTTACAATTGTAAAAAAGTTGATTTATTAGAAATTAAAACTTGAAAATCAGAATTAAAAAATCAGAAATTTAAATCAGAATTTACAAATTGTAAAAAAAGTTTATTTAAATTTATTTAAACTTGAAATTAAAACTTGAAAAAAATCAGAATTGTAAAATAAAACAGAATTTGTATTTACAATTGTAAATTCTAGTTCTCAAGTTTAATTTCAATTTTAATAAAATTAAATAAACTTTTTTTTACAATTTGTAAATTCTGATTTCAAGTTTATTTTCTAACACTTGAAATTAAAATTGAAAACCAGAATTTTAAATCAGAATTACAAATTGTAAAAAAAGTTTATTTAAATTTAATATTATAAAAAAGATTTGTGAATCTGAACAGAGACGCTTTTTCGCCTGTCGCTTTCACGATGCTAACAGACTACAAGTTGATAATTGTCGTTTTTGTGAATATAGGGTTATTAATGAAACTATTTGTGTACACGATCCTGTACAATGGAAACAAGAACCTGTTTGGGAATTTTTTTAATTTTTTAAAAAATTCTGTTTTATAGGAGAATGTATTTTACAAATCTTGGACTATTGTTCTTGGGGTGCTTCTTATAGTTACTTTAATTCTTTTGATATTGACTTGCTTCTTATGTTGGATGTAAGCTTAATAATAATTCTGATTAATAAAAAATCAGAATTATTATTAGAATTTTAAATATCAGAATTTAAACCAGAATTTTTATAAATCAGAATTAAACACCAGAATTCAGAACCAGAATCTTATAATCAAAAAATCAGAATTAAGAATCAGAATTTTTATAAATCTGACCAGAATCTTAGATCAGAATTAACTACCAGCATAGAAAATCAGAATTTTAAAATCAGAATAAAACATCAGAATTTCTGAAACTCAAAATTTGAATCAGAATTTTTAAAATCAGAATTTTTAATAGGCAAATTTCTAAAAATCAGAATTTCTGAAAATCAGAATTTTAAAAAACAGAATTTTAAAAATCAGAATCTTGAATCAGAATTTAAAGCAGAATTTAATTAATTCCAGACTTCTTCTTCGCCGATTCTCTTCCAAGTCAAAGCGTGAATCTGCCCTAGCAGGCACCTATCGACGCGGAGGTGTCCCCTACAGTATCAGTGGAAACGACTTCGGAGCCGCCTCTCGGTTAGGTGATTCTCTAATGCTCCACAAACCTCTCCTTCTTGGCAATGGAATAAAAACAAAATTGACAAAGTATTTAAATAAAAATCAGAATTTTTTCCGAAAAATTTTCAGAAAAAAATCAGAAAAATTTCCCCCGGGTCCTTAAATTTTTCTATGAAAAAAATTTAATTTTTTAAAGCGGAAAGGAATCAACTGACTGGACATCAAAACAATCAAAACCCCCAATTTCTGTTAGACAACAACAACAATTCCCGATAATGGGTGCTTCCAGATCCCCTTCTGCCTCTCAACATTGGATGGCTGCTGCTGTTGGCAGTGTTGGTGAAATGGGAGGAAGTGGGCCGATAATTACACATACACAAAATAGTCCTGATACTAGTGAAAGTGTGGGTATTTAAAGTTCAAATCAGAATTTAAAAAAATAAAATCAGAATTTTAAATAAAACTTGAAAATCAGAATTTAAATAAAACTTGAAAATCAGAATTTAAATAAAACTTGAAAATCAGAATTTAAATAAAACTTGAAAATCAGAATTTAAATAAAACTTGAAAATCAGAATTTAAATAAAACTTGAAAATCAGTATTTAAATAAAACTTGAAAATCAGAATTTAAATAAAACTTGAAAATCAGAATTTAAATAAAACTTGAAAATCAGAATTTAAATAAAACTTGAAAATCAGAATTTAAATAAAACTTGAAAATCAGAATTTAAATAAAACTTGAAAATCAGAATTTAAATAAAACTCGAAAATCAGTATTTAAATAAAACTTGAAAATCAGAATTTAAATAAAACTTGAAAATCAGAATTTAAATAAAACTTGAAAATCAGAATTTAAATAAAACTTGAAAATCAGAATATCAGAATTTTAATAAAATCTAAAAACCAGAATTTAATCAGAATTTCTAGTCAAAGTCAAAAAATTAGAAGACCAGAATTTAAATTAAAACTTGAAACCAGAATTAAATTAAAACAAAACCAGAATTTCACTTAGAATGGAATCAGAATTTTTGAATAAAACCAGAATATATTTAAAACTTGAAAATCAGAATAACAGAATTTCAATAAAATTTAAAAACCAGAATTTAATCACAATTTAACTATAAAAAATCAGAATTTAAAATTTAAAAATCAGAATTATTTTCTGAATTAAATATTTCAATTAATTATAAATTTCAGAATTTTTCAGAAATTTAATTTATTTTTACAGGATTATCGTCCAAGTCCATTTACAACTCCAAGAAGAGAAGCACTTGTATAATACAAAAATCAACTATTTTTGCAATTTTACAATTCAAGAATCTTTTATCTAACAGCTTTCTATATTATTTTCCCTCAAAAATCTTTCAATTTTTTTTATTTTTTCTCAAATTTTATTTTAATCTTAATTTTAAATTTTAAAAAACATTCCACAATTTTATTATTTTTAAAGATTTAATTCCGTGCAATTTTGTAATTATTCTAAAAAAGCTTTAACGATAATATTCAAGTTTACAGCCCCCCTTTTCCCTCCCTAAGTTTTTAATTAAAATGTAAATAATGGTCAATATTATTAATTTTTGAATTTTATTTTTATTAAAGCTTTTATTTAATATTTTTCATTTAATTTTTGTTTGCCATATTTAATTATATTTAAATAAAAATTAATACAAAATTTATTAATTTAATTTTTGTTGTCAAAAAATATTTAAGTCAATTTTTTATTCACCTCAACGGAATCACCGTTACAACAGAAAGTTTATAAAATATGAAAAGAATATTTAAAAAAAAATATAAATTTGTAATAAAACTCAAAATATTGAGCAGTTAAATAATAAAGTAAAGGTCAAACAAATATAAAAATAAACTATAAAAATTATTTAATACTTCCAATTTCCACGAAAAAAAATTTTTAAGCCGAAAATAAAAATATAGTCGAAACTCGATGACTCCTCACATTCAGGCCCGAATGATCTGAAACTCCTTATACTGACGTAATAAAGGGAAGGAAAGTGATATCGAGATTCGGTTGTATTTTTAAAAAAATTAAAACGAAAATAATTTTTTTCTAAGATAAATCTCCAATTAATATGTACCAGAAAAATACCAAAAAATGTACTCTTATAATTTATTTTAATTTATGGAAACTGGAATTATTTAAATTAACTTGTTTTAAAAAATAAAGACTTTAATAAAATGCACAAAGGAATGAATTAATATGAAGAAAAAAAATTTTAAACTAAAAAATATTTCACCTTTTTTAAAAAATAATATAAAATACTCGATACGAGATGCCTTGATTATGGGGTAAAACACAAAGGAAAGAAAAATAAATATACTATTTTTTAAAAATACTATTTTTCAAGTAACCTTTGTAAATGTTTTAAGGTTTATTTAGACTAGTCAAAAATTAAATAAAAGTTTTTCCGGAAGTGGTATACTTTAATATAATATAGAGATTTCCGGAAGTGGTATACTTTAATATAATATAGAGATTTCCGGAAAAAGTATATATTATACTCAAGCAGGTCTATTTAAAAATACAACCGGAAAATAAAAATACAACCGGAAAATACATCCAGAAAATAAAATATAACCGGAAAATACAACCGGAAAAATATAAAAATACAAAGAAATCCGGAAAATACAGCTAACTTAATTTCCGGAAAAGTATATATTACTCAAGCAGGTCTATGTAAAAATATAACCGGAAAACAAAAATACATCCGGAAAAAATATAAAAATACAACCGGAAAAAATAAAAATACATCCGGAAAAAATATAAAAATACAAAATACATCCGGAAAATACAGTTAATTGAAAAATAGTATTATATACTTTAATATTTAAAGAAAAATAAAAAATATTTTTAAAGGATCAGGGAATGAATGACCCGTTGGCACAACAGAAAAAAATATTTATTTAAAATATTCTAAAATTTATTCTCTCTTTCATTTTTCAAAAGATTTGTGTCGATTACGCGTCCAACTTTGCTGTTGTTTTTCCAAATCCATAGAATGTTGAGCACTTAAAGTGTTTGAACGGGGAACGAAACCATCAGCTAAAAACGCTTTTTTTGCTTTATTGATACTGTTACTTAAACTATTTCCTGTAGAATTTCCATTTCCTTTTCTTTTTTTATTTGTTGTATCAACAGATTTTGTAGCTGAAGGTAAATCTGTATCTGAGCCTTTCTGAAAGAGATAGGGGTTAGTTAAATGGGTATAACTTTTTTTAAAATAAAGATAGAAATTTAATTTAAAAAGTAAAAAATAGAGGAGAAACAGGGCTACAAAATAGTCGAAAAAAGAAATTTTTAGAATTAAAATTGGTAAAGTTAAAATTAATTTTGAAGCATTTCTCCACTATTTTTTAAATAAAAAATTTAAAATTTTTTGCCTTTTGCATTTGACTTTGAGCATATTTATGTTTAGGAGGGGCATTTCCACTGTGCCATGTATGGTGTTGGTTATTATAGGGTAATTGATGATAATCAAAATCATGGGTTTGATGTTTGTGTTTGCTTGAAACAGGGGCTGAACCGCCACCAATATGACTAAAAAATAGAAAATTAATTAAAGATAAATACAAACTAAAAAATATTCCGGAAACCCGAAAATATTAAATAGAAAGCCGGAAACAAAAATACAGTTGATAGAATACAAAATAACCGGAAAACATCTAAACCAAAAATACAACCGGAAAATACAAATACTTATGAAAAACACAACTTTTCCGGAATAAATATAAGTATCCGGAAATATTTAAGTAGAAATCCGGAAATATAAAATACAATTGATAAAATACAAAATAAAAAACCGGAAAACACAAATTCAGCAAATAAATCCGGAAAACACAAATACTTGTAAAAAACACGACCTTTCCGGAAAAATATATGTAAGTATCCGGAAATACTTAAGAAATCCGGAAATATGTTATATATAACTATTTAATGAAATATAAAATACAAAGTAAAAAACCGGAAAACACAAATATATAAAATACAAAACACCTACCCATTCCTTCCCATATTACGCCCATTCTTTCCAATATTTCTAAGCTCAGCTGCATTGGCAGATTCTAAAATTCGATTAAACGACATTTCGCTTCTAAGCATATAAGTAGTCGAAGCTGTTGCTCCCAGGCATTTTGAGGCCTTTAAAAATTAAATTTTACTTGATTTAGATTACCCAATCAATTTACCACAGGTATGTCAGCTTCAACACTCCAAATTCTAAATTTCCTGACAAACCAAATAAAAGGGACAGGGGCCATTGCAATTACAACAAGGCCTAGAAATTATAGCAAAAATAATATTCAAGGAAAAAAAATTATTTTAATAAGAAACAGACCAAAAGCAATAAAAAGAGCCCAAGTTGGATAAGGCTCTAAATGTTGATGAGTCTGGGAAAAAAAATTTTTTTTTTAATTTTCAAAAAATTCAATTCTTTAAAATTACCGTGGAGGCATCATAAGCAGAATATTCAGGCACTTTAGTGAATGACTTGAAAATTGAAGCAACAAAAATAACAAACATAATAACTGGGGAAATAAAACGCCAAGTAATTTTCTTAGAAGAATTAAATTTTTAAAATTAAATTCTCCTTTCAAATACCCAAAAATTCCCAATTTGTTCATCACACATATATTGAAGATCTCTTACAAAATTATCACATCCATAAACATAAATTACAGCAACTACTTCAAAAAAGGCAACACACATTAATGCATAAGTTCCGGCAAAGTGATCGAACATTGATACCCAATACTTGAAAAAAATACATAATTTTAATTGTAACCTTCCGAAAAATACTATCAAATTCCGGAAACGCAATAGACAATACTATGTATTTTCCGAAAAAGTATATTTAACAATAAAACATTTTGAAAATAACTCCGGAAAATGCATATAACTTTCCGGAAACTAAATATAAAATTCCGGGGAAAATAATTATAAATTCAGGAAAATATACGTAACCTTCCGGAAAATAATTTTAATTTCCCGGAAAATACTATCAAATTCCGGAAATTGTAATAGACAATAATACTATGTATTTTTCTGTATTTTCCGGAAAATACTCCAAAAAATACATGTAACTTTCCGGAAACAAAATATAAAATTCCGGGAAATAATAATAAATTCAGGAAAATATATGTAACCTTCCGGAAAACAAAATATAAAATTCCGGGGAAAATAATTAAAAATTCAGGAAAATATACGTAACCTTCCGGAAAATAATTTTAATTTTCCGGAATTTTTTTCACAGAAAATTCAGCTTTCCGGAAATTAATTAAAACATTCCGGAAATTATAATAAAATAATAGTATTATTTTCCGGAAAAATATAATTAATAATAAAATATTCCGGAAAAAATCGTACTTGTCCAGCTTGTGTAGTAAACACAAGTCCAATAAGACAGGAAGATGCACAAATTAATAACTTGAAAAAAATTTTTTTAATTTAAAATATTTTTTAAATTACAGAAAGCATAGGTTGACTAAGTTTAATCATTTTAGCATCATTAAGTGAGGTAATTACTCCCTCTAATGTGCCAAACATAGAGCCTAGACCAAGCATCATAAGCATCTAAAAAATTATTTAAGTAATTTTAAAGTAAAAAAAATTTTTTTTTTCACCAAAAAGAACAAAATAGCCCAAAATGGTGGAAATGGAAATTGACTAATTGCTTCGGTAAATACAACAAAAGCCAATCCTGTGCCTTCCGCTGCCTACAGAAAATTTTTAATTAAAAATAAATCTTTAGAATACTTCAGAAATGATATCTCCAAGTTCACATTTTTTGTAAGATGGATGGTTAATAATTTCAGAAAATTTGCTGTCGCGGAAATCAAATTGCATGTAAGAGGTGAATCTATGAGGGAAATAAATATATTGTACATATTAATAAAATACAAATCCGGAAAATACAATATAGGAAAAATAAAATAAATTTTCCGGAAAATACAAAATATTAATGAATAACATTCCGGAAAAGTTCAGAAATAATAAATATTCCGGAAAATAATGTGAGTATAATTTATTTCCGAAAAAACACATAATTTAAAATAAATATTTCCGGAAAGTACACAATGATATTAATAAAATTCCGAAAACACAAGTAAACTAGAAAAAATCCGGAAAATGATATATAAATATAATTTATTTCCGGAAAATACATAATAATATTAATAAAATTCCGGAAAACAGGAGTAATAAAAAATCCGAAAAATGAAATAATTTTTCCGGAAAACACATAATTTAAAATAAATATTTCCGGAAAATACATGATATTAATAAAATTCCGGAAAACATGAGTAATAAAAAATCCGGAAAATGAAATAAATAATATATTTCCGGAAAAACACGTAATTTAAAATATAAATCTTTCCGGAAAAGTAGTCAAAAATAATAAATTTTCCGGAAAAACACAGGTAAATAAAAATATTTCAAGTGCTTACTCCTCCATTGTAATATTTCCATTAATTTCTTCCATATTTTTATAAAGTCCTGGAGCAACTTTAAGAATTAAAGACATATCCTTTTCAATACAGGAATTAAAATTTTTTCTTCCCATATATCCCAAAACACAAAAAATAACAAAAGCTGTGTAGAGAGAAGTTAAAAGGTTGGCTAACGACATTTTGAGGACATCCCTTTTACAATTATTTTTGACTGGATTGTAGGAAGCAAAAGCTATTAATCCTTTAAAAATTTAAATTAATTTTGATTATTTATTTACTCTCAAATACCTCCAAATCCTAGACCCATAGAATAAAAAATTTGTGTAGCGGCGTCTAACCATACATCAGGTTCCCATAAACGTGAAAGCTAAAAGGGAGGGGAAAAGAAAATTAGTAGAATTTTAAAAACAATTTTTGTCGAATTCCAAGCTAGCAAGAGAAAAAATAAAAAGGAAGGATAAAATACCGCAGTGCTAAGTTTAAAAAATTTTTTCTTACAGAAGATCTAGACAAGAAATTTTTTTGAAAAAAAAAATCTCCCGAAAATGCGTCAAAATAAAATATGTAAATTTTAAAAAAATAATTTGGAGAGGACTTAGTCTAAAATTTTAAAAAAATAAAAAATAAATAAATTAAATTAATTAAATTTAATAAATAAATCCAAAAATAATAAAAATATTAAAAAAAAAATTAAAAATGCCCCAAAAATATAAAAATTTATTTTTTAAAAATCGCAACGCAATAATTAAAAATTTTTTTAAATACCTGAACGTGTTCAATCCAAAAATGAGAGAATTTTAAAATATCTCTCCGGGTCAGTCAACTTGTGTGTTTTTGTTTTATAAAATAATTTTTGAAATATCCAAAAAATGACCCGAAGAAACGCGCATTGTGACCACTTTGGCATTTAATAAAAACAAAGGTGAATTAATTTACATTTAAAAAATGGGGCAAGGGGGGGGGGGGTAAGAAGCTGAAATAGGTAACAAAGTTTGGATAAAAAAGCTGGACAAGTAATAAAGTGTTATAATTAAAAAAATATAAACAAAGTGGGAATGAAGCAAATAAAGAAGCTGAAATTTGGCTATTTTAATAGGGCAAATTAAAAAACGAGCATGTTTTTACAATAAACGTAATATAGAAAAATAATTGTAAACTTGAAAAAAACTTAAAAGAGGATCAGAATATAATTTGTAAAATTTGAGATTACAAAATTAAAACTTGAGCAAGATCAGAATATATTTAATAAGAATAAATTAATTATCACACAAATAAAAACGTTAAATACATAAACAAATAAAAACAATACTTAAACAAATTATAAAATGTTTAACAAATATTTGAGATTACACTAAAACAAAAAAATAGTATTTTCGAGATTTTAGATTAAAAAACAAGAGAAAATTTAAATGAAAATAAATAAATGGACTTTTATTTTAATTAATTTAAAAAATAAGTATGTATGTACTTAATTTAATTTAAAAAAAATTTTTAATGTCCAATTATTTTTCAAAAAAGCAAAACAATTAAGTGAGAAATTAAAGAATGGCCAAAGTGGAAGAGAGTTGGTTGATTCAAACAACAAACAATTTGGCGCGGCCTTTTTTTAATGGCCAAAAATTGCTCTAAAAATACTACAATTTTCTAGATTTTTTATTAAAATAAATTTTGATTTTTTTTAAATCGAAAAATGTCAGAAAATTTTTTTGAAAATTTTTTGAAAATTTTTTTGAATTTTTAAAAAATCCCTAAGAAAAAATAATAAGAAAAATCTAATAAAAAAAAATAAAGAAAATCCCTATATCCTCTAAATAACAAAAGAAAACTCACATCCGGCGTTATCATATATCTCAGACCGTCAGTAGCCCCAGGCAGTAAAATTGAGCGGAACATAAATGCAGTGAGCACAAAATAAGGAAAAGTAGCGGTTAAGTACATTACCTAAAAATTAGTGAAATAATCAGAATTTGTGAAAAAGGAAAAATTGTAAAGTTAAAACTTGGAATGAAAACCAGAATTTAAATTTTGTAAAAATAAAGTCAGAATTTGTAAAAACTTAAAACTTGGTATCAGAATTTGAAATTGTAAAATTAAATCAGAATTTGTAAAATAAACTTAGAACTTGATAGGAGTTAAGTTTTAAAAAATCAGAATTTGTAAAATATAAATAAATCAGAATTTAATTTTGTAAAATTGAATCAGAATTTGTAAAATATACTTAAAACTTGATGGGAAATCAGAATTGTTTTAAAAAGTCAGAATTAAAAAATCAAAATTTGTTAACCAGAATTTGTAAAATAAAGATAAATCAGAATTTAATTTTGTAAACTTAAAACTTGATATCAGAATTTGTAAATTTATATAAACCAGAATTTGTAAAATAAACCTAACCAGAATTAAAGTTTTACAAAAAAGTTTGCAGGATCAGAATTTGTAAATTAGTTTGTAAACTTAAAACTTGGAAGAGAATCAGAATTTAATTTTTACAAAATCAGAATTTAAATTATAGTTTAAAAAATCAGCTCACTTTTCCACTACTTTTAATACCACGCATTACACACAGGTAAATTACAGACCAAGCAAAAACAAGACAGAAAGTCATATGCCAAGTAAATCCACCAAAATCACCGATTGAACTTTAAAAATATTTTTTTCAATTAGTTTTAATCAAAAAATTTTCAAACTCAGAAGTATTTATAGCTTCTCTATTCCAAAAATAATTTGCAGGGGTAGAAGACTGAACACATTCTGTTATATTAGAACCATTTGCTAATTTTGGGCAATTCTTTAAAAATTAAAAAAAATAAATTTCTTCCCTCTTCTAAAAAACTCACAATCCAAGGCAGTTCAAAACTAAAAGATTTAAACAAGTAGTAGAAAACCCAAGTTAAAATAACATTGTAGTAAAGAGAAACTAAGTAGGAAACTATTGCTGCTGATACACCAACACCTTTAAAATGTGATTATATTTTTTGTAAACTTGAATTTGTAAAATATTTAGTGTAACATCAGAATTTGTAAATTAAAAGTTTTATACTCTTAAGTTTAAACTTGATATCAGAATTTGAGATTGTAAAAAATAAAAATCAGAATTTGTAAACTTAGTTTAAAAATCAGAATTTGTAAACTTAGTTTAAAAATCAGAATTTGTAAACTTAATATAAAAATCAGAATTTGTAAAACTAACTTAAAACTTGAAAGAAAACCAGAATTAAATTTTGTGAAAATAAAAACCAGAATTTGTAAAATTCTGGTTAAATCAGAATATGTAAAACAAACTTAAAACTAGAGAGAAAACCAGAATAAATTTTATATGTAAGAATAAAATCAGAATTTGTAAACTTAAGATTTAATTTAAAAATCAGAATTTGAGATTGTAAAATTAAATCAGAAATTGTAAAATAAACTTAAAACTTGATAGGAATTAAGCTTAAAAAATCAGAATTTGTAAAACTTGGTTAAATCAGAAATCGTAATCGTTAATTAAATAAACATTTAAGTTTACCCCCAAGATATGGATGTATAGCATTCCAAACACCCACAGGCCCCGTTCTCAATTTTTGCCCAATTCCAAGTTCAATAAGGAAAAGAGGGACGCCTTCAATTACCATCATCTTTAATAGTTGAAAAAATTAAATATTTTATTTAAACACCCCTACAATAAGATAAGGTATTAGAAAAGCGCCGCCTCCATTCTTTTGTAACAAAAAAGGAAAGCGCCAAACATTCCCTGAAAAATAAAATTTTTTTTATAATTTTATTAATTTTATTTACCAAATCCAACAGCATAGGATATCACCCCCATAAAAAATTGCATTTTATTATCCCAACCTTCTCGACCATCATCATCAGAAATATCCTAAAAATTGCAGAATTTATTTAAAAAATTAAAAAAAAAATCAGAATTTATTCTGAAATGTTTAAAAATCAGAAATCAGAATAAAATCTGATAAAAATCATTATTTTCCTCACCATCATATCACTACTAGATCCATTAGTTAACCCATTCTCCCCTTCCTCCAAGAGATTTGGCCGTAAAGAATTGCTGTTATTATTGCTAAACATTACTCTACTTCCATTTGTTTTTAGTTTTCCAATTCGAAGATCACCGATTTCATCTTCTTCCTCTTCAGCGTCCTCATCATCTTCATCATCATTATTTATATCAGGTGAAGGGGAACTGCTTCTATTTCGACGACGACCATTTGTCTAAAATACAAGTTTATTAAAAAGAGAAACACAAGAAAATAAATTCCGGAAAATAGAAAATACAACTGAAATACAAACGTTTCCGGAAAATTAAAAATAAATACTAAACATATTTCCGGAAAGTATACAACATCAAAGTAATTTCTGAATAAATTAAAATTCCGGATTAGAAATATAGATTTCCGGAAAATACTAAAATACAAAATACGAATATTTCCGGAAAATACTAAAATACAAAATACGAATATTTCCGGAAAATACTAAAATACAAAATACGAATATTTCCGGAAAATACTAAAATACAAAATACGAATATTTCCGGAAAATACTAAAATACAAAATACGAATATTTCCGGAAAATACTAAAATACAAAATACGAATATTTCCGGAAAATACTAAAATACAAAATACGAATATTTCCGGAAAATACTAAAATACAAATATTTCCGGAAAAAGACAAATAGACAGTTGTGTATTTTCCGGAAGCAGTGTAGAAATGCTTCCGGAAAATACAAAATCCGGAAAATACAAAAATACGAATATTTCCGGAAAATAAAAGAAAATAGATAGTTCCGGAAAACTAATAATATGTGTAGAAATGTTTCCGGAAAATACACAAAAATCAGGAAAATAAACTAAAACACATAATAAAATAAATTTTCAGGAAAATACAAAAATGTATTTTTCGTCTACCTTTAAATGATGTTCATTAGCTAAAAGCCTTCTTTGACTGCTTTGTTCATCTGGGAGTTTAAGAAAGCCTGTATTAGAATTATTAAATGTGCTGGCAATGTTGTTATCGTTGTTGATATTTCCTCCAACAACTTTTGTCTTTTTTGAGGAGGCTGGTGGGGCAGGGATTTTTGACATTAAAAAATAATTTTTTTTTGAATCTATAAAAAAAATTTAATTTTTAATTAAAAAATAATAAAGTGATAAAAGAAAAAAAATTTAAAAAAATTAAAAAAAACACAAAAAAAAGTCATAAAAATTAAATAACTGATAAGCGTAGAGAGCAGAACATGTGGCATAAACAATAAGTGAATATAAACAAGATCAAAAACAAGGAAATAAATATTAAAGTAAAAATATTTGTTTTATGATAAAAACAAAGTTTCCGGAAAATAAAAGAAATTTAAATAGGAAATTTCCGGAAAAAGTTTATATTATTTCCGAAGTTTCCGGAAAATACAAAAATAATACATAACTCTCCGGAAAAATAAACAATAACTTTCCGGAAAATACATAATAGTAAATTAATAAATTTCCGGAAAATACGCATTTAGAAAATACGCTTCCGGAAAATACACTATGTATTAATACAAAAAAATACAAATTTCCGGAAAATACAATTTAATAAATTATAAAATACATAAGGGGAAAATACATTTAAAAACAGTCATTTTTATTTAATAACTACACAAAAAAATATTTAAAAATAGACAAATTTGATTAGTAAATTTTTTAAAATTTTTCATTGAAATAAAACAACAATATACTATTTAGATAAAAAACATAAAAAAATATTGTTAATTATTTTTTGGACGATACATTTTAAATTATTTTATGTTATTTTTATCAATTTTTGGGGTCATAGTAGGCAGTCTTTTTTAAATAGGCGGCGTAGGTGGGAAGACGACAACACGCATGACTTGAAAATGAGTTTTTCTTTTGACTTTGTTTAGTTTATTAATATTTTATGTTTTATTACGGATCAAAATATATATAAAAGTAATAAAAACTTGAAAAAAAATTTTTTGACAAATAATTCGAGAAAGGAAGAGCCTAATAGGCATAAAACGGATATCGGACACTTTTTCAAGGTAGAATTAAAATTTTTATTAATTTTTTAAATATTTCCTCTCAATATAAAAATCAACTTAAAATAGTAGAAAAATTAAAGTTGAGGGAAAGTTATGATTTTTTTGAAAATTTAATGTTACGTTTGTAAAGGACAGAAAATTTTAAAAAGTTTTAAAAAATTAATTTTTCAATTAAAAAAAAATTTTTTATGATGACTCTCAAAAATGGATTAAAATAAATTTTGAAGGTAAACAAAGTTTGAAGGGGAATTTATTTTAGAGCTTTAAAAATGAATCACTTAAAGAGAAAGAACAATTATCATACAAGTCAAGAATTTAATTAAAAAATTTTTTTCAAAAATCGCAAAAAAATATTTGAGAGAGAACAAAATACGATTAATTAAAAAAATTTTTTTTTATTAAAAAATAGAAAAACGAGCGAAAATGAGCGAATTTATGCAAGTTTTTTGCCCACAGCTTTTTTTACAACAAATCAAAATTAATGAATAATATTTTATTTTAAAAGACAATTTAATTCTCTATCGAATGATATATAGAGTTTGTCAAACAGTTAATTAATTCATGAGTTATGTAATTAAAAACAAGTTAAACTTGAAGGCGCAAAGAGAGTAAAAGAGAGAATAAAAAAACGTCATAAAAATTGAGTAAATTAATTTCTGGAAAAAATACAAATTATATAAAATACAAAAAATACGAAAAATACAAGAAAATACAGAAAAATACGAAAAAATACAAAAAAAATACGAAAAATACAAAAAAATACGAGAAAATACAGAAAAATACAAAAAATACAGAAAAATACAAAAAATACAAAAAATACAGAAAAATACAAAAAATACAAAAAATTATTTTCTAATTAGAAATTAATTTTTCTAAGAGGTATTAAGATTAAAAATAAATATAAAATAAATAAAAAAATGTAAAGTCAAAAGAAAATTAAAAAGTAAGATGATGAAAAGTGAAGTAGCAAAAAATATTTAAAAAGAAAAATTAAAAGTAGCCTTGAAAATGTGGCCAAAAAAAGAAGGGATAGCGCAAATATTCTTAAGCAATAATTTTAAAATTTTTCGTCATCTTTATGACATTTGATTCCCAAACAATTTTTTTTTGTTTGTTTCAAAATTTTTAAGAAATTAGATATTTTAATAAAAAAATTTTTTTGGCAAAATTTAAAGGTAATCTCAAGTCTATATAAAATAACAACCGAGTAACTGCACATATTTAGCCAAATTTGGTGTCGTTGGAAAGAGGAGAAAATAGGCTACAAAATAAGATAAAAAAGTAAAATTATGTTTAAAAAATAAAATAAATAGAGAATTTTTATTAATTTCCGTAGCTCCTTAAACCCTGGGTAATTCTTGCTTCGACCTTCTGCTAGAGGGAGTAATTAATCGAGGGAGGGCAATTTGTCCGAGATTTAAAATTTGAACATGTAGGTAGTAGGGCATTTGATAAGGGCCGATTATTGCCTTGATTCATCGTTAGAGGGGAAGGACAGTTAATACAGGGTATAAGGTAAAACAGAGACGAACTTCCGGTTTCCACTAAAATTAAAATTAAAGAGAAGCACCTCACTTAAAATAATTGACAATAATAATCCTCTCGTTTTACTTTTCATTTTTGTTTTGACTTGAAAAAAAGAGGAAGATTGATAGATTAATAAAACGAGGAAAAGCTCTTCAAGTCAATATAAAAAAGAAAAAAATCGAAAAGAAACGTCTGAAAAAAAATTTTTTTTTGGCGGATGTGGATCAATTTCTAAAACGCGTCGGAAGTGAAACAAAAGGAAAAAAAAAGTATTAAAAAAATATATAAGGGCGAGAACAAAAAATGTGTGTAGAAAAATAAAGAAGAGGAAAAGCCATAATGGAAGGAGAGGGGGGGGGGGGAAATTTTACTAGCTTAAAACATATAAGCTTTCATAATGATGGATTTTTTAATTTTGTTTGTGTTTTAAAGGAAAAATGAGAAAAGGGGGGGGGGGAGAAAGAGGCTTTTTACGTAGCATAGAAGACTAGAAAAAAAATTTCTAAAAAAAGAAATTTTAAAAAGATTTTTTAAATAAAGGGATGGGAAAAAGGATTTTAAAGAGAAAATGGAAATAAAATTAAATAAATTAAAAAAAATTTTTAAAGTAAATAAAAAAAGAAGGAATTTGTGTCTGGTAAAGTATAAAGACTAAAATAAAGAGATTAACTAAAAGGTGTGCTTCAAGTTGGAAAATAAAGTTGAAAAATAGTCAGAAAATAAACTTGAATCAAAAGCAAATACAATTTTAATAAGATTACAAATTGTAAAAAATATTAAAACTTGTTTTACAATTGTAAAGTTTGTTTTTAAGTTTTGTTTCAAGTTTTGTTTCAAGTTTTGTTTTCAAGTTTTGTTTCAAGTTTTGTTTTCAAGTTTTGTTTCAAGTTTTGTTTCAAGTTTTGTTTCAAGTTTTGTTTTCAAGTTTTGTTTCAAGTTTTGCTTCAAGTTTTGTTTTTAGCAAGTTGGTAAATAAAATAAAACAAGAAACAAAAAATAAAACTTGAAACATGCTAACAATTTTAAATATTGCTTCTAATATGAATTAACAGAAGCAAATTATAGAAAATTATAATTAAAAGCAGCTAGAAACTAATAAGAAAATTGCAAACATTGAAACACTTTCTTTTACTTAACAGACAATTAAGATGAAATTAAGAGGAAATATCAGTCTAGTCGCATGGTTTTAAGGGGGGGGGGGAGAGATATCCCGTGAGATAAAAGCAAAGGAAAAGTTTTAAGTAAGCTTGAGGAAACTTGTGATTTTAAAAATGGATAGATAATAAATGATAGAAAGAAGCAAAGAGACAGTGAAAACACAATCACAATTAAAGGTAAGCTATAGAAAAAATAAACTTGAAATTAAATTCAGAAACAAAAACAAACTTAAGCAAAACATAAAAGAGAAAAACAACAAAGTTTTACAAATTGTAAAATAAAATAAACTTGAAATTAAAACAAATAAACTTTTCACAACAAAGTTTCAAACAAAGTTTCAAAATAAAGTTTTAATAATAAAATAAACTTGAAGCATTTACAAATTGTAATTAAAGTTTAAAGAGAGAAAACAAAGTTTTACAAATTGTAATATAAATTAACTTGAAATTACAATAAATAAACTTGTTTCAAAACAAAGTTTCGAACAAAGTTTTAATAATAAAATAAACTTGAAGCAATTACAAATTGTAATTAAAGTTTTATTATCCCTATTTATTCTTAAATAAGAAAATATAAAACTTGTTGACAATTACAATTTGTAATTGCTTCAAGTTTATTTATATTTAAAACCTGCGAACATTTTCCTTATAAAATAAAAACAACGAAGCTTTTTAAAAACAAAAGAGCTTCTCTCCCCTCTATTTTCTTTAAAAATAAAAAGAAAAAAAATTTATTTAAGCGCGTCTGTCAGAAAAAATTTTTTTCCTTTCTCTCTGGCAATTTGTAAAAAGAGGTAGAGAGAAATTTTATATAAAAAAAGTCGATGGATGTAAAATAAAATTTTTTTTCTTTGTGTGCCCATCTGGCAGAATAGCTGCTATAGGCTTTATATAAAATTGTTTTAGTAGTTTAATGGCAAGAAAATGTAAAAAGGAGAAAAGGGAAGGGGAATATAAAATATATATTTTGTATAAACGGCTGTCACCCTCTAAAAAAGAAAAAAAAGAAAAAAAGGTTTTGAGAAGGCAAAGAAGCCAGAAAACTTGGGGGTAGATTAAACAAAGTTTTTGAGAGGTTTGAGAGTCAATATGTAGGAGAAAATTTAAGATTAATTTGATTGGGAAAATGATGAGATATTAATAAGGATTAGTTGTCAAAAATCGGAAAAAAACTGAAGCAACTGAAGCAGAAAAGAAAACTGAAGCAAAAAATCGAAGCTGAAGCAAAACCAAAAATGAAGCAAAAATAAAAACTAAAACATATAAAACCCCAAAAATGAAGCAAAAAAGGAAAACAGAAAGAATTTTAAAAAAATGAAGCAAAAAATCCAAAGCTGAAGCAAAATTAAATTAAAAGTAAGGAATTATGGTAACTAGCAAAAACATAAAAAAACATTTTTAATTTAATGTTAAAAAAATTTTTTTTATTTTTTTAACGTCTGCTGATTAATACATATAAAAAGAAAAATCAATCATTAAATATTTTAAAAGTGTAACAAAAAAATTTTTTTCAAAGCTGCTTATTTGTGAAAATGTTTAGTCTATAACAGGCATTAAAATACTGAAAAAAATAAAAATATTTGCAGACAATAAAATAGAAAAATTGCAGACAAATGCTTAGAAAAATGCTTCAAGTTTGTGAAAATGCACAAACTTGTTTAAGTTTGCTTCAAGTTTTAAGTTTTCTTTTTGTTTGTTTTAATCAAGTTTTTAAGTATATTTAAAAACAAGTTTTTAAGTTCAAACTTAAAAAAGTTTTAAAGTAAAACAAGTTTTTAAGTTCGAACTTAAAAAAGTTTTAAGTTTGAACTTATTTTGCTGGTTAAGTTTAATAAACTTTCTATGCATCAAGTTTTAAGTTTTTATTAAAACTAATAAATGTTGAATTCTAAGTTTGTCCGCAACTTATATTTGCGGATTAAAAATATTTTATTTTTATAAAAACAAAATTAAATTAATCAGCTAAAAAATCAGTTATTATTTTAGAAAATAGTGTAGCACAGTTGAACAAAATAAAAAATGAATGATTAAACATTAAAAAATATATTTGTATTTTGATATTAAGATAAGATGGAAGAGTAAATAAATAAACTGTAAATAAAATAAAAATTGAAAAAAAAATTAAAAAAAATTTTTTTAATAGGAAAAATGTTTTAATATTTTTTTCTCTTTATAAAAACGATAAAAAATAATTTACAGACTGTTTTGTAATAAAAAAATAAATAATTACCTATTTATTTATTTTTTAATCATTTTAAAGTAATTTATTAGTCAACTGATTAGCTACGTTTTGGAGAGAAAAAAAATTAAAAAAAAAAAGATTAAAATGTTAAAAAATGAAGAAAATATAAATTAAAAAATTAAGAGAAGAAATAATTTAAAAAATACAGAAAAATAGAAAAAAATCATTTTAAATAGAATTTATATTTAATTTTATTGGGTATTTGCCTAGAAACCACTTTTAACGCCAAGTCAAAAAATCTAATAATTCCCAAACCTTTTAATTTAATTTATTTCATAATTAAATAAAGCAGAAAATAAGCTATAAAATAGGGATAAAAGTTTAATTTTTAATAAAGAAGAAAAAAAGTTGTAGTCGAAAAACTACATGTGTGTAACTGAAAAATGCTCGATGTCTGCTTAGTTTTTTGAAGATAACTTTTTTCCCAACAAAGATAAAATTAAAATTTAAACTCTATTTTGTAGCAAATTTTCTCCTCTATCGAAAGATATAAAGAAAATTCAGAAAGGTTTATTTAGTCAAAAGTTATTGGAGTTGGCAATAACTCGGTCGGTGTGTTCAATTTACGGGTATTTAAATAAAAAAATAAAAATAAGGGGAAATAAGGAAGTTTTTTTAAAATTGAATTTAAAATTTTCAGTAAAAACTAAATTAATAGAAAATTAAAGAGAAAGTACATTTAAAATTTTAAATGCATTAAAAGTGTGCACAGCTTTATTAAAACCCGCTTGAGTGGGTTGAGGACAAGGAAACGTTTTTTAAAAAAATAGAATAAAAAACTTAGCACTTTTATGAGTGAATTGATGCGTAAGAATGGCGTGTGTTATTTATTTTATGATGTTTTTATGAAATGAAAAAGTTTGACAAATTTAAAAAAAATTCAAGATTTTGCGGACAAAAATATTTTTGCGGACAAACTTTGCGGATTTTTCTAAAGAAAAAATTAAAATAAAAAAAAGTTTCAAGTTGGAAAATTGAATTTAGATTTCTGAAACATTTACATTTTCGATTTAATAATTTAAAGGAAAAAATAGAAAAAAATGGAAGAAATTTAAAATGACTTTAGTAAACAATTGGTTAAGCAGATTCAAAAATCATTGAAAAATTTTAATTAAAGAAAATCAAACAAATTGGATTATTTATTGAAAAGATTAAAGCTAAAAATAGAAAAAAGGAAAAAGAGAAAGAAAATTTTTTGAGTAAAATACAAATAAAAATTATGGGGGAGAAGGGGGGGGGGGGATAAATTACTTGGAAAACTTAAAATAGTAAAGAAAGTAAATAAAATTTTTAAATTATTAAAATAATTAAATTAATGGATTTATTGAAGAAACAAAAAAATGAAATCAAAAAAAATATAAATTACAAGAATTAAAAAATTTTTGAAAAGGAAAAAATTCTGTAAAAGGAAAAAATATCTAGAAGCAGAATGTGCGTTAAATTAAAGATGAAGCATTATTAAAACTTGAAGCAAAAAACATTAATAAAACAAGGAAAAGTTTTATTAGAATTTACAAGTTTAAAAACACAAAACTTAAAGAACAGGTTTTTACATAACAAGTTTATTTATTTTTTACAATCTGTAAAATAAATAAACTTATTTTTACAATTTGTAAAAATAAATAAACTTATTTTTACAATTTGTAAAAAATAAATAAACTTATTTTTACAATTTGTAAAAATAAATAAACTTATTTTTACAATTTGTAAAAAATAAATAAACTTATTTTTACAATTTGTAACTACCATAAAATATTCCCCTTTCAGGTGCCCCAAAGTTAATTTATGTAAAAAGCAAAATTTAATAAAAAAGATTTTTAAAGGCCAAAGAATTTAAATAAACATTAACAAGCTGTTCTATCACCTACATATTTACAAAATAAAATTTTTTTAAGAAAGGAATTTTTAAAATGCTGCGCTAAACACAAAAAAGTTTAGAAATGACTGGACACAAAGAAAGGTCGGAAAATAAAAAAAGCAAAAAAAATTTTTAAAAAATGTAAATAGAAAAAAGTGTAGATTGGGGGAAGCGCGCCGACGAAGGATGATGAATGGGGAGAAAAAAGGGGGAAAATAGGATGAATGTGTTGGATGGACAAAGAAAATTTTTTGGTGATCTATTAAAAGGCATTCGAAATATTTTTACAATTTGTTGTTGACATTTTGAAATTTATTTTAAAGTTTGGTGGGGAGTTTGTCAAATAAAAATATAAAACAAAAGTTGAAATTAAAGTTTTAAGGTTTTACAATTATTTAAAATTAATTACAATTGTAAAATAGACAAAAAAATAAACTTGTTTCAAAACAAAGTTTTAAGTATAAACAAGTTTTACAATCATTAAATTACAATTGTAATTTAATTAAAATAAACTTTTCTTAAAAAGTTTCAAGTTTAACAAAACAAGTTTTACAATTAAATATTAAATACAATTGTAAAGCAGACAAAAAATAAACTTGATTCAAAAAAAGTTTTAAGGTACTTAAGTTTAAACAAACATAAAACAAGTTTTACAATTATTAAATTACAATTGTAGAGACAAAAATAAACTTAAAGTTTTACAAAACAAGTTTTAAAACAAGTTTTACAATTATTTAAAAAATAATTACAATTATAAAATAAATAAACCTGTTCTCCACAAAAAAGTTTTTAAAGTTTTACAATTTTAAACAAGTTTTACAATTGCTCAGAATAAAAATAATTAAATTGTAGAATAGACAAAAACAAACTTTTTTCTCTTCAAAATAGTGTAAAGAGCAAAGAATAAAAAAATTAGAGGGAGTAAACAAATAATTAAAAAAAGTTTTATATTAGTTTTGTATTTCAACATTTTCCCAAACATTTTTTTAAATAAAATTAAACACGTGAACATTCCTTTGTGTTTTTAATAAAAACAAAAGTTTAAACAAAAAAAGAAAGTTTAAAAGGAGAAAGTGAACAAAGTTTAAATGAAAAAAAGTTTTAATATTTTACACTTGTAAAATAAAAAAATTCTGATTTTTAAAATTATCAGAAATAACTTATTTCAGAATAATTTAAAAAATAAATTAAATAAATTAAATATAGAATCAGAAAATAAAAATAAAAATTAATTTAAATAAATGTGTTTATGAGGAGATAAAAGCAATAAATAAATACGGAAGCCATTTTAATATAGTAAAAACTTATATGTAGAAGCCGATTAGAGGATTTTCAAAATTTCTTGAAAATTAATTTTTCTTAAAATAATTTAAAAAATATACATATAAGACAGAGAAATCCTTTAAATTGTAGTAGAGAGTGTTAGCTAAAATATTTGGATTGTGAAATATGTAAAGAGAGAGAGAGAGAGGAAGATAGAGGGGAGGGGGGATATAGTGACACGTCTTCCTTTTCTACAAGCATCCGGTAAGAGTAGCAAAATAAAAAATGCAAATAGGCAAAAATAAAAGAATAAATTTTGCCACACTTTCAAGTCGTCTGCCTGTTAAGAAGAAAGTTTTTAGAAAGAAATTTTTTTTCGAAATGTGAAAAGGGTGGAAAGTTTTTATTAGGTTTATTAGGCTATTTAAAATCAGAATAAGTTGGGTGGGTCAGAAAAAAAGTTTGGGGTTAATAGTATCAGTTTTTGAAGAAACCGACTCATCCCTCGTCTTAATAAGAAAAGGAATGGGCATGGGATAAATTTTAAAATTATTAGTTTTAATAAAAAAATTTTTTTGGTTCAAAAAAAATTTTTTTGATACCATTTTTGGTTATTTTCTAGTAAAATAATACTTAAAAACCCTATAAGAATAATATTAATTTGTTTGCGTTACATTAAAAAACTGGCTGACTGCCCAAAAAGTTAGTTAGCGAAACAAAAAAATGTTTTTCACGTGAGAGGGAAAAGGAGTATTGTGTGTTTGTTGTTTTTGAGGGAACGGCTGCCACTAGGCAACCAAATAGAAGAAAAAAGCGCCAATTTATTTGAATATATTATTCATAAATATTGTTTGTACTTGTATTTGGGTGAAGAATAAAAAGCTTTAGGAAAACGGGATGACTCGACGGCTTAAAAAATGGCGGAGAAAAGATTTAAAAAATAAAAAAATAAAAGTATTAATCACAAATTTGTTAAAGTTTTAAAATTATCAGTTAAAGACAAAACACAGGGCTAAAAAGGTCTAAGTTTTAAAATAAGATTTGAAAATCTCACCTTTTCATAAAGCCAAGTTCCAAAACATGCAGATTCAAAATGTCAAAAAATTAAATACCGTAAATACCGCATAACCTGTATTAATTGCCCTCCCTCAAATAATTACTCCATCCACGATAGATTGAAACAATAATTACCTCCAAACAAATGCCCTAAATCACATTTAAATTCTAAACCTCGTATAATTACCCTCCCTCAATTAATTACTTTCTCCAGCGGAAGGTCGAAACAATAATTAATCAGGGTAGGTATTAAAGGATATACGGTACTCTAATATAAGCCCAACCTCTTGTAGAAGCCCAATCTCTTGTCTAATTCAAGCCCATCCCTTTGAAAAGGAAGGAGGAGGAGGAGGAAAACGAGCCAGGAGAGGACTTAGAGAGACTAGAGAGAGGAAAGAGAGATAGAGAGAGATAGAGAGAGAGAGATAGAGAGAGAGACCAGAAAGACCAGACAAGAGCCCAGGGCGTCTATTAGAGTATTTACGGTATATTAATTTTTAAGATTATCATTACCTTATAATTTTGTTTTTTAAATTTTTTCCCTTCGTATCACAACGTTTATTTTATTAAATTATGTCACACATACACGTGCAACTTCTTCATACAATTATTAAAGTTAATTTTTCTAATAATTTTTTTAATTTTTAAATTATTTACTCTATTCAAAATAAACCTGATTTTAATTCAAAAACGTCAATACGTTGATCATGCGCAATAAAAATTCTTTAAAGAGTTTTGTCCGCAAATTTTGTCCGCAAATTTTTGCGGACAGGAAAACCTCAAAAATTAGTGTCCGCAATTATTTATCGAATAATCACAATTTCTCTCTCATTTATTTATCACCAAAGAAGATTAATTACTTTTTCGTATTTTTAACATCGCACAAAAATTTTTTTCTTTTACCTTTCTCTCAAACCTCTAAAATAATTTAAAAATCGAAGCATTGTTGGGGTGACACACGCTGTTGTTTATTGCCAGTTAACCCAAGAACGGTTGGACAGTTTAAGATGCTTTTTAAATTATTTAATAGAGAATTGAATTTAGTATAAAAATTTATTTAAAATGAATAATCCACCAAAGAAAATTTTAATCGGTGAAGGAAACAATGCTACAACTAGTAATATTGTTAGAGAACAACAAGTGAATCAAACAGTTGAGTTATATTTTGTATGTTAAGTTTCCGGATTATTATTTCCGGATTATATTTTATACTTCCTGATATAATTTATAAATATTTTCCGGAAATATTTTTCAGTAATATTTAATTTATTTTCCGGAAAGTTGAGATATAAATTCCGGAAAAATACATTATTTGTCAAGCTTCCGGAAAGGTATATTCGTTTCCGGAAATCTTCCGGAATTTATTTCAAAATTCCGGAAACGAATATATTTTCCGGAATTTATTTCTCAAATTTCCGGAAGTGAATATTCTCTCCAAGAATAAATTCCGGAAACGAATATTACTTTCCGGAATTTATTATTCAATTCTCCGGAAGCGAATATTCCTTTCAGGAATTTATTCTTAATTTTCCGGAAATTAATTTACATTTCCGGAATTCAATTAATTATACCTTCCGGAATTTATACTCATATTTTCTCTACTAATTTTACATTTTCCGGAAAACTTTGTATTTTCATTTAAAGTTTCCTACAGGGTCTCTTATTAGTAAATAAACTTGGAAGCCTTGAACTACACGAATTTCTGGGTGATCAACATTCAAGTGCAGTACAACGCCTTATAGTTGCTACTATTGTTATTGTTTTAATCTCTGCTATGCTTGTAAAATTAAAAAAAAATTTTTTTTTTAATTTTTAAAAATAAATTAAGGTAGCAACGGTCATTCTCTTTCGTTGTTATATGCTTTACTGTCAAGATCACTTAAATATTCGTCATTATCAAAGACCCCCAATCGAAGAGGAATTAAAGGGGGAAGAGTCTAAATGTGGTGGTAATTTGTCCTTATTAAATTTAAAAAATGAAAAAGAAGAAAAAGGGTTGTTTAACCCTATAAAGAAGACAACAACCACCTTTGAAAATTTAGAAAAAAATTTGTTAAAAAATGAAAATGGAGGAGTTAAACGTTATTATAATAACAATAATAATAAATGTATTTCAAGTAAATATTCTTTTAAAAATATTTTTGATGATGATTAATAATTAAATAAATATTTTCAATAAATTATTTATTAGTTGATGTATATGCCCCTTATGAGGGTGTCAGGCATCGGGACTGACATTAGGGGTATTTCAATAAACAAGCAACTACACTAGTTTCAGTACAAACATATGACTACTGGCTCTTGGATAATACATTGTCCCATTCAGAGGTGGGTCGGAACAGCCAGAGGTGTCGGAAATTGTAAGAGCCGGAAATTGTAACTTGCTCAAAAGTCGGAACTCGGAAATCGGAAATCAAAAAATTTTTGCAAGTCGGAAATCGGAATTTCGACCCACCTCCGGTCCTATTGAAGAATATATGAAGGAAGTTATTTTTGTCTGCGCAATTCCGATATGTCTCCTTTCCTATTAGAGGGGTTTATTGAGGTATTAAAACCAAATAAAAAATATTTTTTGAATTTAAATTGACATATATATTTTTTTTTGTTTAAATTTTACATGCTTAATCCTTCTATTTAATATTTAAAAATATAAAAATATTTTTATTAAAAAAATTTTTTGGAATAGAAAAGTGAAAAGAGGAAGAGCTGCATTTTTAAAAAAATTCAAAGAGAAAAGGGATTAAAAAATATTTTTATTTATCTAATCTATACTTCTTTCCACCTATTTTTGAATAGCTTTTCTAGCTTATTATTAAATAAAAGTATTGACCTGATAACACGGATTTAATTCAGTTGGCGGCTTCTCACAGTTGTTTGTCTGTTTTGATTTTTATTTTCTTCCATCCAAGATTGGGGGTTGCTAATAAAAATTGACATTTAAGAGTCGAGAAAATATTTATTTTTTCTATCCTTGATCTTTTGGATATTAATTCCTTCAAGAGATCCTCCCCAAAACTATCCCCACAAATTCCTCCACTGCTTAAAAACAAAGAACAAAGGCTAAAAATATTAAAGAATTTTGAGATAGAAAAGGGAGATGCTTTTGTTACACTTTTTTATTTTTATTTAATTTAGGCAGCACAATATTAGATTTAATAAATTGATGAGCGCGAACATTAAAAAATATTTTCAAATTAATTAAAATTATATATTTAAATAATGTTTCGTCTATGTTTTGCTTCAAGTTTGTATTCTAAATGTTTTTATTTTTCTTTTCTGTGTTTCAAGTTTTATTTCAAGTTTTATTTAATTTTACAATCAAGTTTATTTAATTCAAGTTTATTTTATCCAAGTTTATTTTAAATTGTAAAACATGTTTTGCTTCAAGTTTGTATTTTCCATGTTTTTTGTTTCAAGTTTTGTTTCCAAGTTTTGTTTCCCCAAGTTTTAATTAATTTTACAATTCAAGTTTATTTAATTCAAGTTTGTTTTGAATTATAAAACTTGTTTTGCTTCAAGTTTATTTTAAATTGTAAAACATGTTTTGCTTCAAGTTTAATTTAAAGTTTAATATAATGTTATATTCTATTCAAGTTTATTTAAATTTAATTAATAACTATTCAAGTTTGTAAAATAAAATTTAAATTAATTTTCAAGTTTGCAATTTTTACCTCAAAACCTACTTTTTATCCCTAAAATATTTTTACAACCTGTAATACTTTTATTCTTTAAAATACAATTAAAAATCTCAAGCAGGTTTTATTCTAGTTTTAAATTGTTTTTTATTTTATCGGTAATCCTTTCCATTCGTTTTTTATCGTTTTCTTCAAATTGTTCCACTGATTATGCTATTTTTACAAGATTAATTAACCAAAAGGAATATGAATCTAATGAGTTGGAAAATTCGGGAATGAAGGGAAAAAACAGAAAAAAATACTTTCATCTGTCTAAAACAGCGGGAAATCGCGCCGTGTGAGTATACCCAGAGAATTCTCTCCTGGATCATTAATATTCCTTTTTAAAAAATTTATTTATTTTTAATCAATTTTATAGGTAAAACAATTAAATAATTAGATGATTAAACTATTTATTCGAATATTTCTATTTCCCCTTTTAATTTTATTTTTTGAATTTATCAAAGTTGAAGCACTTGCTTCAGTCTTAATATCATCCCCCTTTGACAATTTTCGGATAGAATGTCCACAAACTTCGGGTGCCCAAAGATTGGCAATACGAATGGTGGAGTCACAAGGGCAGAAGAGACAAGATACCGTTTTTGTTTTGAGTTGTCAACAAATTGGGGAGGTTAATAATTTTTTTAAATTGAAAATACAAGGGTTGAAGCAAAAATTATGAGAAAGCAAAAATTGAACCAAAAAATTGAAGCAAAAAGTTGAAGCAAAAATTTTGCTTCAAAAATTTGAAGCAAAAAGTTGAAGCAAAAAATTGAAGCAAAAACTCTGCTTCAAAAAAATATAAAGCAAAAATTCTGAGAAAAAATAAGAAAAAATTAAATTTAAAGTTATATCCATGGCTAGAAATACCAGAAGAATTGGCAGATCAAGAACATGAAGAATGCCACTATACACAACAATTTGATATTTTGCTGGACAAACAAATGAATTGGACGTGTTCAGAGAGGGAATACCTTGCCGGAATAGCCCGCTTGTCTGATACAAGAATACAATTGGAATGCTGCAAATTGCGAACTAGAAACGAGGGAAATTGTGTTGAGTATGATTATGAAAAACCGGCAGGGAGTGGGGCACGTGTCGAGATTGAATACCAGGGAAAATTAATTAATGCTTTGGCCGTCTATGGAGATTTAATTCGTGTACGTTTTTGTGATTTGTCGCCTAGACCGATTGGTAGGGGATTTTTCAAAGTTCGAAAAAAAATTAAAAATTTAATTAGATGATATAATGGCTGAAACAACAAAAACAACCCCTACAATAGCCATTGCTCACGCAGTTACAAGCAAGGGAAATTCTGGATTTCCTTTAAGACCGCCAACCAATTCGGTCGGATTTAGCCAAAGAATTGAAGTTCCTTCTCTTCTTAATGATCCTCGAACAATTGCTAAGCAGCGTGCAACAGCAATAATAGCTCTTCAAAATCAGCTTAGTAATAGTCCGAATGTTCCACCCCCAATAAATGAAGAATTGCCTCCAGCAAACTTAGCCGATGGGGTGGATGAAGCATTTTCAATAGACGGGGCACAACAACACAACGAGAGGGAAAATTTTGACCAAGAAATAAAACAAAATATGGAAAACCGAAACAATGCCCAAGTTGTAGAACAACATGTAGAAGCTGTTCAACAACAAGTTCAAAGTGTACATCCTCAGACTAGTGAGTCCATTCAAAGTCAAGTTCATCCAGATACCCAGGAAGCTAAAATAAATAATGAAGAAGTTCAAAAAGAACGGCATCAAGTTCAAGCAGTTCAGGAACAAAATCTTGCTGCTTATCCTGAAGCTTATCCTGAGGCTAGTCAACAAAGGACAGAAATAAAGGTTCAAGATAAAAATATAAGAGATAAGGATATAGAACAACAAACGACGTCAAAGCCTGTAATAAACGTGGAATCAATGCTAGAAATGTCACCAATAAACATTAAAAAATCAACAAAACCAGAACAGCCGCCAATAACTTCTGAAGGACAAGAACAACAAAATACGGAAAGAAACAAAAATGCAGAAATTGCTTCTCCAAGAATTAAAGTATATGGACACAATCCATTTAAAACAATCCAATTTGGCCGTATCCTACAAGCAGTTGGTGAACGCAAAAAGGAATTGGCAGTGAAAATTTTGAGGCATCATAAAAACCCACCAGATCATGTTCAAAGTTTAGAATATGGAAGAGAACAAAAACATGATGAAAAAACAGACGAAAGACTGAAACAAGAGCAACAAGAACTAGTAGAAAAACAACAAACACAGAACGAACAAGGACAAATACAAAATGAAAAACAAGAGAATCAACAAAACAATGAACAAACAAACGAACCTAAACAACATCACTCTCACCAACAAGACGAACAAAAACAAGAGGAAAAACAAGAGGAAAAACAAGACGAACAAAAACAAGTGGAAAAACATGAGGAAAAACAAGATGAAAAACAACATCAAGAAACACAACAAATTAAAGAAGAGGAACAAAACAAAAAAGAAAAACAAACACCCCAACATTTAGAAAACTCAATATCAAAAGCTTTAGCTGCAAAAAAGCAAATATATGAACCAATAAAATCGAATTTATTGTTAAGGCGTAAGGGAATGCGTGAACATACTTTTACGTTAACCCCGCCAAGACCTGTTGATGTTTCTGCTGGAATTAGTAACGGAATTGAAGATAGAGAAAGGGCTGAGCTGACAATTCAACGAAGAGTGGACGCTATTAGGGCCGTAGAAAAGCGGCTCCAAGTAAAAACAATTCAGATTCCTAGAGAGGAAGGTGTGGAAATCGGAAGAATTTCACATGCAGATGCAGGTTAATTCATTAAATAATTTGTTTGGACAATATTAAACAATTAATTGTTTTGATGTTTAAATGTTTCCGGGAAATAATTAAATGTTTGGATGATTGTTTTCCGGAAAATATTTCAATAATGTTTGTAAACAATGTTTGACTAAACATTGTTTAGGGAAATGTTTACTTGTTTTCATGTTTGATGTTTGAATGTTTTGATGTTTGGATGTTTTCAGGAAAATAATTAAATGTTCGGATGTTGTTTTCCGGAAAATATATGGATGTTGTTTTACATTGTTTAGTGAAATGTTCAAGTTTTCATGGAAACATTTAAAACTATAACAACATTGTTTTTATTTTAAGCTGACTCAAACTCAACTGAAAACATCATTGCAGCCAAACAAAGCGATTGGGAGAATAATTCTGAAACAACGGATCAAATTTCCCCGAAAATCTCAAACAGTGATTCAGGAGATGGGGAAGCTATGCATCGAATATTATTTGGAGAACCTGTCCAAATTACACCAAAAAATGTTTCGAGTAAATTTAAAGAAGCAAATGTTTCTCAAGCTTTGGAACAAGTAAAAACTCTGGAACAAGATTTAAATAAACTCGAGAATAAGCAACCAAAAACAGAAACAATTAATTTGTCTAGCTTCCCAAATGTATTAGAAACAACCCAATCTCCTGCTGCAATATGGTGGGAGCCAATGGTTGTTAATACTGAACAAAAACAACAAAATCAAAAAGCTTTTTTGCCAACAGAGAATAGGCCGAATAACAACAGAAAACAAGTTAATGATCAACTCGACTTTGCTACAGTTACAGCATCTGATTCATTGGATAATGAAGCAAACGAAACAACCCCGCTACCATTCACTATACCGGCAGATGGACCTGTAGCACAAGAAGTTAGAGAAAATGCATTGTTAGCACAAAAACGAGTTGAAGCTTTGCCGAAAAATAAATTGAGAATTTTCTCAATAAATTATGGCAATCCGGGATGGAGGAAATTAATTTCTGAAATTTCTAATGAAGGAAAAATGGAGGATTCTGATAATGAAAATAATGTTGCTAATACAACGTTAACAGAAAATTTAAATGAAACGAACACCTCAACAAGCGGTAGGATAAGATTAAAAATCATGTTTTTCCGGAACGTTTAAAAAGTTAAATAATGATTGAATACAATGTTTTTATGAAAATAAACAAATAAATTAAACATGTTTTTCCGGAAATAACAAATAATATAAACAAAATTTTCTGGAAACGAACAAATAATATAAACATGTTGTTCCAGAAATAACAAATAAATTAAACATGTTTCTCCGGAAATAAACAAATAAAATAAACATGTTTTTCCGGAAACAAACAAATAAAATAAACATGTTTTTCCGGAAAGAAACAAATAAAATAAACATGTTTTTCCGGAAAGAAACAAATAAAATAAACATGTTTTTCCGGAAACAAACAAATAAAATAAATATGTTTTTCCGGAAAGTAACAAATAAAATAAACATGTTTTACGGAAAAGAGCAAATAAAATAAAACTAGTTGAGTTGAAATTTTATAGAAATTAATGAGCACAATTCTGAAGCAAACTTAACTAAAGAGAATACAACTAACGAAGTTTTATCACTCCGGAAATCGTTGCCAATATATACATTAGAATGGGAAAAAGACAATAAACAACATCAACAACTTAGAAATATCCAGCCTGCATTATCAGATAACAAAACGGTTTCACCAGCACAACAATCAGTTGAAACACTGTTTCCAACACAGTTAGAAAGCGGGAATATTGATAATTTGGTAGATTTTATATTTTTATATAAACAAAATGATTTAAAAAATTCAGAGTTTAAATGAGAGTAAATCTGGTGAAAACACGAGATCTAATAGTAGCAAGTCTAATAGCAAAGATAGAAACAAGAAGCTTCCACCACCTCCAACAAGTGAAGAGTTTGCTGATGTAATGTTAAGGTAAAGTTGGAAACAAAAATTAAATACCTAAAAGTTTTTCCGGAAAACACGGAAATTAAATTCAAACATGTTTCACAGGAAAAACAAACAAAGTAAAACATGTTTTTCCGGAATTCAATGAACATGTTTTTCCGGCAAATATAAACATTAAATAGCCTAAACATGTTTTTCTGAATTAAATTAACATGTTTATGTTTGCCGGAAAACACAAGAATTAAATTTAAACATGTTTTTTCGGAAATAAATTTATTCAAAAAATTTATTCAAAATTTATTCAAACAAGTTTGTTAAACAAAACAATTAATAAACAAGTTTTTAAGAGAAATAGACGATCAGGAAAAAGTCCCGTTTTCATTCTCTCCCCATAATGCAACAAATACAACAACAATTCCCCAATTAAACTTTCCCCGACAATTTGATGATGCAAAAACATCGAAACGTAAGGAACATCATAAAGCACATACTGAGGAAAATAATGATGAAAATTTTGCTGATTATTTTGTAGATGAATTAAATTCAGAAAATAATACCCATGCTTTTGTAAGTTTCTGAGGGAAAAGAATTACGAAAATTATTTTTTAAAGCTTTCACGTCGATCAACAACAGTAGGAACTGAAAACCAAATTTTAGTAGATGGAGTAAAAATTTTCAAAAATGAAACAACTGGAGAAATTAACGAAAAACAAGGCGAAAAGAAGAAGCGTAAAAGAAAGAAGAAAAAATTACTTGAAGGAATTGAAGAAAATAATAGACTTATTCCACCTACAACATCATTAGCAACATCTGAAAAACTTCCTCCATTGGATGCCTTTCCGTCTCCTCCACCTTTAGATTCTAGAGGGAAACTTGCAATTTTAGCAGCAGCTTCATCTAAACAATTTGCACAGTTACCCCCTTCATCTCCCCAAGCATTAGTTAAACAACAACAACAAAAAAAGTTTCAAAACATTGACTACAAAAGAGAATTAGAACAAAGATTAGGATCTGAACATAAAACAGCGGAAACATTAGCAATAGAATTAGCAAAAGCCTCAAACAATCAAGAACATCCAACATTAAATACTGCTGAAGAAAACAACACTAAAAAGAATGTTTCTAAGAAATACAAAAACAGAAGAAAACAACAACAAGAGCAACAACAAGAAAACAAACATGAAGAAAGGGAAGAGAATGTAGAACTAAAACATGAGAGTCAACAACAACATAAACAAATAAAAGAATACAGAAGCCAACAAGTTTGTGTTTTTCTCTAAACTTTTCCCCAACAAAACATTTAAAATGTTTTCCCAAACAAAACATTTTAAAATGTTTTCCCAAACAAAACATTTTAAATGTTTTTATTAATTTTGTGTTTTCCCAACTTCTTTTCCCAAACAAAACATTTTAAATGTTTTTCTAAACTTTGTGTTCCTCAAAACTTTTTTCCCAACAAAACATTTCAATAAAAATGTTTCTATAAATGTCTAATTATTTCTGTTAAGTTTGCGGCGCTAATAGCAACAACCTCTCGTCCTATGCGTATGGGTGTCGATTACGAGGTTGCTGATGATGAAGGGAATGCTGAGAGAGAAATAACCAATTACCATACTACCATTACTCAATTTCCAAAAACTAGAACAACAAGACTTCCTTTGTTTAAGCGCCGGCAATTAGACAGAATAGCTTTGGAGGTTTTTGGACCCTCAGCTTTTGACCCATCCATTGAACATCCTCAAATTGATGTTGCTTTGCTTTCAAGACGTCCATTAAATCAACAATTTCGACATAAACGGCCTCCTACACGTGTGGAAGGACCTGTGGAAACATCAACAGGAATGATGGGATTGCCCGACGAAGAAACTGATATTTCTCCTTTTGATGCTGAACGTGCTCAACTTTTGGAAAGGCTTAGGCATAATCATAAAAATGTAGAGAAACAAATAATTGTTTTAAATATAATTTATTTTTAGAGGCAAGAAGAACATATAGAGACGTTTGACGATACTGAAGCAACTCAACATGAAGCTGGTAAAATATAGGGTTTTAAATTAATAAATAAAAATATCCCTTCCGGAATTTTCTAATTAATTTAAGAAATTTACCGGAAGCTTTTAGAGTTATTTTTCCGGAAGTTTTTATGGTTATATATTTTCCAGAAATTATTGTTTTTATATTTTCCGGAAACATTTAACTGCCTACTTAATTTAATAATTGCTTCCGGAAAAAATATATTTTCAGAATTATATGTATGTTTTCCGGAATTATTGCCTTTATATTTTCCGGAAACATTTAATGGCTTCCGGAAAGAATATATTTCCAGAGTTATATGTTTTCCGGAATTAGTTAATTTATCAATTAAAGTTAACAAGCATTACAACAATAGAAGAGAAGAAAACTTGAATAGAAACACTAAAAAAAACCAGCTCCAAAATAATTTTGAAAATTCTTTTAATCACGAAACAACAATTTCTTTGCCCAATTTTGAAAATAGAAACCAAAATTTTATCCAAAAGAATTTTGGAAATCACGGACACTTTGAAAGAGTAGAATCTCGTTTTGAGAAAGCCAGTCCTTTTGATGATCGTCACGAAGAGGAGCATTTTGAAGACGAAGAGGAACCGCGTACTATGGCTTCTAAAAATGCTGAAATTAGGAGAAAACCGAGTAATTCAAAAATTCTTCAATTTTTTGATTATTAAAAAATATTAGGCCTTACTTCTGTACCTTTTATTCCACCAACTACAAATTTTAAAGACGAAGAGATTTCTTCAATAAATAATGAAGCAGCCGTAAAACGCTCAATCGCTTCTCTTCAAGTTAAAAAAGACGGAAGTCCTTTGTTTTCCCCTAAAGATAATAAACCTATGATGAAAATGCCTTCTGAAAATATTGAAAAAATGATACAGATTGATGAGAGAAATGATATTAGCAGTTAGTTATTTGAAGAATATTTTTTAAATTAAATTTATTATTTTTTAGCAAGTGAAACACAAAGTTTGGAGGATATACTAGTTCCAATGGGTATGATTTATTTTTTGAGGGTGTTTCCGGAAAATGTTTAATTGTTTGTTCTTATAAATTGTTTTCCGGAAATATTTATTTGTTCGTTGGTTTTAAAAATGTTTTGGTTTCCGGAAATATTTGCTTGTTTGTTTTTAAAAGTGTTTTCCGGAAAAGATTTAATTGTTTGTTTGTTTTAAAATGTTTTCCGGAAATATTTAATTGTTCTTTTGTTTTAAAAATATGTTCTCCGGAAAATATTTAATTGTTTGTTTGTTTTAAAATATGTTTTCCGGTAATATTTATTTGTTCGTTTGTCTTAAAAATGTTTTCCGGAAAATGTTTTGATCTTTTAAGGTATGAACGAAACAACAAAAAATTACTTAGAAGAAACAACACAACCGCCAACAGAAACAACAGAACAAACAACAAAACAAAAAGAAAAACAAAATAAAAATTTAAACAAACACAAAAACAAACAAAACATAAATACAGAAGGCAGTGGAAATAATTATTGGAGGTTTTTTGCTGAGCCAAACATTTATAGAACAACAACAGAATTTCCACTGGAACAACAACAAGAAGAGGAAGCACAATTTTACAACGCTGACAAATACTTCCATTTGCCAAACAGGCGGCAAAACAACAAACAAAGGGAGAATGAAAATGGTCAGTAGAATTGTTTTGGGGCTTTATTGTTTTTGGGATGTTTCTTAAAAATATGTTTATTCCTTTAAAACATGTTCCGGAATTTTTAATTGTTTTCCGGAAAACATTATTTTTAAACATTTTTATCAGAAACATTTTCTTTATTTCCATGAAATGTTTGCTTCTAAAAACTCTTCCGGAAAATGTTTTTCCGGAAAAGTTTAAATAAACATTATTGTTGTAGTGCTCACTTTCTGTACAAAAGCATCAGCAATCCGCGACTCATCAAACCTTCCCATTGCCTGCGCCGGTGAAGACGGACAAATATGGCAACCACAAGTAAGTAAACCTCATATATTTATGAAGTCAGTAATTAAGCGAATGTTAAAATTAGGGGGGTCAAACAACCAAATAAAGCATTTATTTTAACTTTTATCATTTTATAAAATAACCAAATCCTTAAAATTACATAATTTAAACGAAACTTAAATCCATGCCAACATGTCCCATCTTTCTATCAGGAGTTGAATTGCCATTTTGTGATAATGGAGCACCTGATATGGATTTTTTAAAAAACCAGTTAAAAATTTTTAAACCAACATAATTACAATAGCGATGTCCACCAGGTACAGGATGTATGCCAGCCGCAGATTCAGCTTTCCATATTTGTTGTCCAGTTGGTATTGCTTCTATAAGCAGGAGAAGATGAAAAGCTTGAAATTTGATAGAATTTTAACTATAAAATATGCCATTTATTTTAATATTTCCTCTAATAATTAAAAAATTTTAGCTAGTATTATTTTAGCTAATTAGAGGAAATACTTTGCCTAAATTTATTATTTATTTTTTTTGTTTTTAATTAATTTATATAAAAACGACCTTTTCTCGAGAGTTTTCAATAAAGGGGCGTTTATAGTATTTTTATAGTAATTTTGAACGTATCTCCTCCTCAAAGCTTAACGGAGTAGCCATAAATTTATTTTACCCACTAAAAATCATAAAAATAACAACACAATTCCACTAAACACATTTAGTCGTAAAACATAATTTTGACAAGATTTGTGGTAAAATGTTGCAAAAATAAAAAGGAAGGAGAGCTTTAAGGCTTTTCCAAGTATACTATACGGTTCTTGAATTCTTTTAAACAACTATTTTTTAAATAAATTATGAGCGCCTTAAATAACTTCACTATTGAATCCATTCTCTCCAATAACCACAATAATGTTAAATCTGCTATGAACAAAAATTATGTTCGTTGTTTTAAAAATATACAACAAAACATCATGTTGATACCTACTCCATGTTTTCCAAGAATAATTTCAATGTATTTATAATTAATAATTTTAAAGTTTATATGTTTTTGTATATTTTCCGGAAAGAGTTTATTTAGACAGTTGATATTTCCGGAATATTATTAATATTCATTTATATTCCGGAATTTGTGATATATTTCCGGAAAGTTTATTAGATGCTCAGGAATATTTGCTATAAATCTATAACTCTCCGGAAAGTTTTATATTAGAGTTATACAATTTATAATCAATTCCGGAATAATTATATTATTTTCTCAGGCCGCTCCATTCTTTCCATGTTTTTCCTAGTTTGTCTCTGCTAAACAAACATTCCACAAAGTATAATTTTGAACGTTCTAAAGAAAACAGAGGAAATCAGAAAAATGAAAATCAGAATACTATCAAGTGTAAAGCTCGAAGGCAATCATTGTAAGTGGAAGGGATGTTTACTAATCCGACTTGAAATTTTATTTTTCAGTAATATTTTGCAAACAACTTTTCTAGAAAAGCAATTCACAAAACAAAGGTACTATCAGTAAACTCTATTAAAAAAATATTTTAATATAAAGATATATTAACACAGAGCAACGAAATAAATTTTCAGCTATACTCGGCTTGACACCTCAACAAGTTCAATACAAAATTGAATACTTTAAAAATTTATTTTGACTAATTTTAAGGTGAAAATATGGTATCAGAATAGACGCTACAAGGAGAAAATTGGGATAAAGAAAAGCTTTAAATAATATTAAATAAATCTTAACGGTCATTAAAATATACAAAGAAATGTACAAAATAATATGGGGAAAATAGTCAAAAAATACAAATTAAATAAACAAAAAAAATTTCGGCTGTGTATGAAAGGAATGCGGCACTCAATTTTTTCCTCATTATTAAAAATATTAATTTTCTTATATTTTTCTCTCTATTTTTGATTTGTGCCTTAAGACTAAAGATGGCGTGTCTGTCCGAGTTCGTCTGTGTTCGTCCGTTTCAGTCAAAGGACGCACACACATCGGACAGACAAAACACGGACGAACTCGGACAGACAACTCGGACAGACACATCGGTCAGTCAAAATACGCACAGAAAAAAGGTAAATGCGCACAAAATACGAAGATAGTCTTAAGGCACATCAAAAATAGAGAGAAAAATATAAGAAAATTAACCAATCTTAAGAATAAGGGAAAAAATTGAGTGCCGCATTTCTTTCATATACAGCCAAAATTTCTATTTTCTAATTTTATTCTCAATAAAACAGAGTAATTCAATCCATAGCCATTCCTTCCTCAAACAATAACAATCGTTGCGCATCATTCGAACTCTTTTTACGGTTCTTGTTCTTTTCTTTGTCAGAATTGTTATTTGTACTGTTAGTCGTTAAATCAACAGAAGTAGAATTAGAAGAATTTCCAGCTTTTTTAATGCTGCCCCCAACCATGTCAGTAATTTTTGCCTATAATAGAAATATGTTATTATCCGGAAAATATATAGTTTTCCGGAAATTGTCAATGTTTCCGGAAAATTATTTATATTTTCAGGAAATTTTATATTTATTTTTCGGAAAATATTTTTCTTTTCCGGAAAATATAATGTTGTCCGGAAAATATATTTTTCCGGAAATTGTTATGTTTCCGGAAAATTATTTATGTTTCCGGAAATTTTATATTTATTTTCCGGAAAATATTTATTATTTTCCGGAAAATATAATGTTGTCCGGAAATAGTATTTAATTTCCGGAAAATGTTTCCACAGATTTATTTCTCCGGAAAAATAATATACATATTTCCTGAAAACATTAATTAATAAAGTTTTCCGGAAAGTTTTATAAACTAATTGTAAAAACACACATGTTTTCTAAATTGTTTAACAAGCAGTGTTGGTGCAGACGAAGTAGTAGTAATTACATTGTGGGAAGTTTCAGTATTAAAGCTTTGTTCTGTAGCAAGTTTTTTGCTTCCAGGAAGTTTTCCACGAACCTACAAATATTTTTTCATTAATTTTAATATTTTCAATTAATTACCCGTTGTAACGCCCGTACCGGCAAATTTTCATTTTTCGGACTAGGGGAATTCTTCTCCACATTTTTGTCGCAGAGTCGTTCACGGTCACTATCAATTAAAATTCCACAATCCTCTTCATAATCCAAATTTTGAGATTTTAGTGTATTTAAAGCTTCATTTTTGTTTGAAATTTCCAAATTTAAATTTGGTTCAGAAGCAGAAACATTTAAAAGAGTATTCTGGGTATTTTGCTTTCCCGATCTATTAAAAATAAATAAATATTAATTTTTTAAGGAAAAATTTCACTTTTTTGAATTTTTAATGCTACCAGTTTTAACATCTCCAAAATTATTTTTGCAACATTTCCAAGGCAATTTAACCATTTTACAACTTTTTTGCTGTTTTTGATCGTCAATTAATTTGTTTTGTGGTGGTAGACGTTCAAAACCAGAAGATATACCGTTGGTGCGGGTAATTAGTCTGTTTAAAACATCCATTATTTATTTGTTTATTTTGGAATATAAAATAGAATTTAATCTGTAGTAAGACCGCCTGTAATTAAATATGTATAATTAATTCCGGAATATAATAAAACATCTTCCGGAAAAATGTAATATAAACATCTTCTGGAAAATATTAAAATAAACTGCAAAAATAAATTTTCCGGAAAAAATAAATACTGGAAAGAATTCCGGAAAATATTTAGTATCTCTCATTTCCGGAAAATAGAAACATTTCCGGAAAATAGAAACTTTTCCGGAAAAATACATATTACGGAGGAAAAATTCCGGAAAATATTTAGTATCTCCCATTTCCGGAAAATACAAGTAGAAACTTTTCCGGAAAAAATATTTATACCTTGCTCAATAGTTATTTTCCTTTGAAGGATAATTTTAAAGCTTAAATTTATTAAACTCTTAATTGGAAAAAAATATTTTTAAGATAAAAATCTTTTGTAAATTAATCCTTTCAAATAATAAGATTAGGATCGATTTATTTTTAATGTATTTAATGTATTAGGTTTGGAATGGTTGCGCTTATGAATTAAGGGGATAAAGAAAAATAATAAACCTAAAATTAGAATTTTTTGGGGGGATAATATAAAAATAAATAAATTTATTAATCCCATAAAATACAAAAAAAATTTTTTTAAAGTTTTGTCAAAAAAATATAGTTTAATGTCCAGTTTATTAGTCAATCTCTCACATGACTGTCATCACCCTCCTATCCAGTTTTTGAATATTTAAATATGATTTACATTTTTTTTACTTTTTTTGCTTGCTTTTCCACGTATTAATGTAAGCGATTAACTATATTATAATAAACTGGTGTTGATTGTATTAAAAAAATTCTGTCAGTCGTAAATGTAAAAAATAAATAAAAAATAAAAATAAATATTCTTTTTACTTTTCCAGTTTTGTAAATGTAAAAAGATTAGTCATTTTTGGTTGTAAAATGGCTGTAGAGGTGTGATAATGAAGTGAAAAAATGTTTTTAAAAAATTTTTAAATAAAAATGAAAATAATAAAAAGTGTTAAAAATAACAAAAGAATTTAATAAAATGGAGAGATAATATGTACTAATAACAATTGTAAAAAATATTGTTGAGAAAAAATAGATAATTGAGTAAGATAAAAATAGAAAAGTTTTGAAAATGGATATTACAATAGTTATAATAAAATATACAAAAGAATATGGTTAAAGCATAGAGCATCTTCCGGAAAATATATTTTCCGGAAAATAAAAATATGTTTTCCATTCCGGGAAACATATCCGGAAAATAGAAAAACTGTAAAATGATAGAATAGTTTTCCGGAAAAAAAAATAATTCCGGAAAATTATCTATTGAAACTTCTATTATTAATTTTTCCGGAAAATAGAAAACATTCCGGAAAACATATACAATCTACAAAAGTTGAGATAAATATGTATATTAGTTTGTAAAAATGTTGCAAATTTAAGTTGTTTTTGTAAAAAGTTTGTAATAGAGTTTGTGAAAAGTTTAATTATCAAACTACAAATTCATACTATTATTTTTACAATTCAAGATTTAAATTGTAAAAATAAAACTTGTTGTGCAACTTATTTTTACAATTTATTAAAATAAACTTTGCAATATAAATAAACTTTTTTTACAATTTCTCAAAAACTTTACAATTTACAATAAATAAACAATTGAGGGATGTCTGATCAGAATTTCTTTCTCTAAAAATAAATAAATAAAAATATATATTTATATCCTTCTCATTCGCGCTTTTATTGTAAAAATTTGTTTGTGTGTGTGACTGTGTAAAGTGCTTTTCTTCTCCCAATATTGTGCGCAGCTAGAGGGGGGCGCAATAATTGAGAAAAAGCTTTTTTACACAGATGGTTGTAATTATGAGTGATTTATTGATTAAAAAATTTTTGAATAAAGAACAAAGTATATTATTTTTGTTTTTTTAATTAAAAAATTTTTTAAAAATAAAAGAATTGGGAGAGAAATTAATATTGACAGCCTTACGTCAAGTAAAATTAAATTGATAATAAAAATAATATGTATTAGAATGTTCAGGTTGAAAGAAAATAAATTATTTAAAAAATTAGATTTTTAAATATTTTTTAAATTGGTCCAATTATTAAATAAAAATTGGGCCAATTTTAATAAAAAATAATTTTTTGGTTTCTGCAAAATTATATTTATTGTTTAAATTATTGTTTAAAAATATTAAAAGAGAAGGGAGAAATTAATTTTAACAGTCTCAGTTAACATAAATATAAGCTGCTTCAATTTACAATTTTTACAATTTAAATTACAATTTTACAAAGTAAAACTTGAAATTACAATTAAGTTACAATCCTTATTTACCCAATTTAATTCATTTTTTTGTAAAAATAAATATTTTCTAAAGAAAAGTAAATTGGATAAAAAATAAAACTTTTGATCGAAAGCTATGCTTTGCTTCCGTTTTTAAACAAAAGTAAAGACAAAACATTATTTTTAAAATAAATATAAGCCAATTCATCAAATCGATTGTTTGGAAGGAAGCTAATTTAAGTTTGCTAACTTAAATTAATCTTTTCTAAAAATAAAAATTTGTTTGAAAACACTTCTGGAATCTCTCAAAATTTTATTTAAAAAATGTCGTTTATTTTCCCCCATAATCCTCTTCCATCGCCAGGAACAAAGATTATTGCTATTAAAGGTCAAAAAGTTTCAAGTTTTAATGCTTCAAGTTTTTATAATTTACTCTAATTATGTGCAAATAAATTTTACAAATTGTAAAAATTAAAATTAATTAATTTGTAAATTTTAATAAAACTTAAAGTAAAACTTTTTACAATTTGTAAAAAGTTTATTTAATTTGCTAAGCAGGATTACAAATTGTAAAATGCAAATTAAAACTTTTTTACAATTTGTAATTTTTTATAATTTTTTTTACAATTTGTAGTTTTTTACAAATTATTACAACTTTTTTACAATTTTTAAAAAACTTTTTACAATTTGTAAAAAGTTTATTTTATTTGCTAAGCAATATACAAATTGTAAAATGCAAATTAAAACTTTTTTACAATTTGTAATTTTTTATAATTTTTTTTACAATTTGTAAAAAGTTTATTTTACCTACTAAAAATTTTTAATTAATAAAAGCTTAAGTTTACAATTAAAAATAAATATTCCAAGTTTTAGAACGTTCTTCTCTCGCACCATGCATTGGAGAGAAAAAAGTAATAGCAAAAAAGGCTTATTCTATGGGAGATAAAAATTATGTTGTGGTACATAATATTTTTTAATTTTTTAAGAATATTTTTTAAGCTTCCACCACGCGTTCGTGCAATACCCATAAGCGATTTGACTATATTTGGGGGAAGTAGTGGTACTCGACGATATTACAAAGGCAAAGAAAATTTATTAAAAATTTTCGAAAAATATTATTATAGCAGAAAAATATGAAATACCAGAATTTGTTGGACGACTAGAAGACCAAACATATTTAAATGGGGACAATTTTGTTTTGCGAATAGGATATAAGGGCTGTCCTGAACCGTTAGTTCAATGGTAAAAATATTTATTTTTGATGGAAAATAAAAAATATTTAAAAGGTATAAAGGACAACAACCTATTATATCTGATCCAGATTCTACAAAAATTGTTATTACAGCTGATTCTGCATATGCTCAAGTGAGAAAATTTCAATAAAAATTAAATTACAACTTTTTACAATTTGTAAATAAAAACAAAATGTATCAATCCTTCCTATTTTATTTTACAAATTGTAAAACTTTAACTTTACAATTTGTAAATTTTAATAAAACTTGAATTAAAACTTTTTACAAATTGTAATTTTTTTTACAAATTATTAAACTTTTTTTGAACTTTTTTTGCAACCTTTTTACAATTTGTAAATTAAGTTTTTTTTGTTTTTACAATTTGTAAATACAAAATATATCAAGTTTATTTAATTGTAAAACCATTTTACAATTTGTAAAAAAGACTAATTTTACCTTCCTTAAAATTCCTTAATTAAGTATTTTTTTAAAGTTAGCACTTTTCAATGCACAACGTGAAGACGAAGGTTTTTACAATTGCAGAATAGAAAATGCAAACGGGGTGCGTGAAACTGGCTGTCATATATTCATAACAAATGACGGTCCTGGTGGTCCTCGTGGAATGCAGCGGTGAACAAAAATTATTTTTTAATAATTTAATAAATATTTTAGAAGCTATCGTTCTGTATTGTATACACCTTCACAACGATACAGTCGATATTAATAACTTAAATGTCTAATAATACAGTCTAACTTGATACAAAAACCCCTAGTTCTTTAATTTAGTAGAAGTTCGTCTTTAAAATTACGTTTTTAAAAAAAAACAAATTAAAAAAACAAAAAAATTTTTCTATTTTCTAATTTTTATTCTCAATAAAACATAGTAATTCAATCCATAGCCATCCCTTCCTCAAACAATAACAATCGTTGCGCATCATTCGAACTCTTTTTACGATTCTTGTTCTTTTCTTTGTCATTGTTATTTGTACTGTTAGTCGTTAAATCAACAGAAGTAGAATTAGAAGAATTTCCAGCTTTTTTAATGCTGCCCCCAACCATGTCTGTAATCTTTGCCTAAATTTAATAGAAATATGTTATTTTTCCGGAAAAATATATATTTTCCGGAAATTATATATGTTTCCGGAAATTGTCTATGCTTCCGGAAAATTATTTTTTGTTTTCAGGAAATTTTATATTTATTTTCCGGAAAATATTTTCTGTTTTCCGGAAATTTAATGTTGTCCGGAAATAGTATTTAATTTCCGGAAAATATTTTTTCTTTTCCGGAAAATATATTGTTTTCCGGAAATAGTATTTAATTTCCGGAAAATATTTTTTCTTTTCCGGAAAATATATTGTTTTCCGGAAATAGTATTTAATTTCCGGAAAATATTTTTTCTTTTCCGGAAAATATATTGTTTTCCGGAAATAGTATTTAATTACCGGAAAATATTTTTTGTTTTCCGGAAAATATAATGTTGTCGGGAAATGTATTTAATTTCCGGAAAATATTTTTTGATTTCCGGAAAATATAATGTTGTCCGGAAAAAGTATCTAATTTCCGGAAAATGTTTCCAAGATTTATTTTTCCGGAAAAATAATATACATGTATTTCCTGAAAACATTAATTAATAAAGTTTTCCGGAAAGTTTTATAAACTTAAAAACACACATGTTTTCTAAATTGTTTAACAAGCAAAGTTGGTGCAGACGAAGTAGTAGTAATTACATTGTGGGAAGTTTCATTATTAAAGCTTTGTTCTGCAGCAAGTTTTTTGCTTCCAGGAAGTTTTCCACGAACCTACAAATATTTTTTTCATTAATTTTAATATTTTCAATTAATTACCCGTTGTAACGCCCGTGCTGGCAAATTTTCAGTTTTTGGACTAGGGGAATTCTTTTCCTCATTTTTGTCACAGAGTCGTTCACGGTCACTATCAATTAAAATTCCACAGTCCTCTTCATAATCCAAATTTTGAGATTTTAATGTATTTAAAGCTTCATTTTTGTTTGAAATTTCCAAATTCAAATTTGGTTCAGAAGCAGAAACATTTAAAAGAGTATTCTGGGTATTTTGCTTTCCCGTTCTATTAAAAATAAATAGTAAATATTAATTTTTTAAAGAAAAAATGTTTACTTTTTTGCATTTTTAATGCTACTAGTTTTAACATCTCCAAAATTATTTTTGCAACATTTCCAAGGCAATTTAACCATTTTACAACTTTTTTGCTGTTTTTGATCGTCAATTAATTTGGTTTGTGGTGGTAGACGTTCAAAACCGGAAGATATACCGTTAGTACGGGTAATTAGTCTGTTTAAAACATCCATTATTTGCTTTTTTGGAATATAAAATAGAATTTAATTTGTTGTAAGACTCCGCCTGTAATTAAATATGATTAATTCCGGAATATAATAAAACAATTTCCGGAAAATAGAAACTTTTCCGGAAAAATGTATTTTAAACATCTTCCGGAAAATATTAAAATAAACTGCAAAAATAAATCTTCCGGAAAAATAATTACTGGACAAATATTCCGGAAAAAATTTAGTATCACTCATTTCCGGAAAATAGAAACCTTTTCCGGGAAAATATTTATACCTTGCTTAATAGTTATTTTGAAGGATTATTTTAAAGCTTAAATTTATTAAACTCTTAATTGAAAAAAATATTTTTAAGATAAAAATCTTTTGTAAATTAATCCTTTCTAATAAATAATAAGATTAGGATCGATTTATTTTTAATGTATTCAATGTATTAGGTTTGGAATGGTTGCGCTTATGAATTAAGGGGATAAGAAAATAATAAACCTAAAATTAGAATTTTTGGGGGGAGAATAAAGATAAATAAATTAATTTATTAATCCTATAAAATACAAAAAAAAAGAATTTTTTTAAAAGTTTTGTCAAAAAAATATAGTTTAATGTCCAGTTTATTAGTCAATCTCTCACATGACTGTCATCACCCTCCCATCCAGTTTTTGAATATTTAAATATGATTTACATTTTTTTTTTTACTTTTTTTGCTTGCTTTTCCACGTATTAATGGTAAGCGATTAACTATATTATAATAAACTGGTGTTGATTGTATTAAAAAAATTCTGTCAGTCGTAAATGTAAAAAAAATAAAAAATAAATATTCTTTTTACTTTTCCAGTTTTGTAAATGTAAAAAGATTAGTCATTTTTGGTTGTAAAATGGCTGTAGAGGTGTGATAATGAAGTGAAAAATGTTTTTAAAAATTTTTTAAATAAAAATGAAAATAATAAAAAGTGTTAAAAAAAAAGAATTTAATAAAATGAAGAGATAATACTAATAATAATTGTAAAAAATATTGTTGAGAAAAATAGATAATTTAGTAAGATAAAAATAGAAAAGTTTTAAAAATGGATATTACAATAGGTATAGTAAAATATACAAAAGAATATGGTTAAAGCATAAGCACTCCAGGAAAATATATTTTCCGGAAAATAAAAATTGTTTTCCATTCCGGAAAACATATCCGGAAAATAGAGAAACTGTAAAATGATAGAATAGTTTTCCGGAAAAAATAAATAATTCCGGAAAACAAATACAATCTACAAAAGTTGAGATAAATATGTATATTAGTTTGTAAAAATGTTGCAAATTTAAGTTGTTTTTGTAAAAAGTTTGTAATAGAGTTTGTGAAAAGTTTAATTATCAAATTACAAATACTATTATTTTTACAATTTATTAAAATAAACTTTGCAGTATAAATAAACTTTTTTTTACAATTTCTCTAAAACTTTACAATTTACAAAAATAAACAATTGAGGGGGATGTCTGATCAGAATTTATTTCTCCAAAAATAAATAAATAAAAATATATATATATTTATATCCTTCTCATTCGCGCTTTTATTGTAAAAATGTTTGTGTGTGTGACTGTGTAAAGTGCTTTACTTCTCCCAATATTGTGCGCAGCTAGAGTGGGGCGCAATAATTGAGAAAAAGCTTTTTTACACAGATGGTTGTAATTATGAGTGATTTATTGATTAAAAAATTTTTGAATAAAGAACAAAGTATATATTATTTTTGTTTTTTAATTAAAAAAATTTTTTTGTTTAAAAATGAAAAAAATTGGGAGAGAAATTAATATTGAAAGTCTTACGTCAAATAAAAATAAATTGATAATAAAAATAATATTAGAATGTTCAGGTTCAAAAGAAAATAAATTATTTAAAAAATTAAATTTTTTAAAATATTTTTTAAATTGGTCCAATTATTAAATAAAAATTGGGCCAATTTTAATAAAAAATAATTTTTGGTTTCTGCAAAATTAAATTTATTTTTTAAATTATTGTTTAAAAATATTAAAAGAAGGGAAAAAATCAGAGAAATTAATATTAACAGTCTTAGTTCAACCAAAAATATAAGCTGCTTCAGTTTACAATTTTTACAATTTAAATTACAATTTTACAAAAATAAAACATGAAATTACAATTACCTATATGTATAATTATTTGTCCCAATTTAATTCATTTTTTCATAAAAATAAATATTTTATATAGAAAAGTAAATTGGTTAAAAAAATAAAACTTTTGATCGAAAGCTATGCTTTGCTTCCGTTTTTAAACAAAAGTAAAGACAAAACATTATTTTTAAAACAAATATAAGCCAATTCATCAAATCGATTGTTAGGAAGGTAGCTGGTTTTAAGTTTGCTAACTTAAATTAATCTTTTCTAAAAATAAAATCTTCTTGAAAACACTTCTGGAATCTTTCAAAATTTATTTTAAAAAATGTCGTTTATTTTCCCTCACAATCCTCTTTCATCGCCTGGGACAAAGATTATTGCAATTAAAGGTTAAAAAGTTTTAATTTTTAATGCTTCAAGTTTTTACAATTTTACTCTAATGCTTCAAGTAAATTTACAAATTTTAAAACTTGAAATTTACAATTTGTAAATTTTAATAAAACTTAAATTAAAACTTATTACAATTTGTAAAAAGTTTATTTTATTTACTAAGCAAAATTACAAATTGTAAAATACAAGTTAAAACTTTTTTACAATTTGTAATTTTTTTACAAATTATTACAACTTCTTTTACAATTCTTAAGATAAACTTTTTACAATTTGTAAAAAGTTTATTTTATTTGCTAAGCAAGATTACAAATTGTAAAATACAAGTTAAAACTTTTTTACAATTTGTAATTTTTTTACAAATTATCACAACTTTTTTTACAATTCTATCTATAAACTTTTTACAATTTGTAAAAAGTTTATTTAATTTGTTTAGCAAGATTACAAATTGTAAAATACAAGTTAAAACTTTTTTACAATTTGTAATTTTTTTACAAATTATTACAACTTCTTTTACAATTCTTAAGATAAACTTTTTACAATTTGTAAAAAGTTTATTTTATTTGCTAAGCAAGATTACAAATTGTAAAATACAAGTTAAAACTTTTTTACAATTTGTAATTTTTTTACAAATTATCACAACTTTTTTTACAATTCTATCTATAAACTTTTTACAATTTGTAAAAAGTTTATTTTACTTTCTAAATAAATTCTTATTTAATAAAAGTTTAAGTTTACAATTAAAAATAAATATTCCAATTTAAGAACGTTCTTCTCTCGCACCATGCATTGGAGAGAAAAAAGTAATAGCAAAAAAGGCTTATTCTATGGGAGATAAAAATTATGTTGTGGTAATATTTTTTAATTTTTTAAGAAATATTTTTAAGCTTCCACCACGCGTTCGTGCAATACCTATAAGCGATTTGACTATATTTGGGGGAAGTAGTGGTACTCGGCGTTATTACAAAGGCAAAGAAAATTAATTAAAATTAAAAAAATATTATTATAGCAGAAAAATATGAAATACCAGAATTTGTTGGACGATTAGAAGACCAAACATATTTAAATGGTGACAATTTTGTTTTGCGGATTGGATATAAAGGCTGTCCTGAACCGTTAGTTCAATGGTTAAAATATTTATTTTTGATGGAAGATAATAATAAAAAAATACTTAAAGGTATAAAGGACAACAACCTATTATATCAGATCCAGATTCTACAAAAATTGTTATTACAGCTGATTCTGCATATGCTCAAGTAAAAAATTTAATAATAATTAAATTACAACTTTTTACAATTTGTAAATAAAATACAAAATGTATCAATCCTCCCTATTTTATTTTACAAATTGTAAAACTTGAAATTTACAATTTGTAAATTTTAATAAAACTTGAATTAAAA